AGGGCCTCTCGATTTTGAAACAGACTCCCTGAGGAGATCCAGTAATATCTTTTGAATCACTTCTTTTACAGACATGCTTTTACATTTTTTAAACACTATTTAATTCTTGAACGCTTTTTAATTCTAACTTAATTGATTTGTTATGTGATCTATAATTTTTGCCTTTTCTAACTTTTTTCCTCTTCAGGAAATTATTGTCCTTTTAAAAAGCTGCTATTCTCACATTTTTTGCCCTTTTTTATGATTTATGATCTATTTCTTCTCTGCTGTTATAATTATTCTCTATTCTGCTTTGTCTGTCAAAGCACTTTGCAAACTTTTATTGTTAAAGGTGCTATACAAATAAAGTTATCATTATTTCCAGAATAAAGCCTTTTTAAAATAAGAAGCATCTCTCTCCGGGGGATTCATGCAAGACTCTATGCCGGTCTTTTTGTATGTATTGCAGCCACTCAAAGTTGAAACACCAATTTTTCAAACATTTCAAGCATACTTTAACAAATCCAAACCTATATTTGATTCTGAAGAACGCAAAATGCTTTGTGTCGTTAAGTGTCTTTCAGGCTTTTTGTGAAGCTTTTGAATTACCTCGTGATTTTCTCCAGTATGGTAATGTGAGAGAGAGGCATACATAACATGGAAAAAAGCCATCGTTTGACAGTCGAAGACAGTTTGACAAGCAGAAAAGCCACAGATCATACAGAGAGCCATAAAAGACTATTTCATGTTCAACAAACAGCAGAGATGACTGTTTTCACCCTGACACCAGAACAGGAACTAAATACAGCTTGGACAGGTTCAAACAGGAGACCACACACTAGCCCTGACAGCTCCAAGCAGCCATAAAAGAAAAATACAGTAACACTCGATGTTATATATGCTCTTTGATGTATCTGCCATTTACAGGACAGCACATTAGACGCCTCTTTGTTCACAGCGTTCCTCTCACTTTGGCAGCACTGAGTCCATTAGAAACTGGGATTTTCCTCAACTAATTGCGGTGCTCTCAGCTGGCCTTTGAGGCTCTCCTTCTTCATCAGCATCACACAGGTGCAACATGCGACACGTGATCTGATGGAATACCACCATTTATGGAGCTGTTTAGAGAAATTGGGCGCACACACTCGCTCACACAGCAGCTCTGTGTGTTTTATGGTGAATATGTAAAGCATGTGGTGGGCGTTTTTTTTTTTTTCTAACACTTTTGCTGGCCAAGAGTTTAAGATTAGATTTAGAAATATGTGCAAAAAGTTGAAGATAACACACAAAGAGTCTGATACAAGTTTAGCCCACTTAGGCCTTTTTTTACTTTCTTTACTTTAAACCACTTAATTTTTAATGACAAATGATTTTAAAAGTAACTAAATTTATTTCTAGTCCAGGGTGCAGTTATTTCTGCCCTCAAGCCTTTTTTGGTTTTCATCCTCCAGCACATTCGCTGCTCTGAAATACAAAAGATAGGATCTACTCAGGGCACTAATTGAATTATGCACCCCAACCCAAGCTATTTTCCTTTAATTTAAGATATGAAGAGAGAGGTAAATCCATCTTAAGTGGGTTTTTGTAACCTGAGATTTGAGTAACAGAAGGAGAACTCACTTAAGTCTCTGAAAGTTATGCTATTTGAGGTGGGATCTGTGCAGGTAACACTGAGAGTTAAAGAGCTTGTGCTTGTTTAGCTGAATATCAAAATTAAATGGTTTTCCTGCAAAAGTGGGAGAAATTAGACTCATTTTCAAGGACTGGGTGTACTGAGACACCTCAGGTAATTGCATATATTGCGCTAATGCTTCATTTTGCTCCCACTGCCTTACTATTTTAAACATTACAATCATGCCCAGCATGAATTCAGATGGGTAGGATGCTTGTCAGAAAAAGCAACAAAACATAAACTGTGTATCTAAACTTTCCTTTAATTACATTGGTGCTTAAAATTATGTATGTCAGATCAAGATGGTGCTGAATGAAAATAATTCGATCACTCATATGTTTATTTCCTCCCGTGTTAAGGGGCCCAGCATTTTCTCAGAATAGCACATGTGCATCCACTGCAAGTCATGTGCTTTCCTGATAATATCTATAGAATGTGGGTGTTTTGACTGTCACCCAGCGTGTTTGTTGGCTAAAATATTCAGATTTGAGTTAATTATACGAACAGACACATTGTCCTTGTTTTTGCTAATAACACATTGCCTAAACTGGAGCATTTATTCAAGGCGTGAGTGGGTTTTCTTGAAGATAAGAAATGTAAAACTGTGTCTGACATCCGTCACAAAGATGAGAACAGCTTCTTTTCTGTCTTTTTTGTGTGTGTTCACAGACCCTTCCTACTTTTTTATGCAACCTCTACGCATTATTTCAGCATACCAATTTATACTTCTCAGCCAGACAAGCCACATTGTTAAATAATTCAAGTACAGTATGGAAGTGTCTCCCAAAACACTGCTGCTTGATATGTTTTAATTGACAGCTGAGGTTCAAGATGGCAGCATTCATACCGTGCCTAATGGTTTCTTTTTCCGAATTTGGAAACAAATAAAAGTCTGAAAAGTGATGAGATGAGATCTGGAGTGATAACATCAGGAGAAGGACGGGGTGGAGGAGGTGAGGGAGGAACCTGCAATGACTGTTTTTCCTCTGTTGTAGATTCATTAAAATAAAGTTTGTATTTCCTGTCCGTCAGGGTGTTTGCAGACCTGGTGGGAGAGGACTAATTGTGTAACTTTACCCCCATGTTGGCAGACAGCTCAACAGCTAGAGAGGAGTTTAGGTATTTTTAAACCTAGGACCTATTTTATCAAACAATAGAATGTATAGGAATTAGAGCTGGTATGAGTTTGACTGCTGTTGTGGTTGCAAATCTAAAAGATCAAAGTTGGCGACTTAACTTGTTCAGATCTTTGTTTTCAGTTTGTAATGATATCACAGTTAAAATCCCCAAGAATAAACTTTTTGATGAAGAAAAAGTTTAGATTTAAATCCACCAATACCAAATGACCACCTTTAAAGCTCCTGTGTAAGGAACTTCAAGAAAGAAATACAAAGAAACACCTTTTATCCTCCACATCAGTAAACGTAGCTTTCTAATTAAAAACTAAGCAAAGCATGCAGTTCAAAAAGAAGACACAGCCAAAGAAGAAGCCGTTAATCAGCTAGCCTTTGACGCAAAGTGTGGCTGTGAAGCGGAAAAAATACGTCTAGCTGACTGATAAGGTCCTTCTCTGGAGGGAGTCTTGACATTACAGCGTGAAAAAGAAATTTCTCATTTCAAGCTCTTCATTGTGCATATTTTGATTTTATGCAGTTGTAAAGCAGCATTTACAGCCACTTTCAAGCCTCAGTTGGAAGAAATCTACTTATTTCTAGAATATCTTTGGACTTGTGCAACAGGGCTCAAGATGTTGGGACTAGGGATGCACCAGTACTTGGATCGGATATTGGCTCCGATATTGACAATGAAGAATGAATGATGCCGATCCAGTGTTCCAATCCAGCCTTTTTTTTTTTATATATAAATTTTTCTTTTAATACATAGAATTCTTACTTCTTTTTACTGTATGCCAATGTGCAATTCGTTATTTGTGAATAAATAATATTAAGTAAATTTAAATCTTTTTTTTTTTTGACAAGGCTAATGACAAGCCTGATGCCTTCACTCACAGGGCAAGGTGTACAGTTCATTCAACAGTTGTATTGGATAAGTATCGGATATTTGCCGATGGGCCCAGCTCAGGTATCGGATTGGATCGGGAAAAATGTATCGGTGCATCTCTAGTTGTGACCTGGCTTTGGGTGCGCTCAAAACCACAAACAGGAAGAAGAGGGGGGAAAAAAGGCAGGTCTTTTGAGATTTTTTCCCCCCAGTAGATGTCAGTAAAACATCCCAGTCTTCATATTTATTTTCACTAACCATCTCTCCTCTTTGGCAGGTTTATTAAGAAAATACTTAATAATGTCAACCCACACTAAGCCCTTAATGCCAGCAGCTCTCTTTTCAAATGCAACGCAGTCATAAATCAGACAAGAACTCGCCTCCCAACCAAGTGCTCCGCGGGTAAATCTCAATAAAGTGCCAGTCAGTTATGATAAAACGAGTCATTGTGCGTAAGGAGCTGCCTGCAGAGAGGGAGAGAGAGGAGGGGAGGGAAGAGCAGCTAAGGCCACACAATGTATATACAACGTGACGACGCGCAGCTCTGCTCGACCGTGGGTTCAGACGAGCAACAGGCTCCCTATGGGGACCCAGTTCATGTCTTAGAGGGGGGTGGGGGGCAAATCCTGGGGTGTTATGCATAAATCTAATTCTTCTTTTGTCTACTTTTAATTGGCTTCATTTAGAATGAGTTTCAACTAATGTATCAAATTAAGTGGAACTGTTTAGTGCTTCATTCTGTCTTGCTCGGAGATACATGGATTTGTCTCCCTCCCACTGGCGGATTTTCCCACTCAGTTTGGTCGGGAATTGGATTTTGAAAAGAGAAATTACGTTAATTTCAGCAAATCCGTCGTTTAATAAAGATTATTTTTTACGTAAATTACATAAAATTCGGGACTTTTAGAGCAAATTCTGCTTTTATGTTTTTTTTTCTATTGAGCGCTGTCCGTGGTGCTGAAAGTGCGCGTAATTTCTACAATCAAAGTTCACGAATCACCTCAAAACGTTTTTATTTGCCTTTTAAAATGTTCGTGTTTTCTCGAAAGCACAGAAATAACAATTTGTTGCACGAAATACTGAAGATTGTGAAAGAGTGGCGGTGCCTTGGATGGAGTGAATGGGTGTCTGATAAATGATTATTTCTTATCGACTTTGCAACATTGACCGATAATTCCAACAACATGTCGATTAAAGCAATTTCAGATTTTGAAGTCACGTGTTGCTACTCTCGTGCTAAACGCTCAGTCTGTTTTTTTTCTAAACCTAAAAGGCAAATAACGACTGCCATTATCACCAAACAATGCCTGCCTACTTCTTATAGCTCTCTCTCTCTCTCTCTCTCTCTCTCTTTCTCTCTCAAACACACACACACACATTCGCACACACTTTCCCCCCACCTCCCGACTTTCTCTCTCCCAGCCCAGGCGCTCCTCGTCTCCAAAGCCTGTCTCCAGAAGCATGTCCTCAGACATGCAGCCACGGTGCGATGAAGCGGACCAAAAGACGCCACCAGCATGACAGCATGACGGCAGGTAAATCCTAAATCATCTTATTTTTCAACCCTCAGTATGAGTCGTATAGTGTCCTCTACTCTGATAAAAAAAAAAAAAACAGAGGGAATCGACATTTGTCAAGCAGGTCTTCTCAGACCAGAAGGTAGAGGGTTTGCTCGGCTGTGACTGTGAGAGCGGAGAGTCCGATAACAGGGATCAATTCTGGACCTGGGACTTCTCAGGTGGGAGAATGTGCCCCTAAAACCCCCTTGGTTGTTTATGCATTGATGTCCACACCTGTAATCATCACCCATTGGCGCGTAAAAGCCGAAATGTGGGAATCCGGGTGAACAAATTAGCCGCTTTTCTCAAAATCTGGAGACATTTGAAAGTTGTTTGGGAAGCCACATATGCTCAACTTTATTCTTTAAGGAGTTTAACTTGAAAGAGCGACAAAAGTCTCGGTTTGAGTCGGAAAATATGGGTTGCCACCAGCTTAAATAACGCGTAGAAATCAGGCCAGCCAGTATCTCCTGGGAAAGCTTTGCATGAGGAGCACAAGGACAACGAAATGTTTGAGGCTTGTGTCATTTGGCGCAACTTGTCGGGAGATGAGAACTTTATATGTCATTTATTTCGCGGTTGAGCCGCAGCAAATACAGTTTCAGTGTCAAATCATACGGTTTGATCATTTGATGTCACAATCTGGTTTGGCTTTTCAGTCAATTAACTCCAACCACATACAGCATATGCGCACTGCTTTGTCTCCTATCCATATAAATCATCTGTAATTCCTTTTAGTCTCACGATTTTTCACATTTATTCGATCTATTTGGCACCAGCCTTCGTCTGTAGAAACGGTTTTCAGGTAATCTTTGCGCTCATGGCACTCTAATGCGCAATGGATAAACGCGTCCTCCATGTCCCCTCTTTAACAGCTGCTTGCTTTCCCTTCTTTTATGCTTCATATCTGCTAAAAACCTTGATGCCTGATCATCCACATTTAACTGTGATAAAGGAAAAGCGTGATTCTGTTTTTGCCCGGGAGCAGCCCTCCTCTCTTGTCTCCCCAATTCGATCAAGCAGGCTTGATTTCAGCGTGTTTCAGCCACAGAGTAACGTGGAAAACACACGACGTTTATTATGAGAGGATAAAACACCAAATGTGATCGCAGTTTGATGCGTGAAGATCAACAAATCTATGGAAGAATGAGAGGCGATTTCGCTTCACGGTCGCAGCCTAACGCGCGTAAAAGCGCAACGCAAGAATGGGAGCGGACTCGGGAAGGCAGGCTGGTGTCATTGTGGGTCTCATGGGTGACATGTTTTGCGCGCAGTGGATCCCCGGAATCATGTTTAGAGTGACGTACAATGAGGTTGTGGGTGATAAATCCACAGGAGCACGCGGTAGCCTGAAGGCAGAGAAGCAGCGATTTATGGAGCCCAGATTTAGAGTGCATGCTCTGTTTTTGAGCATCAGAATCATCCACTTCTGTGCAATTGAAAGGTGAGTGGAAGGAATGCGTGTGCTCTTTGTGCAAAGAGTTTTTTTTTTCTTTGGGTGCAGATTCTAGTTTGCTGGCTCTTAAATTCTTCATGAGACTGAAAATTGGTCAAAGTAGATCTTTTGAAAAGAAAAGGGTGCTTATTTTCAAAGAAGGATCTGTTGTCAGGTTTAATGGCTTTAAAGAGGACTCTTGATGGTTATTTCTGCACTGAAAGGACGCCAACGTCTTCTGGATTTTCTGATAAGACTGAGTACATTATGTATGTGATTATTGCTTTGCTGGATTTGTGTCTTATTACAGCAAGATCCCAAATAATCCTGCAGATGCACTTCATCTGTGGCAGCTTGTGCAGAGATTTGATGGTTTGTTGTGCTGGGAGTGAGTGAGTGAGAGAGAGAGAAAGAGCAGTAGCTTGACCTTGATTAAGTCTCAGGCTGTAATTGGTTTTTTGGTTTGTAGAAATGGCAGGTAAACAAAAAAGAGACTAATGTGGCCTTTCATATCTTTATTTTCGCCGTCTTCTGCTACTGCATGATTTCCAGGTCTAAGCTGTTTTTTTGTTTTTGCACATTCATGCAGAGCTCCAATTAAATATTTGATTTGGAGCCTTGGATTAGCATTTTTGTTTGAATGCATTAGAAAGTCTCCACCGCTCTTCACTTACTGCCTCTTTTGAATCCCATGTTTACCCAACATTTAAGTCAAACGGTAACTAATAACCAATGAAAACAGAAAAAGATGAAATTCAACAGCTTATCTGAATTTCTTCTCATTCTTTTGTGGCATGTGCTTTAGTACTTGGACTATTTGCTCAACTGCACTCAAGGAATTTGGGTTTTTCATGTGAGCATGTGTGGAACAAAAACTTTGGATTATACAAATCAGAGGATAAGCGAGATAACTGGCTTACCTGTTATGTCAGAATCCTTATTTGGTGACTCAACAATGTGTCATTTGATTCTTCTTTGCCCCTTTTTATGTTGCTTATGTCAATTTGTCATGATTGAAGCAGCTGTAGTTAAGTCTGTCGGCTTTTTAGTTGATAACCGGTGGGTCTCTGGTCCACGTCTCATCACAGACCAAGTTTGGGAATGTAGAGACCTCATGGACGATTGTAATCTCACTCTCAGGACATTGGGAAAGACTCTGAACCTCCAACTGCAGACACCTCTTCAGTATTGCACATCCATATGCTCTTCTGTCTGCATGTTTGAGTGCATTTCAGTCTTAATGTGTGTAGCATGTATATGAATATGAATATCAAATATAGCAGAAAGCAGCTGAGAAAAATGCAAATTAAAACCGCTTCTGAATTTCTTTTATTTTTTGAATGCGATCTGCCAAAATTGTTACCCAAGAGCCGTTTGTTAACCTGCAGATAAGGACTCCTGGCAGATTTTCAGATTTCTGCAAGAGACAAAGACTAGAGTCTATAAATCATGATAGTAAGACGGATCAGGGTCTTGTGTTTTTTCTATTTTTTATTTTATTTTTATTTTTTTGTGGAACTGCCTCCTCAGGATGATATTCTCTTTTTTTTGCTGATGTGTTTTTCTATTTTTTGAAACGATCTCTCCAGGATACTTAAAGCTCCTGTAGGGAGTTTTTTGACATTTTTTTTAAATAGACAAAAATTCAAATTGATGCTTCTTTTATGATATCCAAAAGCAAAAAGGCTGATCAGCTACATGGTTAATGATTTTATAACATATTTTTTCATGCCTGAAAATGTGTGAGGGGGTAGGTGTCAGCAGAGCAGCTGAAGAAACAGCCTCTTTTTATCGTTTCCAAACAAACGACAAGCAGTAAAAGACAAATTTGTCAGTCAAAAGTCAGAATGATGGGATATTTTTGTCAGAGCAAAGACGTCTTTGTCCACAAGGGGGCACCAAAAGGGACACAAACTTCAAGTTCTCACAGGAGCCTCAAAAAGTTGATGAAGGGGTCCATTTTTAAAATCAATGACAGCAATAATGAGGTCCTTGATTTTATTGACTTTGGTGCCCCCTGTGGACCAAACAGGAAGTGTCATCATTTTTATGACAGGCACTGGAAGTGGAGGGAAAGTAAGTGTCGTTACTCTCCTTGCTGTCGATCTCAAACTGTAATATGGAGAGAACAGGAGATGTTGCTGACAGTTGGGGTTAAATTTAGAAGTAGTCATTTTCAGACCAGCCCAACTAAAGCAGTGATTGTATGTTACCTCAATAACATTGTTTGCCATGAAACATGTAAAAAAAAGTGGTTTTGAGCTGTAGCTGGCTGCGTGAACGCTCATTCGGGTTAAAAATGACAACATAATGCTAACTAATCTTGTTGCTGATGGTCTTGCTTGCTTTTGTAGTTTATAAAGAGGCGTCACCATAAATCTCGGTGATTTATCTTTTTCATAATTGCCAAGACTCTGTTCTATGTCGCAAAAACAAAGTGAGGACTTAAAGCGTTTTTTTCCCCTTCGACTCTCAGTGTCCAGATTTGAAAGTAAAGCTGCTCTCTCTGAAGTTACACGTGTCACATCTCTTCACTATCTCTGTCAGACCTTACAAAAGTTCCTCAAACTTGTTGCCCTCTTTTTTAATCCCGTGTGACACCCTGATGTTGATGGATGAGCTTTCGATACGGTCTCTCTGAACAGTGCTTTTGCTCTCTCTCTCCCGTCCCTGTGAGGTTTACCGAGGTCAGGCATGTGGCTTTTTTCCCCCTTCTATATCTGTCCCTAAGTGTATTGATGTCACATTAGAGATGCAGATAATACAGACAGTGGATTCTTTTATTATTTTTTAACCAGGGGCGTCAGTGAGCCTTGCTGCAACAGCAAATTATAGCTTTTATTGATTTGCTTCGCCAGCGATTGGACATGAATATTGCTTATTGGCATGTTGGTTAATGCAGAATGGAGAGAGGTGGCGTCTGCAGGGAGCATAATTATTTATATTTATCACAGAAGATCACATATTTCCAGTTTTTGTCTAAAAATTGATGCTCAGAGCCCCCTGTGGTGAAAAAAAAAGTTGCAAATAGATGCAATCATCGTCTAAGCATTTGCTATACTTTCATATTCAAATCATGTGGATGTAATCAAACAATGTGCACATACAAGAAAGAAAAACATGAATCTGTCTTGGTCACATTCAGATAAAAAAGGAGGACAGGTTGACGGAGGAGGCTTGTACCTTCATGAATGCACATCTCCCTAAATCTGCGTTTTTGGCAGAAGTGGAAAACAACGCGAGAAGCGAGGTCTTGCTTTTGTAAAAAGTTAAATTTAGCTGACGGGATGCCACGGACATAAGCTCCTCTGCTGTAGAGCGGCTGCACAGTGCACATTAGTGAATCTGTGTAGCTGGCGCACGCAGAAAGGAATGCCTAATTATCACGCTTTCAACCGCAGTAGGCTTCTCTATTTGCACTGATCTGCTGCTCTAATCGCTTTCTTTTTCTGTCATTACACACTTATTTATTTTTATTTTACGCAATTAAAATGTTATTTAGCTCACTTTGGCTAAGCGGGGAAGTCGGGGCAGGATCTGCTTGGTTTTAAAGGACGGTCTAATTGAGCAGAAACACAAGATTGGCTCGGGTAATGTGTGGAAATTTTGTTGGAAAGATCAAAAGAGGTTCTGCAAGAGGTTTTACATAACATCCAGCGTGCATGAATGAGTGGATGAAGGCTGTATCAATGGAAAAACAGGCAGAATAAGTGTGCATTTGACTCAGTTTTGCATTTCAATAAGATTTCATAAGCTTCAATTTCCATGTGGTGACCTGTATCCTCATGCAAACGCTTCATCTTCACCTCGTTGTACAAATGGGGCGGTGTAGCCTTTAGCTGTTCTTCTTATCAGATGCTGAGTGATTACAGAGCTTCACAATATGAAGTGCCACTAAACCACCTCACCAAGAGGCATTGATTGGACAGGATGGGAGGAGGGCGATTCCTCCTTAAGGTCATTATCTGGTGGACAGAGAGAGTCGGATGAAACAAACCACTGTAATTGCATTTGTAACAAAAGACTCAGGATCAATGGGCTAAGCACTAGTTACAGCATTGTGTCAGCGTTTTTTATCAACATACACGTGGATCCAGTGACCCTGTAATTGCTCTTAAGATCTATTCTTTTAAGAAGACCTGTTGTTTTGATCCGTACTTAAATACTAAGTTACAATCTTACAAAGTTTGAAAAGTTTAGATCTACATGTGGTATAGTCCCAGGAAGTGTTTTCCGACTTTTTTGAACTGGTTTCATGATAAAGTCACAGCCTGACGTCAGGGTCTTCTGTCCTACTGGGACAAGGCTAACGCTAAAAAGTCAATTTCAACAATCAGCTTTTTCCTCCACTTTGTTGACTCATTCTGTCTCAGCTTTGTGTTATTTCTCAACTATGAGCTGTGTGAAAGGTAGCACCCACCAGTTGTGTCTAGGTCTAAGAGACTAGAGAAGGAGTCAAAATGAAGCGTCTCAGGCAAGGGCTGAATACTGTTGAAGTAAGGAGTTTTTTCCAAGTGCCATATGACAAATAAGTTATAGCGAACTATCGGTCTTCTCTTAAGGGGAATGCAGAGGCTTGTAGTCTGTGCACGCTATTACATTTATAAGACATTTGAATCAACAACGAACTGTAGATCCAGAAATGGCTCACAGCAGAATTCATGTCTTGGAAAATCAGGAAATAATGCTGCATTCGAGTTACCTCAGAAGTCAGAAGTCTGACCTGAAAATGACGTCACACCTGAGTTACCAGCGTTTCAGTTACGAAGTCTGAAAAAAGCTAAATCAGAGGCGGTAACAAGATGGCTACATCTACGAAAGTTATTATTGCCTTTGCCTTACTTTTGGACAAGGCATGGGCTATAATATAATAATTTCGTAGATGTAGCCATCTTGTTACCGCCTCTGATTTTGCTTTTTTCCGACTTGGTAACTGAAACGCTGGTAACTGGGGTGTGACGTCATTTTCAGCGCCAACATCTGATTTCTGAGGTAACTCGAACGCAGTATAACTCCTCAGGTGGGCCCCTGTCAAACTAGTTACCATGGTGATGCTGAGTCATAATCAGAGAGGAAAATTACATCTGTTTATGTTGAAGATACTTATGAAAACATTGACATGTAACCCCGCCTCAGTCTTATAGTTGGTGCGAGTATTACTGAATAACATCATCATTATTATTTCAATCAAACTGGCTGTAAATCGTCCTCATTACTGTTGAAATATTTGTTGCTAGTGAATCAAAAGATGTATATTTCAGTCATTGTGAGAATCTGAGCAGCAGGAGCAGCAGTTGTAGAATTAGCCTGAAAACCTCTGGAGATTCCTCTGCTTCCAAAAGCCTCAGGTGTTCCTCGGTCTTTCCTCTCATCCAGCAATGATGTCGGGCGGCCATTCCCCACTCTTAATTACTGTAAGCCCCGGCAGCAGATAATTCCAGCCCACTACTTCAAGCTTTGGCTCTGCTGTTATCACTGGCTCCATAAAACATTCAGTGTGCCCGCTCGCTCTCCTCGGACCTTGGCAGCGAAGGGTTATTGTAATTGCCAGCAGGCCTTAATTCCTCTGTGATGGGAGATTGTAAGACAAAAATAATGGGAGCTCCGGACTTTCCCTCTGACCTACACTTTTCACACAGTTGGAAAAGAATTTGGAGATGTTGTTTAACAGATAAGAAAGTAAGTAGGAGTGAAATTACTTTTCTTATCTAATTTTTTGTGCTGCAACTTTAGCAGAAGGCAAAACCGCTCAGGCTGGTGTCACAACTTCCTCTAAACTACGCCGACATGGCAGGGCATCTGAACATCTCACTGTGCTGCTGCAGATGCTGCTTGTGTGGGAGTTTCTTGAAGTAGCCTTGTGTGACTTCTTACAGGGCCAAAAGCACTAACAAGCAATTAGCGAACAGGGAGATGGCTTGGTATTTCAAGGAAACAAAACCCAAGCCTTAAAAGTCTGGGATTGCTCTTTCTTTGTTTGTTTTTGACATGTTTTGCTTGTTTAAGCCACTGCAGTTATAAAAGTACCCTAAAATCATTAATACTGACAAACAAGAGCTGGATATTCACGGGTTTGCAAAGCAGAAAATATCCGAACATGAGATACGCATGCCAGTGCAGGGCCTTGAACACCCTAAAGAGAGATTTGCCGATTTTTCATCGATGATAATGCTTTTTTAGATGCATCACTAAGTGTTAATCCATCCACTTCCCAAGCACAAGTCAGTGAGCTGTTGGCAGGCTGACTTCTGTTTGAATGGGCAATAAAAGTCAAACTGTACTCCTGAAGGTACTGCTGTCCTAATTACAGACCTGCCTGCAGCTGATAAACAGGAATGATGGCCAAATGAAGGCACCATGGACTTGACGTCAATAATGAATCACTGCCCTGTTGTCCTGGTCCTTATGCAGTCCTGCCTGGATAATTTGCTGGTCTGTCATCAGTCAGACACTCGAGTGCAAACTAAAATTTCTCCACAGATACTCGACAGAGTTTTGGGTCCTCAAAAGATGAATCTCTTGGATCTTAGGGACACCTCTGGTTCTGAGTGGCCAGGATGAATTTTATTACTTATTTTCGCTATTCTGTAATTGTTATTTGAAACTAAATACCTCAAAATTAAACATCTTTCAAAGTACCTTGTGTTTGGTAGCTACTACTTAGTAGGGGTGGGAAAAAAAAAACGATACAGTATAGTATCGCGATATTTTGTCTGGTGATATATCGCATTGTCTCATTTAGCAAGCATCGATTTTTCAAATTAATTGCTAATATGAAGTCAAATCTATGATAATGGAAAACATTGAATCAACTGTTTGTCTAGTGAGGTTGGCAGAGGTGATATTGAGTAAGAGAAAGCTAGTACAACAAATATATAGATATAAGGTTTGCAAGATATGCTACAGGAAAATAAAATACAGCGTAAACAAATATAAAGGAAAGCCAAATGCTAAATTAGCTTAATAGTTGAAAAATTTATATAAATCGTAATATATTGTATCGCAATACTCACTGTATAGCAAAATGTTTAAAATCCCAACAATATTGTTGCATGACCCAAGTATCAGGATAATATTGTATTGTGGGGATCATTGCTTTGTGATATTTAGAGATAAGTGTAGGCTTCACCGATTGGCAAACATGATTGATTCACAAGCTGACTCTGTTTTTTAAGCAATGTACTTCTGTTTTTGATTTTTTTGTTTTTTTACAAAAAGTGTCACACCTCAAGATCGACTCCATATCGAATTACAACTAAACTACGGACCGGATTACACAACCGTTAGCATCTGCCTTCCATTATCTTGCGCCTGAGGACATCTTTTGTGTTTTAAAGATGATATGCTGTGTGAAATTCTTTTATAAGCACTTAGAAATCTGTCTCATGTTCAGCTTTAGCCTCGGGCTTGGCTCAAACATCGACTCAATCTCTATAAACGTACCCTTAAAAATCATGTTATTGTGTATCTTGAATCACATTCGTCTCTCAGGTACTTGTAGATACTAGTAAAAATAATGAAACAGTGCTTTATTTCTTTCTGCACACACAATCTTTATCATTATTCTCTGTTAGTAGTATGAGTCCCTGGGCTTTCCTAGGAATTGGAGAACTTTGATCCCTTGCGACCAACACGAGTCCATTAACCCGAAACCGCCAGTAAAATTGGAACGCCAGAGCTACCCTCAGTTCATTTCACAATGAGCGATATCTCTCTGCGGGGGCACTGACAGGATATCCAATTCCTTTCCTTAGCTATAACAGAAAGGCTGTAAAAAAAAAACTGAAGAAATTTCTCTTCCCTCTCAATCAGAAGTTTAATAATCACTTCAATTTGCTAAAATAGCTTAAAGGGTTTTTCTAAAGCTCAGAGAAAATTCCTCTTTGCACAGACAACAATAGCAGAAAAAAATACCAAGATATTCTGCAAAATGTCCAAAAATACGTCCAATAATGATCTTTTCAAGTGAGAAACGGACTGTGATGTGTGAAAGCTGAAGTGGAGCTGCTTTTGAGACCGGCAACTCGACACAAAACTCAATACTGTGTACACTCTCAACAGATAAACGCAGGTCCTGACCCTGGATTCTGAGGATCAAATCAGAGGGTAAACATTATTTTTCCGCGCCAGGGGAGACACTGCGGCACTAACTGAGACTATAAACAGGTGGAAGAGTCGGTGTGTGCTACGCCACCCATCCTGAGCCAATATTATTACGCTCTCTGACAATCACTGGCTGTTATTGTTATTGGATTCTGTCTAAGGTCTTGGTTTATTCTGTTGCTTTTGCTAGTGAAGACCTGTTTATTGCTCCAGGTTTAACCGGGTTCATCCGTGTGTTTCTTTTAATTCCCGGAGGTAGTGTAAACTGTATTTTCTTTTTTATATGGTGAGTCGGCTCAATTTATGCGTCCTGTCTACTCTGTCTTTTTAAAAGTAAACGTGAGACAAAACGCAGATAATGGTAGTAAATACCAATGTCCTGCTCATGGTAGTGCTGGATGTCTTTTTCCTATGCAGTTTTTACTGTCCTGTTTTCTGTTGTCTCAAGAGGCAGCAGAGGAAATTACTTGACTTTGCAAACATACAGTATTATTCCAAGTTGCACAGGAAACAGGATCATGAGACACTTTAAAAGGATAAACAGTACAGGGTTATTTGAGAGGCAAAACATCGTCCAAGACATCTGAAGCCAGGATGTCTCACTTCTTTCCCTCGGGCTTTACTGTTAGATGGACTTTGTTGTCCATCTAAAGCTTCGAACAGATCCATGGTCCAGTTTGACATTCTCAAAGAAGATCCCTGAAGGTCTGTGTAACTCGTTCCAGGTGAAGGATTTGACATTTGAAGGAAATGCCAGCGAGAAGAGAAAGTGTGCTCCCCTCGAATTTCTATCCAAGCCAGCATGAGAGTTGCGAAACTTCTCGGGGTTCTGCTTTTGCATTCTGCAGCAGACACAAAGTCGACTTCTGCACATTTCCCAACAATGTTTTTCAGCCTCTCTGGCCTCCCTAAGAGCCGGTCTGAGTCGTGTCAGAGCAGGGAGCCCATCTGAAATGCTGTTATTTGACTTGACAGGAACAGGACTGCCGACAGAGTCCAGAGACTACACTGTGTCAGTGGAGCACAAACAGACTGTGGGATAGATCCACTGTGTGAGGCAAATGCCCCCCACCATCCTCCCCTCCCCACGTTCACACTCTCTGATGGGCCATTTGACAGCCCTATTACAAACAAAGCAGTCATAGCAGAGGAAAGACAGGTCTGGGTGCACAAAAACCTCAAATATATGGTGAAAGAGAAATACCTTTGAGCTCTTGTATTCCTCTGTTCAACCCTTTTAGCCACCACTCTGTGTCAAACAGTGTTTTTCAGCATCAAGTCCTTGAAAAATGAGCAACATTCCAGGAAAATCTTGTTTTCCATTTGTAGCTTGACTTCCACTGACTCAAGCTCTATACACACACACAGCAGTAACTAGCCTTAATGTATTTGGGTGTGCAACAAAGTTTAAGCTCCAGTTTATATCTTGAAGTAATCCCTTGAAATAAAATGAAAACTATCAGGGTTTTGTCAACTTCAGCTTAACCAAACACCATCAGTGATGCAAGATACACAATGAACCCTAAATAGGAAAATCAGCTGTTTCACAGGAGTAGAAAAATATAATATCATGGTGTACTGATACCACCTGTAGTCAAAAATCAAGCCAATTTATAATAGCCATAAACTGCAGTTCCTCCAGTGTCCACTTGGGGCCAACTCCAAAAACCAATGACATTCTGTTAATTAAAATGCCAAACTTTACAGCAGATAAATAATCTATTAGTTGTTACTTGAGGCAAACAGCTGACCACACTCTGCCGTCTTTGTCGCTAGCTTAACTGTTTGATGTTTGCTCAGATAAGTGGCGGCTAGCGAGGATGTGTTACAGGTTAAATGTGTAAGTCAGTGAGAGACAACTTTTTAATCTATTAGGTTGTATATCTGTGATTGAACAGGTAAAGGGGGTGGTAGTTAAGTTTCCATTTGCTTTGCATGACGTCAGTCATGCCTAACTTTAAACCTGTGAAACAAATCCTCTGACATTCACATGTAGAAGTTTTCTAAGACATGCTAAAAGTAATTTCAGTGTGTCCTCATAACACGTTTATTTAGTGGATAAGCTAAGAGCTAAAACGGAGAGCATCGCTATGCAGGTGAAACTCCACAAACTGTCTCCACGCTCTTTGTCAATCGGAGGAAGACTACAAGAGCCAAGGTCATCCCACTTCTTTCCAATTTTACACAGTTTTCCAGCCCGATCAATACTGCCCAACATGGCCTAATCAGTGAGGTCTCATTCCTCAGTCACAGGATAATTGGTAGCTTTTAGCATGGAGGACAGGACAGGAATAGCAATTGTCTCAGCGTCTTTTCTGGAGTAGACAGAGGCTGGTATAGTTTCTTGTGTTCACTGAACTTTACCACTCATTTTAATCTCCTGTTAGTTTCTATTAGGGAAATCGTTGACTTTTTAGCCCTCGGGGGCCTTAAGGTTGGAAGAATGTAGGCCTATTCCTTTGCCAGAACACTTTGCCAAGGTGCATTAATTAAAACAATTTACCCTAAATGAGGTGCAGTGAACAATAAATTGACACCCCGCCAGTAAAACTATTAGTCCAATGTTTTTAAGGGCGATGTATAACACCATAAAGCAGCTCTGAGACAAAACCATAACTATTTGTAAAACAGGCGTTTATGGTTATGCTTTATAAAGTCGTTAAAACACAAAGCACACATAGCACCTTTAACAGTCTACAGCGAGGACTTCTTCCTCTTAATCGTTTTGAGATCTTAATCACATCAAGTCCTAATTTTTAATTTTCAGACCTTAAAATTTGATTGAAGCAAAACAAACCTTCACTCTGTTTTAGAGCAAACACTGCTCCGGTAATCAAACTTCCTCAGCAATTCTTACTAAAATTAGAAAGAAGAAAGAAAGGCCAACTAGTCAAACCAAAAACATTGTCAGTTTTTCGCTGTATTGTTGGAAAACCACGTGTTTGCTTCAGGTACCAAATTAGAGTAATTAAGGTGCCGTTCATTTTTTAATTTGAATCGTTTCAAGAGTTTTTAGTGAAAAACCTTGCAGCAAGCGCTCTTGCTCCTTTGCTTTCCTTTTACTTTTATTTCTGCATTTTCTTCAATGTCATCCTTGAACATTAAGAGTGAACATGCTAGAAATAAAAACAGCACTTATCTGACCTTGGCACTCCGTTCAAGTGCGGTAATTAAAAGCACAGAAAAGGCCCTCGTGAGTCCTCCCTTTTGTTTCTAAGTTGACTGAAACAATACAGTTGTTCATCTTCAGACAAACTTCCTTATTAGGAAAAACACTTTTTGTAGATAAACGTAGAAATTGGTTACACTGGTGCGATCCTATCTTTAAATTACTCTTCTGAAAGAATGCGATTGTGGTGGTGGAGGTAATTATGGCCATGTCGGACGACCTTTGTTCAAACGTCATCAAGCCTGAGCGTCCTTGCAGTCACTTAGCTCTTCCTACAATACCAGTGGACTTCAAGTGGGAGTACTGAGTTGATATAACAGGAATAATAGCTTGTGTTGAAGAGTGTCGATGCTCTGCGAAAAAAAAAAAAAAAAAAAAAAAGGGCAAATCGAGTTTAGTATAGAACAAACATGCAAGTGATCGAGTCTACCTTCAGGTCTTTTTTAAGCTGTTCCCTGCCTCTCAGATTGAGACATTCACCCCTTGAGATTGGTGCCATCATACAAGTTAAATGATGAAAATGATTGCTGCAGCCAGATAGATTCATTGAGTCAACCTACTCGCCAGGTATCACATTCCAGGAATTAATCTAAAGGGATCTAAATCCCCATTCCTCCTCTTGGAGTTAATTGCAAATCACAGTGTCACTTTTCATGGGGCCGCGACTGTCCCTCGAGTGCAGCTCGTCCAATTATCTGTGTGCAGATGATTTATTTGGTCACTCCTGTTTCTCCTTGCTTGCATCCCCTCATTCACACTCCCTCATCCCCTATCCCTTTTCCATCATTCACCTCATCCTATCTTCCCGCTGTTCCAATCTTTCCATCTTCTATCCCCTGCTCTGTGTACAGTCTCTCGTTTCCAGAGCAGTAATAGTCTGGTTCGCCATGCCCGGGCTCCGTAATGAAGTTGCTGCCCTAGAAAAGCCATGTTAATGTTGACTCTGGGATCAGATTCTGCTCGAAGACATAGAGCTGTGACAAATGAATGTGCCAGCTTGAGCCAACCAAGTCCAATAAAATAGCACATATAGATCCAAGGCGCTGACTGAAAAACTAGGAGCAGGGATGCTTTACAGACTCTGTATTGCTGACTCTCTTTATACCTCTCTATATCCAAAATTCTCTTCCTAGCATGAGTTTTTCAACCAATACATCAATTTCTGCTCATATCCCCCCCCCCAATTATCATATTTGTCGAACGAGTCTGTTATTGATGAATGACCATCCATAAATAAGTTCTGGTCATGATTTGGCGTCTTTGGCTGTCTATATCTGATTTTGTCAACCAGCCTGATCATGGTAGGTGGCTGTCTACCTAGTTCACTTTGAGGTTTTTGTCAGACAAATGCTACTCCAAATGTAGGGATGGGTGTGCTTAAGGTTTCTGCCTCACTGAACTGTCTCAACCAGCTTGATCATGGCAGATGGCAGTCCACAGAAATCCTGGTCAGTGTTGGTTTCTGACATTCTATCCCACCTTCTCTTCTTGGCTGTCCATCACAGAGTCCGGTCTATAGGCTGTACATAGAATGGAAGCTGTCTGCCTCCTCACTGGGTGAAGCCACTCTGAGAACAGCACCCTCTGGTGACGGGCTACAGTATAAGTAATAAATCCCGCCTCCGCCAGCAAAGCTTATGGGGCTGTGGACAAACTTTAGAAAATTTATTCCACAGAACATGTTGACATGTAGTTCTTGTAAGACTGGTTTGTGCTCAAGTCCTCTTTTTTCTGTACAGCTCCATTTTTAAAAGTTATTAGGGGGTTCATATTTTCTATGATTGACACTTGATACAGCCTATGGGCGTACAAAGATTAAGTAGCTTACCCGGCGGATGTGCTGTTTGAGCCGAGCGTCATCATAGCGACTCTTGGCAACTCTCCCACTGAATGCTACTGCGCAATGTTGGTTTCAGGAAATCGAAAAAAAAAACCGCGGCATTACCAAGAGCTTTTTGGCTTCAAATCCATATACTGGCGGAAGGCGGAACCAATATGTCCATAGCATATACAGTCTATGGTTTAGTCTTGTTGGAGGTTTCTGCCTATTGAGGGGGCACTTTTAGGGCACTTTTTTAGGGTATATGTTAGAAAAGATATTGTCAAGAGTTCAGATTTGACACGATCTCCCTACAGTGTTTTGTCAAGGCCTTCTGTTAGGATCAAAGACTGAAAATAAAAAAATAAAATAAAATAATAGACTTGCTGGTGAATATGATAGAATATGACTTAGAGTATTTTCATCTGGGAATTTTCATATGTGCCGTTCCTCTGCTCTTGTGATTGATTGCTTATCAGTTAAAGCATTTTAGGGAATATTTAATAGAGAACTGCACTCTCTCTCACAAAAAAAAAAAGAAACGAAAGTAGACCTGGAGCTCCCTAAAGTATTGGTTCATCCATCTGCTTGTCAACAGCATTGACAAGCTGTCCGCCTGCTCCCACTCTGCCTCCCTGACCTGCCTTGACCTCCTTGGTTTCGATCTGACAGCCAGAGATGTGCTCTCCTCATGGAAAGGTGTGCGCATCTGTCTATGAGCTACTGTGCTTAGCTCCATCTACATCTGAGGATAGATGCACCAGTGACCCGGGCTGACGTACATAGGGAGACGAGAAGGAGTTTCCTCCGTCTGCATTTCCCCACGTTTCTCCTGTCATTCTAGCTCTGTCTAGAGCCTGCCGAGCAGCCATGCATGCCTTCCCTCCATCACAGAGATGGACTCTCTCTGCCATGCCCACTCATGCTTTCAAAGCTTGATGTCTAATCTATTTACTGCAAAACTATATTAGATCTGTTGGAGGGCTCTCTTGAGGCAAACCCTGATATGAAGCTCCATCATGTTTGTGTGTGAAAATAAACTCGAGTTGCCTGCCTAGTCAAAATATTAAATTGCTTTTAAAGAATCAAGTATGCATAAAATAAATCAATTTTGTCTGTGAAGATACCAAAACTTTCTCTTAAACCCCAATTCAAAAGAAGTGCTGAGGGAAATATTGATAAAACAGATTGTGGTGGTTTGCAGATATTTTAAACCCCGTATTTCATTTGAAAAAAAATAAAAAGAATCAACAAAAAAACAAATATTTTTCATTATATGTTTTTAACAGTGCTGAATGGCCATGGCTTTTGGGCTCTCAAATGTCACTATAATGCAGTGGTTCTCAAGTCCAGTCCTCGAGCCCCCCCTGTCCTGCTTGTTTTGGATGTTTCCCTGCTCCAACACACCTGATTCAAATGATCAGCTCGTTATCAAGCTCTGAAATGGCTTCATAACGAGCTGATCATTTGAATCAGGTGTGTTGGAGCAGAGAAACATCCAAAACATGCAGGACAGTGGGCCTCGAGGACTGGACTTAAGAACCACTGCTATAATGCATGAACTCAAAATCCTGTGTAAAACACAATTTGTTGCAGTATACTCACATGTAAGTTCAAACTGAACCATGCAAAGAGGGAAATGTTAATGAACATGATCCAGAAACACTGGCAGCTTCTCTGTGTCTGAGCATGTTTAAGATGGACTGAGGTGAAGTGGAGAAGTGTCCAGTGGTCCAATAAATCCAGATTTTACATTCATTCTGGAAATCATGGATGCTGGATCCTCTCCTGTTGAGCTCAAAAGGCAGCATTTGTAGAGTATTTGTTTGCACAAGTGCCCATGATGTGGGTAGCTTTGGCATCTTAAAGAAATAATTTTCATAACCACATTCTGCAACATTACAACATGTTTGGTAGTAGAGTATAGAAGAATAAGATCTGTATTATAATTGCAAGGAGCTATATCATAAGCTACACAGACGGTAAATGTTGACAATCTTTAGTTTCAGTGAACAGCGAACCGACTGTACCCCATGCTTGTACACGAGCCCAAAAAAGGCGTTTGTTTTCCTCTGTGACAGTATGCAAACATGTCAGGAAGAACGAGTGGCAATTATCTCATGTTGCAAATTTGATGAAACACATCCCAGATCAGTTGACACCATCTGGCCTTATCCATTCGACCAAACAGTTGGTGCGTTTCGATGGCAGCCATTGCGATAGTTCTATACTCAGCCATAGGGGTTTATGATTAGAGCTGTGCATGCTTGCGAGAGAGAAGAACCGGCATGCTTCATAAATCGACAACCACTGGCTTCAGGTTCCCTGTGTAATTAAGTCTTAAACATACAAATTTCAGCTAATACACAACAACCTTTAAAAATTTCCCTCTGCAGCTTTATTTGATTACCTCACACAAGAAACCAGCTATGAAAATCTAATTCACTGCATCTTTGATTGAGCGCCGAAACTGCAGAACAGCTGGTTAAATTAGATTGAACATATGGGGCCTGTTCCACAAAAGCAATTTGAGGGCAGCGCTGACATGCAGATTGCAAACACTGATAACGTCATGTTTCACGAATGATCGTCCTTCGCAAATTGCATGATCAGTTTGTGTGTCCTTCAGGTTACGTGTTTACTCATCCGTGTCTATCTGTGTTGGTCTTGTTTGGCGAATATTTTCAGAAGGATCAGGCATCCATCTTGGAAAAGAGATGCGCAATGTTTGTGGCAGTTGCAGGTTATTGGCACACGAAATCAAGATATGAGGCGCAGCTCTTTTCCCAGCACCCACATCAAGGGGAGCTGCATCAGTCATGCAAAGATCATCCCCACCCTGTCTCCCTGAAGTGAAGGCTCAGATATGTTGAAGTAAGACGGCGTTTTCTGAATGAAAATGATTCTGCTGACTTGGGGCTGCTTACTGCAGAAAGCATCAAACTCCTTCTGTGTGAGGGATGTGAAATGTTATGAGATCAGGTGTAACGTGGGCAAAGTCAATCAATTTACAGTTAGGCCGTGCCTCTCAGTCATCCATAACTCTTTTTAGCGTGTAAGTGGCTTTTTAATCTTTTCGTACAGGAGGTGTGCTTAACCTGTAGACCCTCCATGAAAAATGGCGAGGTGTGTAGGAGGAGTTAATTAACAAGCCAGGTGGATAATGTCTCTCTGTGCGGAAAACACTGCTCATTTATTTAGATTTAGTTAATGCGTACAAATCAGAGGAGCATTTGCACTGATGCCCGGCTCATCATTTAGAGTTCAAAACTCTCCGAGATTTATGGCATCCCTTTATTTGGCCAACTAAATAATTAACCACTCAATCTCTCCAACAACTCAAACTTGGGAGATCCCGACCTGTCCATTCCAGACTCCACTCCAGCACATCTATCTAACAGTGCTAAGATCCAGCATACAGAGCCCATATAATCACAACAACAGTGCGTAATAAGGTACTAACAAAGTAGCAACAGCCTTGTGGCAGTCCGAAAAAGATGTTGCAGTTGAGTACAAAAGTTGTCAAGCACATGTTTGTGACAATAACTGCACACCCCTAACTCAAACGACTCTTCAGCTGGGGTTGGGATCAGACTTGAGTGAGAGTTGTAGAAACAAAAGGCTGTTCTAAACAACCTTTTTCATGACTTTGAGACAAACTGTGATGGATAACATGAGTAGGCAAAACTCGATTTGGAGTGTTGGTTTAGCAACAGTCCCCATCAAACTGGTCATAGGATTGATCCTCGGTTGTAACATAATTTGGTGCATATAATTTCCATTGTTGCATCACATGTATTTGACCAAATCCTGCCAAAACAGGGCATTTCTACCAACATTTTAATACACAATCATCTGTTATAACAAACCCCCCTTTGCAAGTGCAAAAGAGCTTCATCAAGTTCATGCAAGCTTGTTAGACAGCCATTGGGAGTTTGCACAAACTAGCTTGCTGCTGTTTGTACTTGGAAAAATACCCATTTCAATCAAGTGGCAACCATTAGCGATGAAAAATGGAGCCAGTGTGAAATAGCAAAAACTCAAGTTTCTACCTGAGTAATTGCTGTAATAAACTGCTCAGTTTTACTGCAGACATTATGTCGTAATTGTTTGCCATGAGACAAAAGCCCCACCTCAGCTGTACATCTTTGTCTTTTTCACCGTAAGTCAGAATGGATCAACATATCTCATTTGATGACTGCAATCTTTAAGTTTTACAACCAATATGGCAAATTCCCAGAGGGTATGCCCTGTGCAATGAATTAAAACTATTGAGAATAATATAAAAATCTCTCCGAAACCTCTGCTTTCAGCGACCTTGAACCCAATATTCAAGTTGATGGGAAGCCGAAACTCTGTCCTCAAAAATATCAGCACACATGTGAAATGAGCCTGAGACTATGCCTGTGTTTTATTACATCTATGATTTTGATGTACCAGCATCTTAACGAGCTTCTGACACTGTAATTGCTAGCATGTTGTTAAAGGTAGCTTGACACGTGGAACTAGTTTGATTAGCTGGAGTTATCGAGCTTTTCCAAGCCTTGAATTCTTATGCAGTATGTTCAAATGGAGATTATTTTACATCAATTTCAATATTAAAGGAGACCAAGAAGATGCCTAGTATGAAAAAACGTGCACCTGAAATGCTTTTGAACAAAACTGGGTCCAAATACTCGCCAATCCAAAACCAGTTACTGACAGTTTACTGGGCCACCTAAATAATAAATCACTCAATCTTTCTTATGAAACTCTGGCAACTCTTGCACTAAAGAAAGTGAGAGTCCTGAAAGTTGAGAGGCTGACATTTATCTAACTTGAGTTTTTTTTTTTTTTTGGTTTTGGAGGCGATTTTAGTTTGCGATGGTCTGTGGGTTGTTTGTCTTTTTCATTGTTTGGGCTGTTTTGTTGGGGCTGGATATTGCAGAGAGATAGTCACAGATAGACAGTGAAACATTACTCAACTCCTGGGAGATAAGGAGGCCTGCTTTATCCAAGTAAAAGCTGTCAGTTTGCTTAGTACAGCGAATGTGATCGAGAATGTCTGGTGGCTGCTTACACCACAGTCTTGCCATCCCACTCGATGGGGCGATTGATTAAGCTGTCCCGACTGGATTTTCCATTGGCCCGGTGCCCGTCCCGCGGCCAAAATACACCTGTGCCGCCTGTCAGCTGCTTAAGTTATGACATCATGAGGCCCCTCATAAGGCACCTCCATTGTTTTGAAATGAAGGCACATCAATTTCACGGGCTCCACTGCCCAGCGGATGATTTGTGAGTGCTATTATCCCCTGAAATCGCTCCGGAAAATGGCTGCAGTGTGAAGACGAGGATTGGTGATGGGGTTTTGTGGCGGGTGGGGGGTGGGTTAGTTGGTTAGTTGCATGGAAATGGTTCATTGGTTGCGTATGTAACCAGTGAAAGTAAGAGCAAGGTCAGGCAGAGAGATAAATGAAAACATCGAGTTTCCATGAAGAGGATGAGTTTATTATTAGAATTCAGATTTTCTTCAGGAAGGTGCTTCATAAACATCCAGCAGGTGCTGACAGACTTTTGGCAGATAAGGAGGAAGCAGCAAGAAAAGGGGAAAAGAGTGACCAATAACCCTGTTACAAAATCAGTATGCAGGCACTTCATCTTCTCTTCTCATAGCGGCAGCCGGCCCAGGTCTGACTTCCATCCATCTGACAGCGGATGTTTTCATTTCCAAGCTTGACTAATTCACTATAAAGCTATTTGAGTGCCAGACTCTGCTTTTGTTATAAACTGAATCAAAGAAATAGAAAAGTGCTGACAGTTGGGAAATTCAATTCAAACTTGACCACAGTGATGGTAAACACAAAATGCAACTTCTCAGGAAGTCACTCCACCGCCCACTTAGCACGAGTGGTTCAATTTGTCTGAAGCGTCCACCGACTTAGCTGCAAAATAAGCAGATTGCTGATAAGACATGCTCATTAATCTGGTCTGTGCTGCAGCTGAACCCTGCACACCATCTTATTTGCTCCTCAAGAGTTTCCTCTCCTTTTTGAAAACCTCAAAGTCGTGCGAGAACAAAAAACCGTGGATCTGTTTAGAGGAAGAGCATCGACGCGCTTTTATAAGGCCAGCTGCCAGAACACAATACGTGGTCAAATGTTAAAGCTATCTGTGGCGTGCAGGAGTGACGGAGCCTCTTCACCGCGTCGCTTTCCACACCTGCGCTGAAGGATTTCAATTCACCGGCAAAGCCCTCGGTGACAGCGTCGAGCCATTCTGCCGGGCTGAGATAAAACATAACACAGGGGGAAAAAAAAGTTAAAATTATCAATTCCAAAGAAACGCCTGGGTATTAATCTAGAGCAGAGTGCAGCATGCTACCTCCCCGAGGATTTCCAGATGATTTTCAGGGGGATTTAAGAGGATGGTTTTCAGTGTGCGACGACATTATACACCACTATTTTCAAAATGTACAATATCTTATAATGTTTGATGTTGCTCAGAGAGCGTCCACAGCCTTAAGGCTTTTTTTTTCTTTACAAAAATAGAGTAAAACTAAATGAAAATGAGAGACACTGTTGTTTTATCATTCGCTGAGTAGAATCTTCTGCATCATATCAAGCAATAAAGCTAATGGCCATCTAGAGGTATTAAAAAGCTAACTTCAGGCATTTTGTTTTTATTATGTGGAAATAATTTCATATTACTGAGTCATTACCTTTTAACTAACCAAGACAGATGAGGTAAGGTATAATGTAGCATTTCTGCATGTATGTCAAGGCAGATTCCTGAGCGAAATTTTAGAAGAGAACAAGTTTCGTATCATAGAGATTTCAAATTCGAACCCTGGGAGAAAAGTTTAACTGCAGTGAGCCGTTTGCATTCATAATAATACCAGAGTGTACCGGCGCTGCCTGATGTAGCTTGCATATGATCCAGCAGAGGGCGCTCATATCGTAACCTGGCCCATCCATGCACTCTTGACCTCAGTAAACTGTGCTATTGTTGAAAAGCTGCATCAAATGAACGATCATGACATCAAAACACCCAAGAAGCGCTGAGTGGAGGTAATTTTGGTTCTAATTGGAACAATAAAAGAATATAATATGTGCTGTTAATTTCCTCATCTGACACTGACCTGAATCTTCTTCTTTATATTCCCATCTGAAGCATTAATCTCAGACCATTTCAGTAATAGCTTGCTTTAATGTTAGATGGTAAAACAGAAGTGGATAGTGCTTTAGCATTGAGGCACAAAAATCGACCTTGACACTCAAGTTATGTAAGAGGTTAGATGTTTCATGTCTTTACAGCCACATCACAAGCAGTTATAGATTATGAATTCAAGAATGTAGATCCTTACTCTTTGGTCTGTTTGACCTTATAGACATTATTTAACAATCAAACGCTTAATTTTTCAAACAAAAAACTACTCCAGCTTAAACAATCAAAGAGAAGCAGACCGGACAGCGAGGGCAAGAAAGCTGCATCAGCTGAAAGCTAGCTAAGATAGAGCTTCAGACACAGCTGGCTTTAGCAAAAATAAAACCTTTTAATTTAAAGTAATGTCATTGATGAGTCGATGTCTTGGTAGAGGATATTCCATTTCGTGTAATGTGATGGAAAAGCTTTCAAATCAATAACTGTTGATCTTTAATGAATACATGTGGTTGAGTTAGCTTAAGTGACATATAGCTTTAATATTTAAGTGTAAATTTCTCTTTATTTGGGATGTCAAATGGTTATTTTCAAATCACAATTGGTTGCTGAATTTCAGTTGTTAACTGTGAATATTTAGTCACGTTCAAACTGTGACCAAAATTGGAGACAGTTTCCGAGCATTTTATCTGCAGGCTTGTGGGGTTTTAATGCTAATCTGATTAACTACACCTGTACACATGGAATAATGTCATTTTGAAACAAAAGAGCAGACTGCCATTGACTCTGACTTGTGAACTGAGCCATCTGAGAGTTGTCAAAGTGAAATGTGACGTTCAAAAACACATGAGGATGCTGTGGCGGCTTAACCACTGTGTGCATATAGAGACAAAATAGCATCTGATTTTCAAAAAAGCACATTAAAGCGTGAATCTAACTGCGATTAGCCCATTAATGTTGATTGTGTATTCATTTAAATGCCAATATTAACAAAGACATTAAGAAAACTACAAATTCGGAGAATCGCCAAAATATTCAAGTTTCTTTATTGCCCTCTGTAGGCTGTTACCAAACATCTATTGCAGTGGTTCTCAAGTCCAGTCCTCGAGGCCCACTGTCCTGCATGTTTTGGATGTTTCCCTGCTCCAACACACCTGATTCAAATGATCAGCTCGTTATTAAGCCATTACAGAGCTTGATAACGAGCTGATCATTTCAATCAGGTGTGTTGGAGCAGGGAAACATCCAAAACATGCAGGACGGGGGGGCTCGAGGACTGGACTTGAGAACCATTAATCTATTGTGAGTTTTGGGATGACATGAACACACTTTACCCCAGCTGTTTCAACTTTTTTTTACTTTAAGACACGTGGAAACACCATTGAGGTGTTTTATCCTTTGAAACGCTGCAGTAATTTGCAGACTGGATGACAGTGAGGAGCCTATAATGTCTCCCTGTAATTCATGTCAACTCAGTAATCCATTGTCCACACATTCCACAAAAGATTGTCATTTATTCTTGAAATTTTTACAAAAGTTTTGAAAAGCCAAGAAATATCTGCCAAAGTTAACATTTACAACCTATAAGGGATTTATATGAAATGGTATGAAAAGCTGGGGAAGTCACGTCAAGTTCACGCTTGCTTAAAAATAATTCTCCTAATCCTTCGATAGGATTAATGGATCAAGAGGAGTATAAATGTATTTTTCAGCTGTCCAGAAGCTTATGAATTTCCCACAAATTAATGTCAGTGCATGTAAGAAGGAGGTCAAAATCACAAAAGGAAATGAAACTTACTGAATTTCCCAGAAAAAGCAAACAACTTAAGTCTGCTTAGCCTGTTTCCCCGTGTGGAGACATTCCCGCTGTTTGACTTCTAATACAAATGAGTCATAATTGAAGGAAATCTCCCTTTTTTAAATGTTTTCCATTGTGAGTTCAATCTGTCCACTCTGAGTATCATCCTTTTTCACTTTAGCTCCCGACAAAGCTGCTGCGAGACTTCGTCACTTACACCTCTTGACCGAATCTTTTCAATACAGACCCAGGCATGTCTGATTAAAAAACCCAGAACATCGCCTGTGAAAGGTTCAGCCAGCCACCATCTTACTTTTCAATCAAAACACAGTGGAATTTCATCTCATCTCCTTCAGAGGAATTCTTTGGTGCTTCTGATTGACTGTAATGTGCAGAGAAAACCTTTATAAGAGTGTTTATTCATATATTATCCTCTTGCTGAGGCTTCACCCTGAACTCTTAACCCAAATCTTTTTCATCCCTCTGTGTTTAGAAAAAAAAAAGGAAGAAACTCAGCCTGGCTGAGCAATTTCCACTGAAGAGAAATGAACAGAGTGAAAGCAAATTTCTCAATAGCATGTATTTGAAAAGCGGATAGAATAAATTTCTATAAATATGCAGGTGGTGGTTTTGTCGAAAGGGGCAAAGACTAAATTGGACTTCTTATCGTGTATGCGTGGTGGATAGACATCTGAAGTATGAGCACTTTTCTGGTCCATTGTAAACCTCGGACTCTGTGCCTTGATGTTATTTTTATTTACTTATTTTTTTGCTTCAACACTAAATTTATTTACCCGAGAAGGTGTACGTTAAAGATTAATCTCAAGAAAAAACGTCTCCATCTGTCGACTTTGATCTCACATATTGCTCAAAGCTTGAAAAGGACAAATAACAAAGTTGTGTTTTTCACTATATTTGTTCCTCATTTTTTAGGTTAACACAATGAACGCGCGCTTGTCCGACTTTAAAAAGAAGCAAGAAATGAAAAAACAACCTGTTGTGATGCTGTTGGCAGAAACATCAAACAGACTTCTCAGTACATTTGAAAGGGCGAAGTTGCAGCCTGGTTGAAAACAACTGTGAATGCATTAAATCTCAAACATGTTGTGCAGATATCAGAACATAAAGCATATTTTGGATATATTGCAGTCTCATTCAAACAAATCGAAAAAGGCAGTGATTCCCAAATCTGTCTAAAGATGCATCATTATGATTGTGATGTGTACATGCTCAGTTGTCAAATCCCTGGACATGCTGTTCGACTTCCTTGTTGTTACTCTCTGCTACACTCTGAACATATATCTTAAATCACTTTGATACTGCCCCCCTCACTTGAATACACAGAGAATTTACTACTGCGCCTGTATCTGTGTGTCAAATGACATGACAAATGACAAATAACATGCACGCAAGCCACAAAACTGGTGCAGTCATGGTAAAAACTTGATTTGAAGAGATGAAATTTGAAAACTGTGTCCTCTTGTAAACATTCAGGGCTCAAGTGCATGCTGTTAAACTAACAGGCTTAAAGCATGTTTACTTTTGGCATGTACACCTGCTTAATCATGTGTTTTTTCATATTGCAATACATAGTGCTGAAAGGTATGACAGAGTATTAAGGCCACATTAAGAAAAAAAAGATCTAGAGATTATTTTACGAGAATAAAGTCATAACCAACGAGAATAAAGCCGTGATAAAGTAATAATGAGAATAATGTCTCAATAAAATCATGACTTAAAAAAGTTGTAGTAAAGTAATCACTTACAAGAGTGAGTAAACCAAGTTATAACCATGTTATTACCAGGTAATGTCTCAGGTTATAACCAGGTTATTACATGGTAATGTCTCAGGTTATAACCATGTTATAACCAGGTAATGTCTCAGGGTATAACCAGGTTATAACCAAGGTAATTACCAGGTTATAACCAGGTTATTATCAGGTTATAACCAGGTTATTACCAGGTTATAACCAGGTTATTACCAGGTTATTATCTGGTAATGTCTCAGGTTATTACCAGGTTATTACCAGGTAATGTCTCAGGTTATAACCAGGTTATAACCAGGTAATTTCTCAGGGTATAACCAGGTTATAACCAAGGTAATTACCAGTTTATAACCAGGTTATTACCAGGTTATAACCAGGTTATTACCAGGAAATGTCTAAGGTTATAACCAGGTAATTACCAGGTAATGTCTCAGGTTATTACCAGGTTATTACCAGGTAATGTCTCAGGTTATAACCAGGTTATAAATAGGTAATGTCTCAGGTTATTTCCAGGTTATAACCAGGTTATTACCAAGTAATGTCTCAAGTTATAACCAGGATATAACCAGGTAATGTTTTAGGTTATAACCAGGTAATGTCTCAGGTTATAATCAGGTTATAACCAGGTTATAACCAAGGTAATGTCTCAGGTTATAACCAGGTGATGTATCAGGTTATTACCAGGTTATGTCTCAGGTTATAATCAGGTTATAACCAGGTTATTACCAGGTAATGTCTCAGGTTATAACCAGGTTATTACCAGATAATGTCTCAGGTTATTACCAGGTTATAACCAGGTAATATCTCAGGTTAAAACCAGGTAATAACCAGGTAATGTCTCAGGTTATATTCTAACCTGTTGTTTAAGATGACAGTTGTTGAAATTAGAGCCATGGAGCATTTCGTGAAAATGTACTAAAAAACAGGTTTCTCAAATGAGGAGGTACTAAATCTTTTGGTACATCAACACCACATTATCAGAAGTATCATAATGATTATATTACAACTTTATTCTCATAAGAAATGATTTAATTACGACTTTTCCTTGTAGCTAAGTAATTACTTTATTACGACTTTTTTTTGTAAGTAATGACTTTATTCTGACAAATTAACGACTTTAATCTCGAAGTCAATTTTTTTTTTTTTTAATGTGGCCATAATACTCCGTCCTAGATAGAAGGCAATGTTTTTGATTTCTTTTCTTTTTTTATTTTATATTTTCTATTACCATTCAGCACTAGTCATGAGTTTTGGTTAAAAATGAGATTGCAGATCCAAACTGCCAAACTGTGTTACTCCTCAGAGCGGCTGGGCTCACTCTTAAAGAAAGAGTTAAGAGCACAGTTGGGAACTCAGACTACAGCTGATGCTCCTCTGATTTGAAAGGATTTAGTCGGGGTGGTTTGGGCATCTGATATGAATGTCTCTTGGGTGCCTCTCTTTGGAGGTTTCCAGGGCATGCCCACCTGAGAGGAAACCCCTGAGTAGACCCAGCTGTCACCGTAACCTGGCCTCAGATAAGAGGATGAAAATAAAAGGTTGGATGAATGAAAGTTTGCTGTCCATATTGATGAACAGTCAGTGTGCTTACTAAAGAAAATCCTGTGATGTTAACACGTACCATAAACCAGCACCTCCACACCAGAATTCAGCTGTAAGCTAAGACTGGGTGGTTTAAGATGCTGTCTCATCGCTTCTCGATTTCTACAATGATGATGAGGGAGAGGCCTTTGCACCAAAGACAAATACATTCTGTTGCTGCTGCAATTAACAGTTCCAGTATGGTGGAGGTGAGCTATCTGACTTAGCTAAAGTTAAAGCTCCTGTGGGAAAGTTTCTGTTTGTGTCAGTTTTGGCGCCACCTGTGCCAGTAATTGCTTTGGAAACTGTGAAATTGTCATGCAAAATACTTAAGCAAGAAATCTAATTCAGGAAAAAAAGCAAAAACACATGGTCGAGAAGACGCAAGGAAAGACGCAGGAGGAAAACAACAAGACTTATCAAACACAGGTGTAACACAAAACACAGGTGAAACTAATAAGAGTGATCAAAAAGGAGGGAAAATACAGGAAGTATAAAGAAACAAGAAAGGGGAAGCTAGGGGAAATGAGAAAATGAGAAAACTGGAGTCCTCGCAAAATACAAACTAAACAAACAACCCAACATGACAAAGATAAGGCTGTTTATCTGCTCATCTTACACCTTTTCCCTTTAGTCACACAAGTTTTAAAAAATCAGGCTATTCTGTTGGTCATTTAGAGCCATCACTGTTAATTTCAGCCTGTTTTACGATCAGTCAAAAACCCTTCACTGTGCCTTTAGAGGCGCTAATTGAAGTGCAGTACTTGAGTCATTTTAATGCAGCTTACACAGTGACTGAGTGATTGCCACCGGTGACTTGTTACTAAATTTAAGACTTTGCCGTCACAACGGTAAAACCCCATTTGTACTCAAAGCCAAAACCTCCCCTGGTGATTTCTCTTATTAGAGCCATTAGCTCTGAATGACAGCAGCGAGACGTTGGGCGCAGGGAGAGGATTGAAGGACCGGCAGTGCAAATACCTGAGTAAACTCTCCACTCTAATAACAGGATCCTTCTGTCCTGAGATTTAGCAGATCCACTAAGCACTCCCTGTGTTTGGTTTGGGTTTTACATTTATCTCTGCAAAAACCTGCTGCAATGGAAATGTATTTGCTGATTTCTCGGTAGCCCAGGTTGACACATGCGGCCGCAGTTGCAGGAAACATCCATGCGCTGAAATGAGAGTGATGCCTGTAATAGTCAGGATTGAGATTTAATAATTGTTGGCACTTGTCCATGCATGTCTGGCGACTTGTTATGCGAGTTTCTTGATCGATCAGAGCAGGCAGTTAAATGGAAAACATTTACCAGCTGACCGTGCATTCGAATCCATCACGCACAAGACCCAGATACTCCACGGAGATGCAGAGTCAGTTGAAGATTGATGCATCGGCCTGCATAAAAGGGCCGACAGCCAGTCTTTCAGACAGTTACATAATCAAGGCTTTTTATCCTGGCTCATGCCCCCCTGCTGGGATGCTGACTGAGAGCAGTTAATAAAGAGCTAGCGTAGATGTCCACTGAGATCTATGGCCAGGTTTAGACTTGGAGAAGAGCCCCCTCCTTCCTCCTTCCCACCATCATAAAGCTGATGGTGCAATAAAGCAGCAGCCCACACTTGAAGGAGGACTCTGGCAGTTGCAGTCAAGGGACACCAAGTACTAGGAAATTACATTAGCAGCATTCCCATTGGAGTATTTAAAAATGGAAACACTGGAAGGTTCATTTTATTGCTTATGCTTTCGATGAGCTCTCACCAAAGCGCTTCCGACAGTTTGTAGCAGCGCAAAACATGATTTCGTCGTGGGGGGTTAACACAGCACTTTTAGGAGGGAGGGGGGGATCTCATGGGGGAGCGGAAGTCATGTGACATAAAACAGCATTTTCACAGAGGGGCTTTGTGAGGTGAAATCAGGATGAGTGGAAACGGGATATGAACGGTTTCATCTCCTCGGATAAAAGCTTCGACTTTACTTTGGCGAGCACGTTCCCCCCATTTTCCATAACCCGAATGGCACATCCTTTTATTGTGTAGGTTCTTCTACTTAATCGAAATGACTCAATTGCTATGCAGTGATCACCCTCAGTGAACCATATTCATAATGAAAAGCGAGACGATTTAAGATCCTTAGGAAACCTGGAGCTTTATTCTTTGAGACAGCTGTCTCAGTATGCAAGACGTAAAGTCCAGCATCTGGCGCCCACTACTTGCAAAAATGGTCAGAGAGGGAAAACTTTCTTTAACCAGGAGTTTAAAGTTTGAAGATAAGTAGTTAAATGTCATACAAGACAATAAAAATGATAAATCCTGGCCTAGCAGTGAGAAGCTTCACCACATTTTATACTTAAAGTAATGATTTGTTGAACCAACCAATGATTTTGATGATGGCTAGCAAGGGTAACAATATTTTAACCCTTTTAATTGTCTATTCAGTTTAATGAATATCATGAATATATACATACATATCATATACATTTCATCAGTCCAAAAGAAATGTTTAAATTAGTTAATTTTAATAGAAAAAAATAACTGAATGCCCTTTTTTATGTCACACAAATTTAGACAAAGAAAAAACTGAACTGATTGTTTGGGCGATAAGGCGCACCGGATTATATGTCACACTGTGAAATAACGTGTCTATGTTCACACATAAGGCGCACCGGATTGTAAAGCGCATTAAGCATCGATTGGCTTATTGTTGCTAGCGCGTACTCTGGGCCCGGGTTGCCTTACATGAATGCACTTCTAGTTTAGACATTACAGTCAGGCAGTCTTGTCGACTGCTCAGGGGTCCTGTTATGGGGCCAATCACATAGCGTACCGTAATGCTCTGAATATCCATTGAGCGGAGCGGCTTCATCGCTTACCAAAGTCGTACTTACACATTTCGACGGATTTCTAAGCACATTGTACCACATAAAATCTCACAAGTAATCATATACAAGACATGCTGGATTATGAGGCGCACTGTACATTTTTGAGAAAATTTAAGGATTCTAAGTGCGCCTTATAGTCCGAAAAACACGGTATGTATTTTTCAAACTAAATGTGCCCCAGTGAAAACAGGGGCACTGGATCTCTCTTCCACCATCTGGGGCATGTTAAATTTAAAACAGTACACAGTATTGATCATGTCAAAGGGATTGAACATAATCTTTACCTCTGCAGTTTATCTGGTTTAGCGGATGTACCAAAGGTAATCTTCATCAAGCCTGTCAAAAAACATTTCACGCCTTTCTCTTGTGTCAGACAAATCTCGTCGTCGAGGAAGTAGGTGGGATGGTCAAGTGACAAGAAAGATGAAGGGAAAGCCTGAGGGCATGTGGTGGATCTGTGGAAAAAAAGCATCGAATGGATGGAAAATAACAGAGCTTTGGCTGGAATAGAGGGACAGTGTGACAGATTGTTTGTTTGACACGATTCCACTGATCGACTGTGTCGGCAGTGAGATTAACTGTCTCCAGTACCAGGCAACGAGCATATGAACAGCTTTCAGATGTCCTTTTAGAAGCATATTGGTTATTTACACAGATGGGGTGTCCATATTTTGAAGTCATTTTTACTTGCTGATGCCCATGAACCGCCGATTTAAGGATCCTTTACCCAGCATATTTAACACTGCCTACAGGTTACCCATCGACTGAACGCTCACTGTGAGCAATCAAAAACAAAAATCTCAGCAAACGCTGCATAAATATGGGGAAAAGTTTCAACATCAGGCCATCCTGGTGTGCGGAAACACATTTACAAATTGTGTTTTTAGAAGTGTAATGATATGTTAATGTGATTTCGTTGGCAGCCCAGCCGGCTTTGAGCCATCCAAGTTAATACGTATCTTAAGGGTACCTGATTACAGCTTGGAAAAGAGAGGGATGGGGGACCAAATCTGATTGTCCGCGCAATAATTGGGATAAGTTAGTTAACTTTGGAGATCTGAGGCACAAAAGTAAAACTTTTTAAGAGTTGATAAATGTTGTGATACTTTTCCAGTGATGAAAAATAGTGGAAAAAGTGCAGAGAGAGTAAGGGCGCCCCAACTTGAAGCCTTTATGCCAACCACCCGACAGTCATCCTCCGAAGTTCAATCCTGTGTCTTTACAGCGGCTTAGACACGTCCAGGTCCGGCCGGTGTCAGAGGAGTAATGTGAGGGCGCTGTACAGGTTGGTCACTTTATCTAATGAGAGTCCCCTTCTCTCCAGAGGCTGAGGTAATTCTTAGGAGATTGCAGTGATAGAGTCAGGATAAAGACAGCCTGCTGGGAGAAGTACACTGTTCCTCTAACCCTGATGAACATTTTCACTGTTGTGCACTCTGCGAAGTAAAGAAACAGGTTACGCCGACCTACAGCCAGTCACTGCAGTAAATCTCATCCACGTATGTTAAGCCTTACCACGCACTTTCTCCGAAGGCTCATGAGGGAATTTACCGCCCGCTCGCGTGGGAGATTGCAATCTACGTCCAAGGCTGCCTATTAGACATTTTAAACCCTTATCATAATCTGACAATTTATGAATAATTTTCATCATCTTATAATGCCTCAGGATTGCTTGGAGGCTTGCAACATGATTACAGCACATTGAAGTACACTTATGTTTATGCAATGTCTGATCGGACTGACAGCTTTTCCTATTAGCATAATAAATGAATTAGAGCACCAGAGACAACGATCATTAGGCAGATTTACACCATGGGGAAATCATTTGGACAATGTGTTGTCTAATAACGTGATACTTCACACATGCCTCAACATGTTGAAGAACAGCCAGCTTCTTCGCTCACTGAAATAACCTTCATTCCTCGCTGCTGTGATTAGTCATAACACTGAATGGCATGCTGCAGACAAGCAAGGCTCAGCGCGTGCATGCTAAGTTCTTATCATGACACTACATCTCCTCACAAACACAGACTGACTTAGTGTACTAAACACTGCAGCCTCGAGGTTTATCCCTTTATCAGCTTCTCCCGTCTTTCCCTCAACTCCTCCAGCTCGTGTTATCCCTCTGCCTGCTCGCAGTTCCAAAGCAGGTGTGACATTGTTTCGTTCTTGCTCTCCTTATGCTAACGACATAAACAGCGGCTTGTTAAGAGTTTTTTTTTTTTTTTTTTTTTTTTTTAAACAAGCATGCAAGGCTCCGGAAAAGAGATTTCTAAACCGCCATGGCTCCTGCAAGGTGCTCCGGTAGAAATTTGCATTTAAACATGAAGTGTGCCTGTTAGAGGCTTCATCTGGAAGTATAAGTGGGAGAGCTGCAGCACTCTGGGATAATGGTCTCAGAGGACTGTGACTTCCATACAGGGTGTGCACATATAGTGAACTCAGGCCACAATCATTTACATCAAAGGCGGTCTGAGCCACCATCATTTTCCGTGATTGCTGTGCAGGATGTCTACATTATGTATATTGGGGGTTACAGGTCCACAGGGAATAAGGGCGGTATGATTTACACAGTGGGGACAGGAACTTAAATCCCAGACCACCTCTGCGTAGCTGATCAACCATTTCATCTACATGCTTGGCCTCTAATCCTGAAGGACCAGAATCCCTCAGGAAACACTCAGTGGTGGATAATTCAACATTTGGTCGTCGTTTGATGGCAGGGATGGAAATGATGTGCTCCTAAAAGTCGCCCTGAAATTAAAGATTCATTTCCCATCGCTAATCTCATGTCCTTTTTTTCATTAGCCCCTCCGCTACATGCAAAATTTGTCAAAGTGAAATGTCTATCTGTGAACTGAGGAGTGACATTTAAGACTTTTTATCCAATCAGATGTGAGCGATGATGACTAAGTAACACCCCAGTCATATCCAAACCTATCTGTTAGCTTGTGATGGGTTATCTTCAAGGTTTTCCTTTTTCTTATCCAACAAAGCTGTTAAGAGAGGTGTGGGCTGATTTAACAGTTACACAGTCCACCAGGTGGACCGATGATTCATTTATTTAATCTGGAAAAAAAAACAAGATCAAACACAATCAAAAGCAAAATAAATGACTTGCATAATCAACTCTGAGCAGCATGGACCTAGGTCGTTTTTCAAAACAAGAACTCAGTCGATGACACCGACCAAGGTATGAAGTATTTGGAATCTTTTATTTTGAAAAGACTCATGAAGAAATGCGATGAAGTCATGGCCGTGCAAGCGCTGCCTCTGATTGGGTTTAAGGGTTCAAATTGGAGCATGACTTGCGAGGAATGATGATTGGTGAGGCGGGTCATAATGTGGGGTCAGGCAACTGTTAACTGTAGACCTTCACCTCAAAGAAGCCAACATGCAACAGAGGACAAGGTCTATAGGGTGGGAACCCCTCTTGTGTAATGTTGTGTAATGTTAACTTCCCCATGACCACATCTGGTCTCAGAAACACAGACAATCCTTTTTTTCTGTCTCTTTGTGATTTTAATTTTGAATTTAAATAGAAAATCAAGTCAAATTTGAAATTTTGTCAAGCCTTTGCAGAGAAAAAGGCTTTGTGATTCAATTTTAATTTCATATTCTGACTCAGAAACTTTGTTTTCTTTTGTTGTAATACCTGTTTCTGAGAGCAAAACCCTATAATTGCTAAAGCTGGATGATTGGATTAAATTTTAAGATATCATTTGCTTATTGACTTTGCCCTGAAATACCTTGTGATACATTAAGATGAAAAAGAAAACTTACTGATCAACAAACTCTGGTTACAGCCTTGCTAAAGGGTTAGCTTAAAAACAGCTTCTTAAGATAATCATCTTCTTCCTCTTCTTACAGCCCTAATAAAAGAGGGAAATAATGAAAACGGTACAATACAGTTAAATAAGGAGACATGACCTTGATTTGGAAAAGAATAAAACCACAAACTTGATGCTTGTGTCTGATTTTTACCAAATGATCAAATCTCTTGAAAATAAAATTCACCTCCAGAAATGATCTCTAAATTTGGGAAATGTGGGACAGCCAACATATCAAAAGTAATAAGGAGCGCCTGACCTTCAAATTGTCACACAATACGGATATGAACGGTAAGGGTGGACTTAACAGAGTGAAGAGAGGACTATCTGATCTGAAGTCCTCTGGGTTGACCACTGCCCATCATACGCTCGTTTTCTACTGAGCTAGTTAGCAGCTTGACGGGCAACATCCTCCCCCTTGTCCTTCTCATTATCTAACAAGGCTGGTGAGGGATAAGTGGGTGGAAATAACAGTTACACTGCGCACTATGTAGACTGATGATTAATTTCTGGATTTGGAAAAAACAAAATCATTAAAACATCATTAACAGAAACACAAGGTGTATGACTAATACACTGTACACACGTAGTTTTTGGTATGGACGGATGTCGGAGATATAATGTGTTGATGATTCAGCTCCGGAGACACTTGTAGGCGGATTTCATTAGATATGGATATGGCTTCATTGGCAGTTTTCTCTTGTTTCCAGTCTTAATATAAAGCTGCTGGCTCTAGCTTTTATATTTATCAGACTCTTTGTCATGAGAGTGCTATTGATCGTCTAATCTAATTTCTGGCAAAAACACAGAAAAGCCTGTTTCTCAAAAACTAATAATGTGATCTAATTTTAACCTCAGAGTCACAGCACTGACCATAACTTGCAGCAATATTTGGGAAATCCATTTAAAAAGAACTCCAAGGCAGTATTGTTTTACTTTCCCAGTGCTTATTTTCCTCCATTTCTCTTATTTTTTTTTTAACAGTGGCCATGGCTACACACCATGAAGCTGGAGCCAGACACGCCCAACGCTTCTTCCTGTCAAGAAAAAGCCTCTGTGGTGCTACATTGAACACAAGCTCTCCGAATATGCCATCCAAGTGCGAGAAAGCCCAACGGACTGCTTAACACCCGCTGTAAGTACCGACACACTCAAAGTCTTGAGTGTTTGCTCGTGAAACTCAACCAAAGTCAAACTCTGACGTGCAAAATTCACACTGCTGTCCTGATTTCTTAATAAGCTGTTTTAAATATGCTCTCATTGTTTAAATAGCACAAGAGTTTGTCCTTATAGGTGACACACTATACCTCCCTCAGTCCTGTCTGATTCGATCATGTTTGTCTGCTTTCATATAGGATCTGGTCTTCTGTTCGTCACTGCTTGCAGAGAATTCAAAGTAATCTAAAAACCCTGTTAGACAAGAATTATTTACACCCAAATTACATGTTTACAAATTGAATACCTCCTCCAAGGCTGAATAACTTAAGTGAACCTGGCAGGCAGCATCCCTAATTTATTCATCTTACTTCTGAAATGATGTGCCTAATGCAGCACACTGCCAGGTACATCTGATCCTCTACACAGAAGAAGAGGATTTTGTGCACTATAGTCCTGCACTGGCTAATGGCTCTATCCTTGGGCCATTGTCACAACATGTGTGACATTTTTCTCCCCCGGTCAATGGCTTGTGAAGAGCCTGATTACACTGATGGATACAAAGGAGCTCTTGACCATGAAGATGAAGAGTGGACTTATGAATCACTACAGTCAAACTGAGGCCTTTAAAATGCATCTTTGTCAAGTTAGAGACTTTATTAGTGTAAAAAAAAAGCATATAACTTTGACATCTTGGTGGCTTACATCTGTATATCCCATCCCAAGAGGGTGAGTCTACATCATAGACCGTATATAAAATGGATGTTGTCTGCCTCTGCGAGAACAGCACCCTCTGGTGACGGGCTGCAGTATAGGTCATAAACCCCGCCTCCTCCAGCAAACTTAATGGGCAAACTTTAGAAACTGATTACACAGAGTATACATTTTTCTCCCTCCCTGGTTGGGATGTGGACATGTAGTTAATGTAAGACTGGTTTGTGCTCAAGTCCTCTTTTTTTAAAGTTATTTGATTGACACTTGATACAGCCTATGGGCGTACCAAGATTGCGTAGATCATTTGGGGGATACGCTGTTTGAGCAGAGCATCATCACAGCTACCCTCCTGCACATTTCGGACACTACTGCACATGTGGTGGTTCCAGGAAGTGGAGAATATTTGTATAATGACAGAGGGCGGAGCCAATCTGTCCATAGTTTATACAATCTATAGTCTCCACCTAAGTTGGTACACTTTGGAGCAAATATAGCAGGAACGAACAGTCTCTACATTAGAGATAAATGAGAATATTATTTCTGTGGTCATGAAGGGACTATGTAAAAGACAAAAAGCGAGTGTGTTTATGATTTGAGTGGGTGCGCATTGGTTTTGACGCCTTTTTTGGCCTAAGAGTTGAAGTTTAGTGTCAGAGCAGTAAATCTTCCCTCTCTGCTGATCTTGTCCTGCGTTTAGAACAAGAACATCCTTGTTCTGCAGTTGTGTTTTCTGGTGATAAATCTCATCCTGCTTCTTTTATAAGTCAAGCATATTAGTCACTGAGGATCTTTGCGGCGGAAAATGTAAACAAAGGCTGTTCTGCAGCTCGCTGTCACCGACTTTGTCTGACACCTACCCAGTGGCAGCAGTTTTGGGAATTAAAAATAACTGGATGCAAATTTTCTCAAGTCTAATTCTGTCTTATGACTGATGGTCTTGTTTGCTGTCATGGATCATATTTTGGCATCTTTATTAATTTCAGTCTGGTTCATAACCAGCTTGAAACTCCCCACAGGAACTTTCATCTAAGCATTGATGTGCTTTGATTTAGCATTTAGCCGAAAACTCTTTAAATGTTTCTTTTGATGTCCATCTACTTCTGAGAAATCTTGACCTTTGACGGCTTGATTCCAGATATTACTTTATTCAATTTGTGACTGAGAATTCAACGTAGACGAATTTGTTTCATAGTCAGACGCCTTGGTTGTGAAATCCTCACTTTTAGCCCTCCGGTTCCCAAATTTAACTGGACAGCACTATCCTCCTAAGGCCCTGAATCCCATTCAGAGGCTTTCAGGACCCATCAGATCAGATGTCACTCTGCCATGCCAAACAATATCTGCTCTCCAAAATGGATGTCATGTTTAGCAACGTGCGAGCACTTGATATCAACAACCTCCCTCCCCTCCGCTGGAGTGCGTGCCAGCATTATCAGTGGACACGGCATCGGCACGTACGCACACTTACACACACACTCTCACACCACTTTTTGATGCTGTTCCACAAGCGAGACCGTCAAGAGCTCACCCTCTTCATCATCCGAACGCTGTCCTGACCCATATCTCAAACAGAGTCGCTCCACTTTCATGTCAGTGAGATTGAAATGCGAGTGTGTGTGTGTAATTTGCATTAGAGTTAGCGCATCTTTGTGTGTTTTTCCTTGAGTATACTCATCTGTCTGCTTTTTTTTTTTTTTTTCTTGGTGTGTTTGCGCGCACCAACACCCCCAAAGGACTTTCAGGTCAGCTCCGTGTCAGACCGGCCAAATCGCTGGCACAGATTAACAGGAGAGGCCAGCGCCAGCCTTTGAGGGCGAGCGTAGTGGGAGCAGTCGCACCAATTAGAAACCCAACCACCCAGCCCTGCGCTCACACTGGCTGGCTGGAGATAACAGAGCAGCCACACACATGCTCAGACAGATAGGCATACAGGGAGGAAGCGCTCGCCGCATACCCGCTCATAACTTGCAAGCTAATACATATGCAACACCCGGCCGAGCATCATCCATTAGCTGCGAGAGGGGGCCTGAGCGCTGCTGGAGGTGTCAAATATGCATGAGGGAGTGGAGGTCTGTGTCTCATAATCCTCGGGGCAATTAATACAATCGTTTCCAGGGCCAAGGACCTGGATGCACATTTGAAACCACTCCCCTGGGCTTGTTGAATTTTTCAGGTGGACTAATTTACAGGTAGGTTAGCCAGAGGCTGGCTTTTATGGATTGGAGCCGTCTGGGAAGCGACGGGAGGCCATACATTGAGAATTGCTTGATGTGATGTATGGGGCTGAGGGAACGACATAGTCAGTGGAAAACAATAGAGGTTTCCCTTCAGCTAACTGGACTGCAAAACACTGTTAGCTGACACAGAGTTTTTTGATTTGCTAACTCAATACACAGAAAGGACTCTTTTTTTTATGACACTTTGATCAATATTTTTCCAGACCCCTGCAGGATGTTGCTGCAGATGTAATAAGAGCTATAACACACTTTTGCTTTTTCCACTTTAATCCAAAAAAGTGAGTGGTCTCAAAAACAGAGAGAAACTTGAGTGTATTTTCATTTCACTGTCCAATAATTGGCATTTCAAGCTTTTACATAGAATATAAATAAAATAACAGCCAAAACGAACAAAAAAAAGCTTTGAAATCAAGCGAACAGCAATCTCCTGAAAGCCGACGATTCAGAATGAAGCCAGACTATCAAATTTCTTGATCAAATACTTCTTCAAAAAAATCGATCTATATTTTTTCCTCCAGATGAAAAACACAAAAAGTACTTCAGTGAATAATATCAGGTTTTCAAAATCAAAGAGCAGTGACTCAAACTTTCACAACATTTGTTGAGTAGAGAGTAGTTTCTTGCTTCTTTGGTCAGACCAAACCACTCACCAATTCCAATAAAACAGCATCCAGAATTAGGATTTAGCCGTGTACCAACCATCACCATTACAATCAAGGTGCTAAATGTGTCCTATAAGATACAGACTGCCTTCAAAACACACTAAATATAAAGCTTAAGCTTAAGAGAGAATGGGAATGTGGGAAGTAGAGAGTGGCAAAGACATACAACTCGACCATCAACACCTCTGCCTGATATGTTTTGACCAGTTATTCATGTACCGTTATAAGTTCTGACTGTTTTATGCACATATTAGGGAACGCCTTTGGATGTCAGGGTTGGCTTTATGAAGAAACAAAGAGGGAGATTGCAGAAGATGAAATATTTTCCTGTATCCTAATGTTGTTAAGTTATTAGCATAGCTTGTCTGCAGCCTAATCCTAACTCTAACCCTAATCTCAACTCTTCCTAATGGAAGTTCACCACTTGTCTTTACAAATAAAAAGCTTAAACCTAATGATTGTCTTGGACCCAATTTCAAAATAAAAGCATTGTGTGAAAACAAGAGAGTCCTTCCACTGAAGAAACAGATGGGTCTTTTGCTTTGTTAAGCTTTTTGGAAGTACCATCCACTAAGTTTTTCATGCTTGTAGGATAAACATGGCTGATATAGAGCCAGTACAGCTCTCAGCTTTATGGCGTCCTGAGTATTTTGGCGGGCTGCGTAATTGGCTGTGTGGCCTGCAAAAGAAATCTGGTGAGATGGGCTGCTTATGCACAACAGCCTGCGTGGTCTTATCTGTTGAAATGCATGCCAAATAAAAATGAAGCTGAAAAATATCATGCAGACGACACTTCCTGGCGTAAAGAGGTAGGGTACAGTTGGATATGGAAACACATGCAAGATCAAGGCTTACTGTACCAAAGTGGACTGAATACAACAATATTTCAACCAGAAGGTGGCGCCCAAGTCCTGGGCCCATGGTCTATATAGCCACTTTTAGCCTTCTATATGGCCAAGTTTAGGGGGTTAACGGGGCTCACTGAACCTCCTGGTGGCTCATGGATGAGTTGATCCTGGAAAAGTGTATCGTCAGGTGCACGTGTGCTGCTGTACTGATGGCGCCATTGACTTAACTATAGGCCTAAAACTCAATTGAAAGTCAGCCATGCTTTTCATGGTATTTAGAGGATGCATCAGTTAGGCAGTTTACAGATATGCACAACAGGAAGGAGGAAATATCAGTGTATTTACTTATACATCCAAACTGAGCTGTTTCTGTCTAACAGGACACAGGGCTTGGAGGCGGCGACTTTCTCTCTTGTCTCCTGACACTATGTCACTGCTGGCAACACGAGGCCAAAGGAGAAGGACAGCCTCACCTCTGTTTCCTCACACGTCTGCTTCACTTAGATCCAGTATGGGTCAAAAACCTGAATCCTGAGTCTGACACTGAACTGTCCATCACTTGGAGCACGATCACTCTGATGTCACTTTAACACACTCAAAAACAGACACAAGTGCTCAATGAAGAAAGTGAATGAGACATTAGTTCATGTTTGATCCTCTCAGATAGCATGGACCTAACTATGGACTTAAACATGGAAACATGGCAGTTAAAGTTCCTGTGAGGAGTTTTTATTTAAAGGGTTACGAACCAAACTGGAATCATTTATGATGCGTCTCTGTGATGTTTAAAAGCAAATGAGACCATCAATGTCAAATTTGGCATTTTCTCAGTCTTAATTTTGACTGTTTGTATGTGCAGTCAGGTTGTAGGAACACTGGATAAATGAACTTCGGTACTTTTCCTGCTGCAAATATTCATAGTCAGTGATGAATTCAACTTAAAGGGGCAGCAGAAGGGGGCTTTTTGTCAATTAATACCATTTTATTGGGACTAGATGGAATTAGAAACAATATAATCCTCAGTTTTCATCGAACCTGGAAAGGCTCCGATCCGGAACAGCGGCGATTTTTGCTGTCCACCAATTCCTACGGGATCCGTTGGTGAGGCGAATTTCGTGGTGGATTACGGACAGTAATCACGAGAACTCACAAGAACCCATGGACTCACATGCATAATCGTGCAACATTGAGTTGTCTCTATAAAGACAGCCACATAGCCATATAAGCAGTAGATTGTGACCTCCCAGAGGAGGAAATCCACTTCCAGACTTTTAGAATCAACATCTCCTCATCCATCGGGTCATCGCGGTGAAATGCTGTCTAAAAACCTTTCACTTGTTCGTCCCGCCGTTTGCATGGTGTGAAGTACAATCCACCTGAAACACGGAGTGTTTTATTTTGAAAGGAAGCCGGATGTTTTATTTTGTGTCTGTGCCTGACTTCCTTTCCAGCACAGGTTAATCTGTGCAGAATTTATCCAGTGTCCGCAAAAAAAATAGAACTCTTGCGATCAACTGCAGAATCCGGCGATCTGCAGTGGAATGGAAAGAAGCTGGTGGAAACTGACACATTAATTTGAATGGTTGCGATCAGTTTTGATCGGCAAATACAGCCTTTTCGTAGCTGATCCGGATAAAGTGGAAAGTGGGGGTAAGGGTTGCGCTACCAATTTGTCCTCAGATGACACCAAAATCAACAAAGACAGAAAGCTCCTTACAGGGAATTTTAAAAAGACTCTTTTCTACAGATTTGAACTTTTTCAAAGTAACTGCAGTTCCAGGGTATAACAGTATCAGCAGGGTTAACGTGCACATCAAGTTAGCGTCTGTTTTAGATCTAGAGAATTCGATTTCTTCTTTCTGTCAGCAGCTTCCATCACATTGCTGTTCCTGCAGAGTGTTGAAGCAGTCATTTTCAGTATAGAGCAGAGCATTGAATTCTGCCTCCTCTTTTTTTTGTTGTTGATTCTGCAGATGTTTTTAGCCTCTAGTCAGATATTGATTGAAGTGTTCAGCCTAGTGTGAGGAGAAGAAAAGGTGGGGGCCGGCATTCGGAGGCACTGGGTTGGTGGAGAAGCAGTATTGATTGCACTTAAAGTGACAAGATTGAGGAGGCCCACTTTGACACGTTATCCCTATTGCCGCCAACAGACAAAGTGCGCGGCCCGAGGAGCAGTGCCGATTGATTTCTGTGATCATAGACGTTCTCGGACCTATGAATCTGGGGCTGGAAAAATAAGTCAACAATTTTTCATCATACCGCTGTAATGTAAGGACTGACAGGTTGTTTGATTTAAGAGGACAAGTAAATGCTTCGGTAATGAATCGACCACATGCTCATTCTGACAAGCTTCAAAGTCCTCACAGCTCCGGTAATAATAACGCGGCGTGTAAAGTGCATGGACTGATAGTATATTCCAGAAGGCAGGTATTGTGGTTGAGCCGGGATTTTGTTCGTGCATAATTCACCGCCGAGGCACGCCGCTGATATAGCCTCTCTTTCTCTTATGACCATCAATCAGGTAAAATTGCTTTCTTCTAACATTAGGCTGTCAACGAGAAATAACAAATGTAGCCATGCAGAGAAACACATGATTACAGGGTAATAATGCCCCGAGGTCAGATGAATGTGACCTCATTCAGGGCGCCTTTTGGAAAGGAGCAAGTGCAAGATTACCCTCTGAAGACGACGAGTCACAAGAGAGCCGCTCATCTTCATCTTGAGGTGGCTGCTGTCAGGTTGTCCTGCACTGCTGCAAAGTCTTTTTTAATCAATGTAGCAGCATGTTAGATATAATTGAACCAAGGGAAGAAAAAAAAAATCAAAAAAGATTAACCTGTAAGCTCAAAAGGAGGGTTAAAAAAAAAGCACAGGTGGGGAGCGTGATTGGAAATATCCTTCCAGCTTTCGATGGGCTCTGCTTAAAAAGATAGAGGAAGAAAAAAAAACACCCCTCTCGTCCGATTGAGCTATTTGGAGCCCCACATTCGCTCTGATTGATATTGTGTAAATCCATCACTAATCTTCCAGGAAATTGCACCAGCGTTTTCAGAGGTCTAATCGAGATGTGTGTGCACTCGCAGACTGAGTAGGAGTAAGAACCAGGAGGGAAAATTAAAGAAGAGGGAAGACAGATGGAGGAAAAGACCTGTGCAGCTCGAGAGGGATATTTTTAAATCTGGAAATTTATATTAAAAAAAGAAAACTAGAAAAAAAAGGGGCAAAAAATTAATAAGCATGCTCGAAAAAGAGGAGATGTATCATGAGGGAAAGGTTTTTTTTTTTCCTTTTCTCTCCTATGCCTGAGTGATCTCGGTTTCCTCAATCCCAGTGCTCCTCTTCCCTCTGTGTCGCCTGCAGGTCTCGGGTTCCATGTGCTGCATTGCCAATTACCCATGAAAATAAGGGAGAGAGCGCCGGTTGCAAGAGACTAATGCGCAACAAAAAAAAAAAAAAAAAACAAGCAGCTTTTAAATTCTATGCATGCACATGCAAAGTAGAATGTGGTGCAATATGTTGCAAAAGAGTTAAAGCAATGGAGTGAAGTGCATCTGTTGTATTGGAGCTGTACTGTATTATTAGATGTTGTATTGGAGCATTAATCAAACCCCCACAATCCTGCCCTCACCTAATATTGCCTTAAGTGGAAAAAAAAACAAAAAAAAAAACAAGCCCAACAATAGAAACAGGAGACCACTTTATGAGGTTTTGATTTTCTCTGCTCATAACATACATTGAGTGCTGTAAAAGGAGGTTTTTTTTCTTGCACGAGCAAACCCCAGCATGGCATATCAGCACAGCAGGTGTTTAAGCATGTGATTGTTGGCAGGGAAGAAAGGTGGGGGTTGGGAGTCGGGGAGGTGAGAGTAACTGAATTGTTGGGTCTAAAAGGTATTGTTCTTCGCAGGGGAGGACTCTGAGGACATTTTAATGAATGGAGCTTGGGGAATGCAGTTGGATTGGCTGTCATAGCAGCAGGAGGAGGAGGAGGGTTATACTGTTACCGATGTAGATGCTGAATTATTGAAAAGGCTGTTTCAGTATGGTTAATTACAGTTATTTCGAGCCTTAAACAGAATGTTAGCGGTCTGTTTTTGAGGAATTCAATACTCGACTAAGGAAAAGGGTCAAATAAGTACAAATAGGCAATTGATTCACAGAGGGATTGTACTTCAATTTAATCCACAGAGTGCACACAAAGGCTTAAATGCATCTCAGTTTGTGCTGTAAAGTGAGTGTTTTCCATATTCAGGTGCTGTCTGGGTTTATTTAAATGAGCAATTGTGCAATAATTTGGAGCAGAAATTGCACCTTTCTTTGCACATAAACTTAAATGCATACAAAACATCTATGTCACGATGTAGTTAATAGATATGACGGATTTAATGGGGAAAAAAATCAGTCTAAAACCCTGACTCAGCATTTGTGGAGCTGTAACACACAACCACTAACCAAAAAAACATTCCCAGTTATTTCTTCTTGACTAAAATATTAAAGAGTTCACTGCATGTCCAGGAGAAACCCGAACTAGAACATTGTGAGATCCTTAAAAAAAGAAAAAAATGGCCAGGTTATTAAAATACTCGTGAAAAAATCGCTCTATTTCTTAAAATGTTTACCTGGTTCGATCCAATGCCCCCCTCTTGTATGCCTATCCTTCTTTTAACATTAAATGTGTTTTATTTTGATTCAAAGCCCAATTTTATAGTTTTAATTTCATGGTTATAAAGTTTTACTATCCTATGTTTTGTCATTAAAGTTCCTCTTCCCTGCCTAAGTTGAAAAAATGTTGAATTTTCCACCACATCTGTCATAAATCCACTTCACCATACACCGGTAGGAACATTGTCATCCCCGCTCAGCACATCATTTAAATCTGGACAGATTTGAGCTCAGTCAGGAGAAGCACACACACTGCTGAATTTTGGTCCCGGACGAGTACACAAAACCAGTCCTTGGGTCTGGTAAGAGTTCTGCTTGCTCCCACTTGAAAACTTATATAGCATTTACAGCAGTCTCTGCTAACTCAGAGTGTTTGTGCTTGTGAACAAATAGTGCAATCATGTGCAAATGTATTCTAATAACAGCTTTGTTCTACTTAAAATTCCATCTCTGATTCGCTTTATTTGTTACCTACATTTTCTCTCACTGCTCCTAATCAAATCACAGGAGGGCAATGGGGAATTTATGTGCATACATACATTTTAAATATCCCCTCTATGAAGTTCTCTGCTGTGGTAATATATTTTAATTATCTAAGGATTTCAGTGATTCAAATGAGCAGGTCTTTCCAGACGGGTGGATTAGCGCTTCTCGACGACATGTGAGCAGAAACCATATGTGTGATTATGTCTGCTTTGTTTGTAACCACCTTCATGTCGCAAGTGTCTGACCCATACGTGCATCATTTCCCTTCTTGGTTTAAATTAGATTGTAAATGTCAGCATATGAACTATTCTCTTCCGCCATGTAAAGCACGTGTCCGCCGTTCGCTGTTTGCCGGACGGGAGACTGCAGTTGATCTCTGTCACATGTTGACATGTCCGACAATTAGAGAATGACTCAAAGGCAGGGCCAGGAATAGCTGCCTGTAGCATCTCTTACTTCCTGACCTCCATTCCCCGTGATGTGCATCACAACAAAAGCAGAGTTTCAAGTAGAGGCAACCACCAATTAAGGCCACATATCCTTCACATGAACTCTACTGCTTAATCAAAGCTGGGAGAATAATGAGCCAAAGTAAACAGTAATTACTGGAACCAGTTCATTGATTACTGTTGCATCTCTGACTGGCCCCGAGGGACCCTCCAGGCAAGGGAACGTCTCCAGATATGCGCTTGATAGCAACATGTGACCTTATGCCTCGGAATAAAAAAAAATCCATTCATCTTGTTGAATCAGTATTATTCAAACTGCGTTAAAGAGCACACATGTTGCCATTTTCATCTGCGGTCAGACATGGAGATTGATCATGACGCCTCCCTGCTCAGTGCATATTCAAACTCCACCGTTTATTTGGCGTGTGATGATAAATCTATCCATGGTGTCCTGTGCCAGCGGTGTGAATAATGCATGTCCTATGGATTTGCCCTCTCTATGAAGAAGTGGGGAAAGACATGACTGTGCAAAGTGTCGTCACATTAGGGGGAGTTAAAGCCAGGGAGATTGCTGACTTGTTGAAGTCAGTCCAATTACAGATATAATTCCGCTGTATTCCCTGAGAGAGGGTCAGGAATTGGGTTAACCATACTGGTTACCACCATAGAAACTCATTGTCATTCTCTCATAGCATGACACAACATAGCTTTAAAAAAAAAAAAAGCTAAGATCCACACCTAAACAACTGTGCGATATGTGTTGTTTGTGGTCTACCTATGTGTTTCTTATGCTGTTATACACAGCATTTTCAACTGCATCCAGAATGGCTACGGAAAGGCTGTATCCGCCAATCGCAGCTGATCGTAACCATTCAAGTTAATGTGTCAATTTCTACCGGCTTCTTCCCGTTCCACTTCGGATCGCAAGAGTTTATTTTATCCCGTTACTGGTGCTCATTTGAATGCAGTTGAGCAAATGCAACAGCTGAGTATTGTGGTATTGTATCATGTTGTATCATATGCAATATATGCTGCAGTGCCAGGGTACAATTAGCTATGGGTACCCAACGATCAGGGTCTACCGTGCCAGTATCTACCAAACCAGACAGGACTGCTTGATGGAAATGCACTGTTAGTCCACTCACTTGTTGCAATCATAGACTGTATATAGAATGGACGTCGTCTGCCTCCTCGCTGGGTGAAGCCACTTCGGGGACAGCACCCTCTGGTGAGAGGCTGCAGTATAAGTCATAAATCCCGCCTCCGCCAGCAGAGCTTATGGGGCTGTGGACAAACTTTCAAAATTTATTGCGCAGAATATAATTTTTTTCCCCAGTTTGTGAAGTTGACATGTAGTTGTTGTAAGACTGGTTTGTGCTCAAGTCCTTTTTTTCTGTGCAGCTCTGTTTGTAAAAGTTATAAGGAGGTTCATGTGTTCTATGATTGACACTTCATACAGTCTGTGGGTGTATGAAGATTGCGTAGCCGAGCGTCATCACAGCGACTCTCCCGCTGAATGTACACAATGCTACCGCGCTACCTGCACTACTGTGCAATGTTGGTTTCAGGAAATGGAGAGAAAACGCGGAAATACCGAGAGCTTTTTGGCTTCAAATCCATATACTGGCGGAAGGCGGAACCAAGTTGTCCATAGTATATACAGTCTATGGTTGCAATCAATTCCCAAGAGAGTCTAGCAGACACAGCATACCATTGGGATCCTGTCTTGGGGATTCAGCAGTGGTCACAGTAAGGGACTCTAACACAACGCCATCTAAAAGCTGCTAATTTAACTGCACTGCAACCCAAGTCAGTTTATTGTCTTTGGGGGGAGGTGATGCTAAAGAAACCAGGGAGGGACATTAGTGTTGTGTCAATCCAAACAGCACTCTTGATGTACTGTAATGATCTGACTACACTCAGCAGGGAGGTTAAAGGTCTCCAAAGAGGCGGCTGGTCATTTGACCGACTAGTGGGAACTCTCTAGATCACTACTATTCACTGATGCTAATGTCACCTGAGGAGATACTCATAAAATTTGCATATGATTTCACTGTGAACACCTATATTATACTGCTTGTTGTCCTCCATTACATGCCATATTACTTCTCCACTAAATCGATGGCAGAGGGATTCTCAGGTGGCAATATTTGCATACATGTTGGAGCCAGTCAGTGTGTAGGCAACATGAAAAATGCAATTTTCTGCGTGACTTCTCTCTGCTCGAGATGGCAGCTGCGCAAAGAGCGAGTCCATGCCACCTGTAATTGCACCGCTGCTGACATCTCTCATGATTCTGCCTGCTGGTGCAAAAGGTTTAGTTTTTTTTTTTCATGGAAAAGGGTCGTGCCTCTGTCGAAGAAATACCTCACCATAAAGTTCTGGTATCAGTCATCCCTCATAGCCTGGAGTGTTGGATATAAAAGTGCTCCCAGTAATCATAAAAAAAGGAAAAAAAAATGTGGCCTCTGTAAGCAGCAGTTTCAAGAAGGAGGGAGATAACTGTAGACCTGGTTTTACGACCGCGAAAGAAATGTGAACTGTTCATAAAACAACATATTCTTGGTTCCATGCCGGGGTTTGCCCTGTATTTCCAGGAGTTGTGTTCATATTGAACTGCGCTATTCCCTTGATTTACACCCAATACAAACATAAAACGCCACCTCAGGAAATAGTGTACCCAGTGTGGAACGGTATTCGAAGCTTTTGGTCAGCATTGTAAGTGATAATAGATCAAGGAGTGGAAGCTTTTTGTATGATTTCACATCCCGGTTTTTAGAGGTTTTGCCAGTCCAAATAAGCTTGATTACAAAACTGCAAGATCCTCTTCTCTCTGTAAACTAGTTTAGGAATGTGTTCCAGGGTCACATCTGGATTCCTGCTTTTTTGTCTCCAGATAATCACCCATCTGGAAAATACAAGCCCCTCCCCAAAGGAGTTTCGTAATCCACCACAAGAGTCAGAAGAGGTAAAGTACTCTCCATGGCTGAGTCGAACACATCAATGGCAGACTTTTTTCCAGTTTTTGCTCCACACAGGCAAACCTTTGACTTAGATTAATGATCTGACATGAATATAGCCCCGTGGAGAGTATCAGCCAACCACAGTGTCCAAGGTGTTCGATTGATGACAACCCTCGTTCCTGTAAGGGTTTTCGATTCAGCACATCAATAGCACTCAGTAATTTCTAAACAGAACGAGTGAGTGGTCAGTGGGGGATGTAAAAGAGGAAAAAAAAGAGAAAAGGAGCTCTGCCGCGAGAAGCTCTTTCTGCTCGTCCTCCAGCGTTTTTCAGTGACAGCATTGTTCCCGACGCAGTAAATGTAGTAGTCGCTCTGACTTCTCTCTGCAAAGGGGGGGTTGGACTCTGAGAGCACTCCAACAACACATTTGTGAGAGTCAAACTAATGAAGTGACTAGAGATACGAGTGGCAATGAGCCTCTGCACACTCTATGCGCTTTACAAGTACAATGGATTTTATGGTCCGATACCAATGTGATGCACACAAATTTTAAACAATATTATATCAAATATATTCTCAAACAGATGTCATGATGCGACACGGAAACTTTGTTTCTCCTCCTTTTTCGACCATATACAGTAGCATGTATAGTGCCCGTTTCTAGGTACCCATTGTCTCTCTTCCACAAACCAACAAGTTTCTTTGTCAAGGTACAATTTGACTCTGATGTCAAGTACCCTTTGGCTTTCATGTTGGTGACCCTCTGACTTTTATATCAAGAACTGTTTCACTTTCATTTCAGGAGACTCTTTGGCTGTAGTTTCAAGGTACCCTCAGGTGTCGATATAGCCTTTGGTGTTCATGGCAAGATACCTTTTGAATTTATGGCAAGATACCCTTTAATTTCCATGCTAAGGTATCCTCTGGCTTTCTTTACAATACCCTCAGGTTTCTGAGTCAAGGCACCCATCGGCTTTCATGGCAAGGTAGCCTTTGACTTTTGTGTCAAGATACCCTCAAATTTGACAAATGTGCACTTTTTTCGTGTCAGATTCTGCCAGGTTTCAATATTGAGTACTCTTTGACTTTTTAGTCAAGGTACGCCAATGATTTCAAGTTAAGGTAACCTTTGGCTTTATGTCAAGTAACCCTTTTGCTGTCATATTCAGTCCGTCTTTCATATCGGGTACATTTTGGTCATCTTTTTCCCTTTCACCCATTGATTTCATGTCAAGGAACTCTTTGAATTCAGGGTACCCTCAGATCTTAGATCTAATCTAATGTACGTTAACTTTACAGCACACCTCACAGTTTTGTCGAATAATAACTTGATGCTGACTTTATGTGATACCCTTCAATACCCTTTGATTTGATCACCTAACTTCCATCTACGGGCAGATTTTAATGTTTTTTCACTATTTGGCCATCTTGTTTACAACTCCAAACTTATGTGGGACTACATAGGTTAGGAATAAAAGAAAGTGCAAAACATTTTGGTAAATCCACAACAGTAAGTGGGGACAGTCTGTTTTTCAATATGTCTCCAGCACAATACTGCACCTGTCTGATATTGGCACACAGCACCAAATGGGTTTTAAATCTGCAGGCAGAGAGCCTCAACAGGACAATGACTAGATTTGGGCAGGGAGAAAAGGGTGCACATCTCAGCCCTGAAAGCGAGGTGTCTGCATTTGATTAATGTCTGACACCATTATGTGTTTTGACGGATTAACTGGGGAATGCCACAGATACACGGCCACATTCCTTCAAGATTGGTCTAATTTTGGTTCCTTGGATGAAGGTAACAGAAAATAGAGACTTCAATTTGGACAATGAAGAGCTTGTGTGTGTGTGTGTGTGTAGACCCACTGCAACAAGATGGCCTTGACTTTCCATTTAATGACACGGCTTGGGCACTGGTTAAAGGATAAAGGTGCAGCTTTCGGTGCACAAATTGCATTCTTAGCAAGTCAGCCAAACGATAAGATGCCAGGCACTGAACCACATGTGTGCTCATGTAAGTGGCAACCTAGTGTGCAGTGAGGCCTCAAAGGTGCCACATGGGCATGTCAATGATTAATGACTTTGTTTGTGTGGCTTAAAACATCAGTTGCTTTAACATTTAGACTCTAAAATCAATTTCTCTTCAGTCTAGCGTGTCTACAGGTTAAACTGAGATGTCTTTGTGGAGGAGAATTTTGAAAAGTATCAAACAAAAGGCATGAGCTGTGTAAAAATCTCAGCAGTATAGATTTAAACGGAAAAAAAAAAACAGGTTTGAAAAATGAAAATGTGAAAGTTTCTTGTAAACACATTTGTCCTTGAAGAACTGCTTTCTCAGGGCTGTCAACTCAGACATATGGGTCAACTTAATCACAGCTGTCGATTGTATCGTATTCATATAACCTAATCAATACTTTAGATGGATGATGATTAGGACAGCCAGAGCAAATGCCCCAGTGATCAATTACAAGTAGGCTGGGTTCAAACAGATAAAGCATGCAGGAGCCAGATGTGTCCTAAATTACTTTTCAGTTCTTAATTCACCGGCTTTCCAATCATGCATCGCCTGGGGAACATTTTCAAGAATCATTACGAGAATTCTCTTTTCCTACCATTAGAATAACTGACAAGAATAACGTCTGAAGGGTCTCATTTTCACATGCAGGCTCCACACATTACAGCCACAGAAAATTTACCCCCCGAGAGGACATTACGTTCACTTTCATTTACCCAAAGGGCATGCCTGTTAGGAAGATTTACCATACTTTCCAGTTGCCTGCAATTGATTTGAGGTGGATCCCATTGGAGACAAGTAAATGAAATGTCAACATCATGTGACATGTGATGAAAATTAATGGTATCCCACATGGGAGGAGAGACAGTAAGGGGGTAAAAGTAAGAGTCTGGTTGAATGTCATGTTTGTTGTGGCAGAGGCTGTTGTCTTTAGATCGTCTCGACTTGAAGTTAAGATTCATATCAACAAGTAAAGTGGATTTATCCACATCACCGTCCTCGTGACCAAAACCTCCTCCATTTAGCTTGCTTCACTTCAAAGATTGTAAAACTCTAATGTTGTTCATAGATTCTCATTAGAATTTGGAAAATCAGTTTTTAAAAGTGCTTAATCATCTCTCAGAGGACGGCTACAGCTATCTCACAAGCAGCTGTATGTGACAACCTGCATTAAAGGGATATTCTGATGTAAAATTAAGTTAGGGTCAAACACACCGTAACACCGAGTTCAGACACCCCGTTGAGAGATGAATGTTGCCGACCACTTGCTTCTCTAGTTATACCAACTTTAGAAAAGACCGCAGATAGCACTACTTCATCAACAGTACATAAAGGGTCCCAGCCATAGCACTAGCGACCAAACATCTTTTTAACTTTGCCTAATTTCTTTAGCAAAGACACTCAACCACTCTTCTCCAGCAGCAGCTTGTTTGTACGGAGACCTTCGGGCCAGCCCATTATGGACTGCAGCGGGGTGTCGCAGCTCAAGGAAGAACATTTATGGTAATTTCTTTATGAAAATGCAATCAGACCGAGATGCTAAGGCAGAATAACTAGTGCGTCTGCAGTGCAAAATGATTAGAACATGATAAAGAACTGTTGTTAATTGCTGTTCTGAACATTATTTGTGGCTATAAAGTGGCTTTTTGGTTGAGCGCATGGCTCTCTGTATTACTATCTGCGGTCGCTCTTAAGTTGGTTTAAATAAAGAAGCAAGTGGTCGGCAACATTCATCTCTTGAGGGGGTGTCTAACTCGGTGTTACGGTGTGTTTCACCCTAACTTAGTTTTACGCCAGGATATCCCTTTAAAGGACCACTGCTATGGGCTAACATTATTATTGTACACTTATTTCTTGCACAAGATCCATATTTAACAACCCTAAACCCCCAAAAAACATGCACATTAACTAAGGGTTGCCAGTTTATAAAAAAATAACTGTTTACATGGCCTGTTTAGAACATATAAAAAGCATCCAACATTGTGAAAACTCGTCTATCCAATTAAAGCAACACTGTTCTTGTAAACCCAGTGAGTCACTTCTAAGCTGGGGGAGGGCATATTTCGTATGGCTCGCTGGAGTTCACCTTTTCTAATCTCTGTCATACACCTTCCTCATCTTCCCGCTGTAATTATGGGCTACATTCTCCACGGTTGATTTGGCCGCCTTGGTAAATCGTATTAAGTAATCCCACTACTGAATGGTAGCAACAGCACATTGTTCAGGAACTTTTTTTCTAAAATGCCTCAGCTGGCAACGTGCCAGACATGACTCTATTCCAGCGCTCTAATTTCCACACTTTCTCGATACTGAATGTCACTTCACCTTGATGTGGTTTGAAGGTGCTGTCAGTTTGAATCACAGTTTGTAGCTTTTATAGGAGCTGTGTTGTAAAAAGGACAAATCCACCAAAAATACAATTCAGCAGCAGTTATTTTTCCATGAAAGCCGGTGTGTTTCTGAGCCAGCGATGGCTGTTTATCCGTCATTTTTCAGCTCATTGCCAAATGTCATATGGGTCGTGGTAAGTTATTGATATAAGGGCTCTTTCCAAGTACAAAAATCTCTCATATTCCCTTTGAATGTTGAGAAAATAAGAGCAAAAATTAACAATATTGGAAAAGCCAAAGAGAAAGACCCCTTGGACCTGAGGTATATTCATTATATGCAGGCACATGAAGATGGGAGATAGGAAAAACTCCCTCAGGACTCCGGATGCTGATGTTGGTGGAAGAGAGCCAATATAGGCAGAACCACACAGCTGAATCTCCTGGAACAATCTGTAGGTTGTGGAGGGAGTGGGCGATGGGGGATCAGCAATAAAAAGCCTGGAAGGCAGACTTCCAGTTGCCGCATCTGATGATTGGCACAATAAGATGACATAGGAATGAGTGAATGTGAAGAACAGCACTGCCATATGGGAAATGACCTTCACCACTGGAGCAGAGTTATGTGCACTCTTCACGAGGGTCAGGTCAAAAGTCAGCCTGTTCTGATGAAAATGAAGTAGCTCTGTTCGGTTTGCAGTTAAGAATTTTGACTTTTTTTCCCAAAATGGACATGTGCATTTTTTTTTCTACAATTTGATGTTGTGCAAACATGTAAAGGTCTGACTTAGGTAAAGAAGCTTAATGCAGAATACCGGCCCCAATTATTGGCCAAGGTTAATAATTTGTCCATCTCAAGTATTTTGGCAATCCCTGATGTCAGTTGTTCTTTGAGTCATTTATGATCATTTCTTCATGGAAATGCAATCAGAGCGAGACGCTAAGGCAGAGGAACTACTGCAAAACGATTAATATGATGATTATTACTTCAAGGAAATGATAAAGTAATGACCATAAATGTTCTTCCTTGAGCTGTGTCACCCCATTGTAGTCCATAATGGAGTTGTCTGAGGTCTCTGTACAAACAAGCGGCTGCTGGAGGAGAGTGGGTGAGTTGGGTTTAGTCTTTTTGGTAAAGAAATCAGGCAAAGTTAAAAAGATGTTTGGTGGCTAGTACTGTGGCTGGGACTCTATATTGACTGTTGATAAAGTTAGGTGCTGTTCTGAGCATTATTTGTGGCTATAGAGTGGCTTTTTGGTTGAGGTTTGTTTATGGCTCTTGAGACCGCTGTGTATTGCTATCGTGTGGTCGTTACTAAAGTTGGGAAAACTAGAGAAGCAAGCGGTCGGCACTACTCATCTCTCGTCAGGGTGTCTAACTCGGTGTTATACTGTGTTTGACCCTAACTTAATTTTACGTTGTAATATCCCTTGAAGTAAAAATAGTTTTTTTTATTGCAGTAGACTACGTAGACTATAATGTTGAGCTGAACTACTCCAAAGCTTTTGCTCTCAGTAATGACGCTGATTATGGAAATTACACAATAAAGAAAATCCTGTTAGGTCAAGAGCTTACATCGTCTTGAATCTTGATGATTTTATGGCTTGGAGAACTTTTGTGGTACGTCCAGTGAAGCCCAGACAGAGCTGGCTGGCTGCGCCGAGCACCCTGAATTAATCAGCTGTAATCAACATTACCCACTTCGGTCATTTCTCAATGCCCCCCTTCCTTTCACTTGGACTGTGGTATAATAGGAAATCACTGGGTTTCACTACCCATTACCTCACAGCCCTATCCATCTCAGCCAATCAGAGGCCCAGCAGAGAGGAAAATCCTCTGTCTGATCAATACTCTGAGGAGGACACAAGGTAAAACCAGATACACAATTCAGACAAGCAATCCTTTAGTGTTTGATTGTCACTTTCAGAAGCAATTATTGCTCACTTCAGAATTAATTGCTCAGGTTTTTAGATCATTAAACACTGGAACATTATGTTGGAAGTGATTCAGATGTGAGCAAGAAGTGTGGCCTCTTTAATTACTCCTTAAACTTTCAGTCCAGCTAAGTTTATAACACCCTCCATAAATCCAGGCTAATAGTTTGGTTGTACTTTTCTCAACAGGCCAAGACTGCAGTGTGTTCTCCATCAATACATGCCACCAATAGCTCAGACACTGCATGGTTCACTGTCAACCATCTATGATGTTTTCATATAGATGTAAAACTTTTGATGTACTGGAGCTGTCTCTGCAGTGAATAATCCACTGACAGCCTGATTGGTGACTTTAATTATTCTTCCAGTGTCAAATGAGAATCTGAGGCCACAGATGGACTAATGGGATCATAACCGCCACATAATGATGAAATATAGTTCTGAATGGGACTGTAAAATTGCCTTCTGTCTTTTACAAAAGGGTGCCAAATAGAAATAAAATTATAAGTGATAAATCATCATGGCTGCAAGTTTTCACCTGTATTATAGAACAATCCATGTTGTCATTATATTAGGGTTCATACATTTTGAATATAGATGGTTAAACATATACATTCAACTTCCTGTGTGTGGGTTTGTCTTTTACTGATAAGAGATCCAGTTTTAAAGACATGCAAAATTTAGGGGAGCAAACAAAGAGGGACCTAAATGCAGAGTACACCAGCAAGTAAAACAGTCCAAAACATGTATTATTTCTGTGTGTTTGTCCACAAATAGTTTGTTAAAATGAAATTTAAAATAGAAGATTCAGTTGTCAAGAATGAAACGCAGGAGCACAAACATAAGGACCCAAATGCAGACTGTGTCAGCTGATTATATGAGACATTCTTGTTCAAGTCATGGCTATGCTGATGTTCATGAAACTGAAACGCTTGTTATTTAGTCTTATTTAGTGCTTTTCGAACTGGCTTCAAAATCAGGGAGTCTCAACATTCAGGAATATTAAAATTCAGTATAAAAAGAGGCATACAGAAATTTAACATAAAGAACCAAATGCAGACTCGCACAGCAAATTATACAAAACATAACAGTCAGTAATATTGCCACACCAATCATCGTCAACGGGACTGAACTACCTGTAGTTTGTCTAGCGTTAAAATTAAAGCTTCAGCTGAAGAATTTAGGCCCAATCAAAAGAGTAAAAGACACTACAGAAAGGATCCAAATACAGACAGCATCAGTGGATGATTTAATCAATCTAGTCCAAAACATGAACAGCATAAAGAAACTGAAATGTTGGACAGATTTGTTGAAGTTATTGTTTTGTTGGGAACTGTTAAATTCATCGTAAACAAAGGAGAAAAGGACCCAAATGCAGATTACATCAGCGGATAATACAGAACATTCCTGTACATGGCATATTCAGGCTGATGTTCTTTAAATGAACTAAAGTGAATGAAATTTGTTTTCATCAAACTGAAGATTCAGGGTCTGTTATAATGAGTGTAAACAAATGAATGTGGGGACTTAAATGCAGACTACAGGTGGATAAACAAAAGGAGAAGAGTAGGTGAAAGACTTCTTTGAAGACGGGGGAAAAAGTCAAGGTTACAGTCAAGTAAAAAAAGGTAAAAAAAATTGTAAGACATGAAAAAAATTCAGAGAGAAAATGCACAAATGAAAAAGAGTAAGGTGAAAGGGAGACAAGGACAGCTGAGTGAAAAATAAAAATGTAACAACAACTAGGACAAAACATGACAGTAACCAGATACTTCAAAATCAATGTGTCTGTAGTTTTTCCTGCACGTCCTGTGTTGTATTTCAGACTGACCTTATTGTGCAAGGGAATTCAATCCTTTAACAAATCAAGCTACAATCTTTAGTATCAAATATCAGTTTAAAAAATTGCCTAAAATGCAGAACGTTTTACTCTAGTTTGATCGGATGGATATTCAGCTATCTAAAAATAATATTTTACTGCCATCTCAAAGAATTTTAATGGTTTCAAAAAACTCATTTCCTCTGACTTTATCTTATGCCATCAGCAGAATCATCAAACAAAAATTGCAATACCAATTTGCCTCAGCTCTGAGCAACTTCCAAAACATGCACTTCTGAACTTCCGGCAATTACTTCAGTGAAATCTATAGTGAGAAAGAAAAAAAAAAGCTCCTCGAATGACGGAAGCTGGCAGAGGGAAAAGCTTCAAGGAGCTCTCAGCTAAGAGTGTGCAGTGACCCATTACTCACGTCTGGCCTCTTCTGACTGTTCGCTACAGCCTCCCTGGTCTCTTATGAGCAAAGCTGCGGTTTTTATTACTGCAGGGGTCATTGATAATGCTCCTTTCATGACTGTTTCTGTGAGCAGAGAGCCTCACCAGTGTTCAGCGGCGGTTCATTTCAATGCACACAGAGCAGGGTGTCCAAATGCATGATGAAGTTTTCACACGTTGAAATCTCAACCTGGAAGTTTGCACAAGACCTTCTTCAAGAGGATGACAACCAGCCAGCCTGTGATGCAGCTGCTAATCTGGAGCAATAAATCAAATCAACAAAGCCCCTCCCTCTCCGCCTCGGCCACATAAAGACTCTGTATCTGAGTGTAGCATACTGATGCCAGCCCCTGGAGTCAGGCTGCGGCCGTCCAGCTGGACCGGTGCCTGGCAGAGCATCTCGCTTCCTGCTATTGCAGGCACACGGCGCTTAGTGGTGGTTTATCAAACCCACTGTGCCATGAAAGTATGACAGCATGAAGCCTGTAGATTAAAACCACACATTGCAAGGAGGGAGGCACAACACTCTTTAACAAAAGATTTGACAAGAGTCATCGCACTGGGTCAGCGCCAGGAGGAATTTTTGTTTCCTTTTCATTTTTCGCTCCCCAAACATTGACGGCTCATCCAAATTTGCTGAGTTTGGTCCCGACTGTTTGATCTCGCAGTCCCTGTCTAAACAATGATCGACTGGCAAAAGCGGCGTAGATTCAGACAGTTCTTTGCATGCTTTTCTGTTTATGTGTAACACAAGACGAATTCAATTAACTTTCCTGAATGCAGGTGAAATGTTTGAAATAGGATTTTGAAGGCAAAACAAAAGCAGTATTCAAACGTTTTCTTTCCTTTATAGTACGCAAGGTGAGCTTTTCCTGAAAGAACACACTTATGTTTTCTGAATGAGATGACAGCATAGCATAAAGACATAATATAAAAGACAGTAAAGCCAAAGCATATTTGTATGCCCTGTCCTTTAAACCTGCTCAACACCAATAAAAAGACACGACTGAGGAACGAACTTGAAGTCTTGCTGCTTTGAAGGAGAATGGCAATAAGAAAATAACCTTTGTTAGGCTGAGGTGACTCCGTATACACTACATGATGATACATAGCTCATGTTAATAATGGTACTGTTGGATGCCAGTCAATCGTAAACTGAAATCATGGATCAGCATTTTTAAACTCCATGTAAGCAGGTCTGAAAATATGCATCTAATAGACCAGCAAGCATGGCGCAGGAAACTTTTCAGATGTGGAGAATTAAGTTATTTTGAGTGAAGTGGAATTTGGAAAAAGAGATTCAGTTTTTTCCGTCAGTGGCTCTGTGACAGTCAGAGGCGCTGCATGGGCTTCATTTTCAGCCAGCTCCTGTGGTGTGGTGGCGGGTCAGTGGGGTCGTAATCTACGGCGCTTGTGGGTAACCTCTGTTTCTCATTCATAAATGGTTAGGCCTCTACATAAAACACACACGAAGCTCTCAATTGCCAGTTTGTTTTTGAGCATGTACAAAACACATGTTAAATTGTTCTAATCGTCCATTCACTAATTTAGCTATATGTGCACTTAACCTGTTTTTCTCGTGTTTTAATTCTTAGGCAACTGAACAAAACAGATCACATAAATACTCGTCAATGAAGGAGACCCATTATCAATAAAACTGAGTGGACCCTCCACCTTTCTTTTTCACTCTGAATAAATTACTCAAGTACTTTTTTCTCTCTCTCTCTCATTAAAGCTTCCTCAGTTCAAGATCGTGCTTCTTCAGCCAATTAACTTCAGTTCACACTCCCCTTATTCATGTCATTAGCGCCACCCTGAGGTGGTCATGGGGTAATGGAGCATTGAGTCAAACTGGCAGGGAAAATCGATTCACAGCACCATAAATTCAATTAGGATATTGATATTCAGCTCTTGCATTTTGATAACTCCACTTATGTCAGGGTTAGGGTCACAGTGTATTGCTGTTTCAAGATTTCGTCCCATGAAGTTGTGTTGTGTGAAATCAATAAAGCGTATGCCGTAACAGGCACTAAACATCAGAATAGTTTCCTGCCTTTTAACTAATCAACTAACCCATAATTAAGAGGAACATAACATGGTATTTTTGCGCAGATTTACCCTTTACGTTCATTTGTTTTTGCTCAGAGTGAACATGCGTTCCCTCAACAGCCCATTATTCCTTTTCCAAACCAGAAGGCAGCAGAAGAAATGAAGTCGTTACGCAACCCAGCAGCTCTTTTAGCTCCTGTGTGGTGGCTAACTCCTACGAGTCCTGCCGGCTCATATGGGAGTAAACAGATCAATAGGCCCACCTGAGAGATGGATGCTCACCTCCTCCGAGCAGCAGACTCTACAAAGCCTCTCTTTCAGCGGCAGCCTAATGACGCTAATGGGCAGCCATGCTCTCTGAAACCCTTTATTACACTGATTAGACCAACAACCTGAAATATAATGCCCTAATCTGATTATGAGATGGACACAGCTGAGCTTGAGAGGGACAGAATGGACCATGAGGGAACGGGCTAATGAAGATCTTTGTTGTCCATGTGTCCAGAGGCTGACTCACAAAGAACTGGCTTATGTTGATGTAAACCAAAATGTCATGTATAAGAGGTTTACTGTCATGCGAAGTGTTCTTAAAAATTAAGCCTTTCCCGGACGCGCTTCTGAGACCGACGAGAAACTGTTTCCAACTGATAGGAAAACCCGCTGAAGCCAGATTTCCCCGAGGCGCCATGGATTGAATTGTTTCCAAATTTAGGTCACTGTGACAGCATATTTGCCTGTTTTTAGCTCAAGTTAGTGAAGACCTTTAAAGATAGCCTGAGGATTTGTTTTACCTTCAGCTCCTCACCATAAGCCTTGTTTGTGTACATCCTAAAATATGCATTAACGGAATTTTAATAATGCATTGTTTACACCCTTGTTTGCCAGCTTGTAGCATTTTTTTGCAGTCTTCTTTGCAACCCCTTGCTGTCAGGAGTGCCCTAATTTTGAGATCAGTAAAAAAGCAGGCCAGTCTTCAGTAGGTGTAGCACTTAAAATAATGACCCAAGCATTTAACAGTGCAGCAATGGCTGAAAACCCGACAATGATTATTTAATTTAGCCAAAAAAAAAAAAAAAAAAACATATCCCTTTAATACCTGAAACAAATACATATATTGATTTTGTTTGATACATTAGATGTGTTTGGAAACTGATTAACCATAAGAGGACATTTTAGTCATTTATCGGACTGTATTCAGATGTTTTTTAGTAATTTGTTGATCATATTGATTTGATAGAAGTATCATAAAAGAATGTATCAAATATGATACAAAAGGCATTAAAGGGATGTGCAGTGTGAAAAGTGCATTGTAATGTTCCTATAAATCTGAATGGTCATGTTCGATAGAGTTGAATTACCACAAGCAATGTCATCAGGGTTGTTTGGTAAATTTCCTGTCCTGTGTTTACCGTTACTGTTAGAGTCGAATGTCATAATGCTATTGAGTTGCATTATGGGAGTTGAAGGGTCAAGCCCTCTTGACCTGTTATCTACTGTATGCTTAGCACAAAAGACAGAGGTGTGTCCAGAAGAGCTTGGCCCTACAGCTCCTTAAAATGCATGGGATTTTGGTTCGTCATGAGAACCTGAATTTGTTTGAACTTTACCCCCTGTATGGTGCCCCTGCTCACTGTGAATACTTGCAAATATTGAAGGGAGCTGTTTCTTTGGCATTTCATATATGTCGCATCAATTGACACACAACCCCAGCAGCAGTTCAGGCGTTAAATTCCTGCATAGACATGGTCGATTTTGTTGTTGATAGAGCTGTTTGTTTTTTTATGGTCATAAAAAGCAATCGTTGTGATTTCAGTCTGTTTCATAACCAGCTAAAAACTCCTCACAGGGTCTTTACAGTTTAGAAAATACGCCTCACACTTTTATCTAATTTGGACGTACATCATCATCCTCAATCAGATGTTCTTGTAGGCACGGCTTTAGTGAGTAGAAAACAGAGGAGCCAATCAGTGAAGACAAAATTAGCAAACTTTTTGGTGAATATTTTCAACTGTTACCTGTAAAATAAAGGGTCGGTAAAGATAATTGTCCAAATGTGAGTATCTAGTCAGATTATCAGTCGACCCCTGGATTACATATATGGCAAATACATGTCACTGCTACTTATTGGCACATAGCTTCAAAGTCAGTTCAATTCAAAAAGCTGACTAGGAACCTGCCAGTATTGAGCTATTGAGACAATAAAACAAACAACAGAGGGTTATCAAGTCTGCTTTTCCTATGCTAGTTGAAGACAGCATTGGCAAACACAGTATTGAAATCCATTGGTGTCTCTGTTTGAGGCTGTTTAGCAACAAGAAGTCATCAAGTAGAAACCCTGCATGGTTCCAACCAGATTATGGATTGCTTAGTTTCTCAAAAAAGACGTCAAGTCTTCTGCTTCTTTAAAAAACTCTTAAAGACAAAATAATACATCCTGGTGATGACATCCATCACATCATCCAGGCCAACCTAAAATCAATCATTGCCCCGGGGATGAAACCTGCAGTGATAGATACCACCCTCCAGCTCGCTGTGAGACAAAAGTGCCACTTTGTACGTGTGTGTGTGTGTGTGTGTGTGTGTGTTTGTGCGCGTGTGTTTGTGCATGTGTAGACTACACTTCATTTAGCAGTGCTCCACAGGGGAGCCAGGGGAAATCACACGCAGACACGGAGAGAGAATAAACAAACAAATCAAAAGCATTAAACCAAGCAAACACAACATAGGAGGCTTTTTTTTTTAAAGAGGCCGTTAAAACCTCTATTATCCACCTCAAATTAAACGTCTTCTTTGGTAGACTTCTTTCTTTCTTCAGGGAGGTACCAACATGGAGAGTACAGGTTGCAGTAAGGAATAAACAAGCTGGCTGCCAATAGATGTGGCTTAAACCAGATAAAAGGGATATTAAGCGTAATCTTATCTCATCACACTTCGTCTTATTTCACATTAAGACAGAAATCCTCGAATCCTGAGTACAGAAGCTCCTCTGAATTTGCTTTGTAAATGCCTTTGACATTTTTATAAGCAAAAAGGAATAAATAGAGCGCAAATGTTCCCACTTTAAATCTTCCTTGCTGTGTGAATGCGTCTGTATGTGTGCTAACTCATGCAGTCTATATTTGTATGACCCCACCCACCATCTTACAGCTGCAGGCACTCACTCGTTAAATAAGCCAATAAGATTATAAAAGCTACCTACAGGGCTCAGAGAAAGGTGAAAATCTGCAAGATCTGCCCGTGTGAAAGACGGATATCTCATTTAGTGAAGCAGCTGATCAAATGTCAGGTGTACAGACTGCAAATACATGAATATGTAAACTCAAACATCCATAAGGAAAGAAAAATAACATGGAAATTCAGGACAAAAGTCCATTTTAATACAGAGAGACAAGATATGACTGATTTGAATGAATGGTGTTCATTTTTTTTGTTTCAAACAGGGGAATAAATTGATACAACTCTGATGTAAGCTTAGTAAAAGTAGGGTTCAACCTGAGAATGGTTTGTGCAAAACCAAGAAATCTGCTAAAAAAATCACATTTGATAACATTTCACAGGACACTTGGATGTCAGTTCTGCCTGTGGTTGCTCAGTAAGAAGCTAGTTTATGTCCAAGTAATGAGGAGAACCTTTTCTTTTACATACTGATTCTGTGGAGCTGTAACTTTCTCTGCTTTTGTATTGGTTGTTTTTAAGTGTTTGAGTCATTTTAGGTAACATAGCGTCTTTAAAGTCCCACTTTGATCGTATCTTTTTTTACTACTTACTGTGTTGCCAGTGGTCTTTTAATTTTGCTTTTTTAGCCAAAGTTTTTAGCCAAAATTACGATACTTATGTCGTTTTCAAGGGCTTTTCTTCTGCAGAGCTCCAGCAGATCATTAGCAATTCACCTCTGAGTCGTGAGCAAAAACAGCACTGACCTGCATGCTCCTCTTTATGCTAGCTTGTAGCTTAACATTGCCGGTGCAGCAGAAGTGGCAGGTAACATAGGAGCTATTGAGCTTTTGGACACTAATGTTTTTGGAGACAACATTTAAGCTAATATCATAATTCGCTTTCTTACAAGCATTGCCACCCACCTACGGACATGCTTGTTCCGCGATCGTCCTCTATTCTTCTCGGAGTCTGGCCTGCAGAGTGGGACACAGGCGTGGAGCTTGGAGTTGTGACGTGGGAAATCTTACTGTGCCTGAACCTTTCTTTTGGTTCTGCCAGAGGTTCACAGCAATTTGAATTTGAATATGAACATGTAGACAACAAGAAAAACAGGGTTTTCATTGGAGTGGGTCTTTACATTCTTTCAACAAGGAATCTGCTCTTGGATAGCGTCAAATATCTGCTGAGCCGACGAGTGTAGGAGGGCAGATGTGCTGCAAAGAAAACAAATAAGTTATCATTTGGTTTACTTCTTGTGCTGTGAGGAGTACAAATTAATCAAAATAATGTCCTACAATTGTATATATACAGTCCACCTCTGTTTAAATACCACAGTGATTGAATATAGTTAGTGCACTTCTGAACTCTGTCGCTTGTATAATCTAATCGGTTCACCTAATGACTGAGTGTGTTCAGCTGTAGTGATGGGTGGAGTCCCAGATGATGGATTTCCCACACTGAAGAGACCTCAAGGCGTGGGTCACAATACTGTTAGCATCTGTTAAGAATAACACAGACCGTTTCTTCTGTTTAGTTCAACAGAAAACCAATCACAAAGACGCTTCTTGCTGTCTTTTTCTAGCTCCAGGATTCTTCTGTATTACTCCACGAGAGATCCTTATCCGTCCAACACAAGCTCCTCTGAAACAGGGTTTATCCTGTCTCTTGCATTTTGGTGCTCAATCGGGAAATCTCAGAGAACAGATACTATAGATTCAATGTTCCAGGTTGACATTTCAGTTGAATGGATTGAGGAGAGCTATAGAAATCGGAAGGTTACGGTCTAAAAATAGGCAAGAAAAACCCTCAGTGCTGGTGTATGGACAACCCATGAGCCGGAATACAAATATGAATTCAAGAAGGCATTAATAAGGAAATGAACAGAGTTTTTTAGTCCAAATATTCTCATTATCATCAGGAAAATTAAAGGGAAAAAAGCAATTTATTAATTTATATGTCACCTGTGGCCCTACAGGTATTTGCCCTCCCTGCTTGATGTATTCCCAGAGGCTGCTGCCTCATTTTAGTCAAACATCCACACACTACATCGAACCAAAGCTATGAAATTAACGTGTCAGTGAATGCATTAATTTCCTCAATTAAAAAAAAAAAGACAGACATTTAATTCAGTCCACGTTATTGAAGTTATTCACGACATGTTGTTGACCTTAGCTCTCTCCCTGCAGGCATTAGCTGTGCCAATCGTAATTCACGTTGATGCTTTGACGGGACAATGGCATTGTAAGAATTAACATAATATCCTTTAGAGCGGTGTTCTTTGGTTTTATATCTAAAAAAAAAGAGGCGGGGAATGCTTTGGTTGAACAGAAACAGGAACAAATGCTGATTAAAATGTCTTTACACACTCGAAAAAGGTAGAAAGTGCCAAGTCTTCTGTTGCTAAAGCTATCGGTATGATTTTAGATCGCCCCTGAGGTCAAGTAAAAGTCCAAATCGCAACTTTTAGGGATTCCATGTAAAAGCAAAGATTAAAAAAAGGAGAAAAGTGATAATCCATTGCTCTGAAAGATACAATAGAACCAAATAATGGCTGACCAAACTCAATGCAGTGCAATCCTCCCTTTCCTGCAGTTTCATCATTTCTTTTGCAGCAAAAATAACTTTATTCCTTTTAAACCAAACACAGAAATGATTGCTAATAGCCTTTGAATGAAAAAGCCTGCCATGCTGACATTATTACTTTGCAGCACACTGTCTAAAGCCCTCGCTTTCTCGTGGCTTATTGGTAGTCTCTACGCAGATTTTGCAATTAAATGAGGGGATGTATGTGTGAACATGGAGTAAATTAAAACGAAACAAGATTAAAAGAGCGAGTCGTACCGAAATGGGAGATCTTCATCCTGATCAGCATAGAGAGGAGGCTGCGTTCTCGTAAACAAATGCATAAAACTGGATTTTCAGTGAAGCTGCTCACTTTTCTTTCTTATCATCACACTGCCGCTGTCTGCTCTCTCTCTCTCTCTCTCTCTCTCTCTCCCTACTTTCACCTTTTTCTGTTTGACTGGCACCATGATTGCAGCTGAGGCAGATTTGAATCTGTTCCCCCCAGAGACAAGGATGTTCTCGCCCTCTTTTCACTCGGGTCAATTATCCTTTTGTGTGTAACCGGTAGTCATCTGAATCATATTATAACAAAAGGGGATCAGAATCGGCCTGTAAATTACAGACCATGACAAAGTTGGAAGCAGAAATGTGGGAAGAATTCATTGGAATTAATCTGAATCTGTCATCGTCACTGTCACATTTGCGTAGGCACTTTAACACTCGAAAAGCTGTGCTCAATCTCTGTAAGACGCTAAGTTTGAAGAGGCTCCCTTTGGATTTATTGAGGTCAGATTTAGCCCATTAGGCTGAGAATGGAGGAGAGCTTTATGCTATTTGTAAAAAGAATCACTTAGAACAAAACTCCCCTTTTACATCTATTATTGATGCAGAGGTTCCTGATCCCAGTTTTCTATAAATGCATCACTTCTGTTTTAGAATATTTCTTCCATACAAGTTTTTGCAGCTATGTTTGGTGGCGAGACGAACCAGGAGCCTCAAGTCCCGGCTTTGATTAATAAAGAACGATATCTGCTCATAGCTTTTCTTCTCTTTTTAAAGAGACTCCAATGAATGTACCAGTTAGTCTGGCAGCTAGCAACAATTAAGTTTACAGCCATCTCCCATCGTCTGCCATGTTTAAGACTCGAACTTGCATGAACTGTAGCTGTTGGTGAATAGAATTTGGTGGTATGTTAAAAAGAGAAAAAAAAATGATGTTAGTCTGACTGAAAATTTCTGAATTTCTTAACTCAACTCAAACTTTATTTATAGAGCACACTTAAAACAACTGGGGTTGACCAAAGTGCTTTACAGATTAAAAGCAGCAGGGGTGATCAAAGTGCAAGTACAGCAATTACAATAGATTAAATGAATACTAAAATACATAAACATAAAACACAGTGCTATACAATGGAATAAGATTTTTTTTTTAATTAAAATTAGGTTAAAATTTTACCAGAAGTCCACTGAAACTCAATTAAAAGCTAGGGAGAAAAGGGGAGATTTAGGGAGGATTTGAAACCTCAATTGATCCCATAAAGCGGATGTGCGAGGGCAGGTCATTCCATAGCCTAGGGGCCGCCACCACAAAGGCTTGGTCACCTTTGGACTCAAGCCTCGTTATGGGGGTGACCAGTAGCAGCCAATTAGAAGACGTCAATGTTCTGGCAGTTCTTATAGTTGGACAACTCTAGGTAATGCATTTGGGCATCAATTTTTCTCTTGCATGTACTTACCTAACTCAGACCCAAGTGTTCTGCTCATGCTCTACATGCTCTACAGTTTGCACGCCAAGCCTAAACCCAACAGTAAAACAGCATGAAATAGCCGAAAGAAGCCAGTCAACTACCAAAACAAAAAAAGGAAGCTGTCACAAAAGTTACAGAGCTGTAAAACTTTAAAGATTCACTGTTTGACATACAACCAGCCAACCACTTGATTACTTGTTTGTTGATTGTTTTGGTGTGTGACATAATAGGTCATCTACATGGTCCAATAGCTATGTTACAAGCAACAGGGGGGCATATCGCCACCTTACCATACCCAGTATACTTAATTTCATCAGATGCAACTGTCTGGAGCTTATATACTGGGACAAGGGTTGTAGTCTAATAAATATGCCTCATTGAGCTTTGACTTATGTGTGCATGTTAATGCCCTGAGAATACAGTGGACTTTGTTGGCCATATTGTTGCATTATAAGAACAAAACTGTGAAATCTGTCATTATTTATCGTCACATATTCAACATTTGTCAAAATTTAAAAGAAAACCAAAGTTTTTTTCCGGGGGGTGTTCATGCATGAGGCCCCTTGAGAATGAAAACATTCTAGGTGACCTGACATCACACTACAGTTCCTGCAGTGAATACACTTACTGTGACTTGAGTGTCAAAGATCAGCTGTAAGTCGTGGTGGCATGAGTGTCCTCGCTGATTTATCACTAAGTCTTGCATGTCTGTGGTCATTGTCTCTCTATTTGTGCCTGACCCAATGACTGTTACCTGTCGGTTGATTAAAGCAATGTTTGTGTCTCTGGATGTCGGGAAATAATCCCTCCAATAAATCCTAACTACCTTCATTAACTCCAGCCTTCCCAATCAAGATAAGGAGGGAATTACACTGAGGACACAAAACAGTGCAAACAAACCAAAGGAGCACAGCAAACAAAGCCCTTGTTCCTGCAATTCAGTTATCAGTGAGTCAACTCATCATATACTAATTAAGCTTTTATGACTCAGAGCAGCTTTGGCATCGAGGAAATCTCCTGTTTAATAAAAATAAGAAGGAATGTGGAAATCTATTATCATTAATCTGTCTGACTTGGTAGATGCCCAATTTCCAAATGTCCATAAAAAAATCGAGTTTTGCATGCCGTTTGTTGTGACTGCTTTGAGTGAATGTGGGTGTAACAGCAATCATGGAAATCAAGTGAAAAATAAGGGCAGCAAATCCAAATCTGGCAGCCGTGGCTCTGTGCACATCAACATTGCGTTTTCTAAAACTGAACGGGCTGATTTCCCAGTGCGCTTGTCCACTGCCTGTGGTGCAGATGACGTAACGTCAGTCACAGCTGGGATAATGCGTGAATATGTGTAAGAGGTAGACAGCTCATCGGGATGAGTGACTTCTGCCGGGGCAGATTCATTGCATTTTGCATCAATGTCACGTAAACTCATCAATAAGACTGAGCCTCTCCAAACCCAGGAGCTTTAAAACCAGGACTGGGTGAATCACGTCAAGTAATGTGCCATAATCTTGTTTCAGAGCACTGTTGCCAAAAATTAATTTGCTGAGTGCTAAAAGGCACTGCGACACACAGTGACACATTAACTTGGCTTATTAACATAATTTAGTTGAGTGTGGGCGTAATTCTCTAAATTACTAGCAGGTCTTGGTCATTCACTGTGTTAACATGCCCTGGCTTCAGCTGATTTATTGGTTTTCACAACTCATCAGAGTCAGCCAAGGGTTAAGTCCTGGGGATTGGGTTAATGTGGCCCTGATGAGATGAGCGCTTGTTTGATTAGTTTGAATAAATGAACATGAAATCACTGTTTTTAAAGCTCCAGTGAGGAGTTTTTGGTCCATTACAAAACAGACTGAAATTAACATTGATGTCTATTTATGAACAACAGTGGCAAACAAGACTATCAGAGACAAGACTGACCATTATTATATTGTAATTTTTGATTTATAAAAATACCTCCAGGTGTAGGTGTCAAATGAAGTGATTAACAGCACTGACTTATTTTGATATTTTGTGTATTAAAAATCCTCTAAGTGAGTAAAAAAGCAAACTGGAGCTTTAAGACAAATCTGGGAAGATTGAGCCTTAAATTATCTGGACTTTTGAGATAATTTCAAAAAGTCCCTACATTATGGCTCCAGGTTAACAACTTATTTGGGCACTTTACAGTACAGGGATTCATCTGTAAAGATGTGATAACCATATTTACATGAAGAAGGCAACCCTTGTATAAATGGTATCTCAACTCAACTTTATTTATACAGCACTTTAAATACAACCAAAGCTGGCACAAAGTGCTGTACATAATAACATAAAAACATAAAACAATAATAAATAGTTGTTTTAAAATATAATAAAAAGCAATAAAACAAATGCCATCTCATGCTGGGTCAAGAGCCAAGGAATAAAAGTTGTTTTTTAGACGTTTCTCTTTGGCAGTATGATCTCTTTCATAAGTACTGTTTTTGACCAAAATTCAAATTTGTGTGTTTTTGCAGCAGTAAATATAAAAAAAAGACCAATTTTTTTTCTTTTCAGTCTTTTAATCTCTTCATTGAAAAACCTCCCCAACAGCTTTGGTTTGAAACATCGAAAATAGCTTCATAGAAATAGCTGACCTTCATACTGCTGTCTTGTTCACTGTTGTAGCTCATACTACTGCATCAGTATTGACTGAAGTCTACCTATAACAGCTGAAAACTTCTCACAGCAGCACTTAATAAGTACATAACTTATAAAAACTATTTATCATTCTTAAATGAAAACAGATGAGTCCCAAGACAGGTTCCCTGAGGTACCCCTAAAGTGATTTTGTTATATAAACTCTCAAAAGAAATTAACTTTTAGAGATTGGTTTGTTTTCACAGTGCCCGTGTATGGTCAAATGCTCAAAATTTGTAACATCTACAAAAGTAAGACTTAATCTATTTAAGTAAGGGCAATTTACGGCCCCTGTGAGCACCTGCTTTTTTGGTTTACTCTAGCCAGCTAACAGTCAATTACATAAATAGGTATCATACTCGAGACATGGTAGCCGTACTCTTGGGAAATGAGCAGACAAGAGCATAAGTGTCCACGCACACACTGATGAATATCCATATAGGGGTTGATGGGAATATGCTGCCAGAATGCATTAAACATTCAGAAGATAAATTGATTCAAAGGGATTCTTGGAAAATGAAAAAACCTAATTCAATTGAGTGGCTGGAAAGTGTTGTTTTAGATGTTTGGGGAAATGCTCTATCTTATTTAACATCAGTTTTCTAATTTAGTTTAGTCCTCAGAGTCTGTTAAGATAGTGGAAATATCAAAGTGTAATACATTGTTATCTGTGACAGTGGGTCAGAGATTGGCCTTTTACAATAGATTGTAGCTACAGGCAACATTTTGTCAAACAACTAACAAATCTGAAATGACAGCATGTTTCCTTGGGCTGATTTCTCTTCCCTTGCCTAATGTCATCAAAATAGCCGTCATCAGTGTCAGGTCTGCTAATGAATGTGCGGCATGAAGGATGTGATTGGCTGTAGGCACAATATTGTGATGAGATGTTGGGGTTAGGTGCACCGCTGTAGCTCCAGCAAATGTGAAACACCAATTAGCCATGTTTCGATGATGGAGAATGGCTTTGGAGCACACAAGTCCAGTGGCATGCTTTCCCTTCGCCCCTTGTAATATAAAGCTGTCAGTCAGAGCACAAGGGAATGAGATAGTGAAAGCAAGGGGAGGACAGACCAAGAAAGGCTAATTACATAGCTGACACCTTTTGCCTTAGAACATCCTTTGGCAGGGCATTTTTTCCACATCCCCATAGTAATTTCACAATGACGAGCGGCTTTGTTTGAGTGTGCATTGCTGTGCAAACATGTGTTTTACTCTGTTATTTTTGGACACTGCCTTGTGAGATGGACAAAAAATGATGGGATGTGAGCAAACCACAATATTGACAGTTTGTTATTCCCATTTCATTACCCAGAAAATCGCACATGTCCATGTTGTCAATTTCACACATCAGAAACCTACAAAGAAAACAGATGGCTTAAATAAATCAAGTTCAATGCAGGGGCACGTGTCTTTCGGAAAAGCTTCCTGAATACTCAGAATCAAAAAGTCTTTCGCAGTGAGCCGGCAGCTCTTCCTGTGCAGTCCTGCTTTTCAGAAAATTAAACCTTGTGATCATTATTTATCTTTTAAAACCTCTCAAACATCCTTTTCTACTAAGCGGTAACCATTACAGATGGTTATTCCAGGCGGGGCGGCCTCTTGGGGCAATGCAAATAAGTGGAGTGAAGATAGAGGAGCTGGAGTATTTAATATACAACATGTATAATTGATGACAACAGCTTTGAATTATAGTGTGGATCTGAGGAGTGGGAGCTTATCACTGTTTCATGCTTAAAAAGAGCTAAAAAGTGGCCTTGGACTGCTTCTTTTTGAGTTTTGTTCAAATTGATAGCTCTAAAACCAGCAGATTAAAAGTTTTGTGAGGACTGTCAAAAGCATTGTAAATCCCCTCTTAAAGGGGCATTGAGGTGAAATAAAAGGTATCACATTACTTCACTGCTAATCTCGTCATCGGAGGATAAACCGAATGCAATGACAAGGTAATAAAACAGAGAAAGCCACAGAAGTAGGCCCTGTCAGAACTGCCTGTCAGAGCGACACCGAAGCCCGACAGGCCGTCAGGTTTGGGCACTTTAAGTTTTGGCCGTGGTACATCTGTTCTCTGGATCACAGTTTGACTTTCATGGATTAGCATCTGTCAGATTTATTTACAGCGACACCACTTGGCTCTAGAGCGCAGATTACTGCCAAGGATGCTGATGGCCACTTGTGACCGGCTGTGGCACATTGTGTCCCAGTCTTATCAGACTTAGCTGAAGTTTTCCTCTCTGTAAGTATGAGAAAGAATCCTGAGTCCATCTGAGAGGGAACAACCACAGAGAGCCTTAAAAAGTGAGTGGCTTTTGGACCGCAAGTCCTACTACACTTTGCTGAAAGACAGTGTTACATATACTGCCTCCATGTACACATTTACATGGTCCATGAACACGGACTCTGTTTTTTTCATTTAGGATGGTGTTGGTCATGTATCAACATGAAGAGGATGATTTTGAAGAGAGTGAGGATGATGTGTGAGAGTGAGGGCTTTGGTATATCATACACATGTCAAAGTGTCCTTGGGCAAGACATTGAACCCCAAATTTCCCCTTGCGTACAGCCAGCAATGTGTCAATGCACGTGAACTGTTCAAACAAGTCTTCACAAGTACTCTCCTTTTAACCCTAACCCATTTTTGTTTTTAAATGCTTAAAAGATCCACTTAAATTAGCTTTTTTGCATCAAGACTTTTTGACTTTGTCAGTAACCTCTATTTCAACAAAATATAATATAAATGCTCTTATTAAAATTATGGCACCTGTCATGTTAGGGTCGCTGTTGACCCGGTTAGATCAATATCTAATAATCAGAGCAAAAACTGAAATCATAAGTGCAATGTCAGGCATCACACTGACATTTAGATCATCTTCCAATCATGTGAGATTTAGGAAATTCTCATTTTTCTTGGTTTTTCCCTGCACAAAAAACATCATCAGGCATGTCCAGACATGTGAGATCAATTCAGTTTAGATGTCTGTGTGAGGGGTATACTGGCAAAGAAAGGTCCAGAGGCCCACAACAATAGATATTATAATGGATCATGGATAATGAAGCCTAACAAGTTAACCTAGAGATGAGAACCAAATTGGATGATAGAGAACTGTTTTTAGTGTAATTTACAGCTGAATTAAGACACGGGTCGAAACCAAACCTTAATAAGGTTTATAAGATTGCAAATTACCTATGGGCCAAAAACTGGTGGGCAATAACAGAAAAACACCTCATACCAGAAAGCCGACTTTGCCACTCCACGGTTTCTTTCCATTACTTTCCATTTACCTGTTCCAATCCACTTGTTTTCACTAACCAGTTTCCATTCGCCATTATGTCTTGATATCAACTCCAGTTCAACAGCTCGGCATGTACCGTTGCTTTTCTAAGCTTGTTGGAGTTGACGCCACTTGAATGTCAGACTGGTCTCCGGGCTCTTTGTTTGGTCGTTGCTTTCAAAGAATTCAGCAGAGTCGAATTTAGAGATAAGAGAATTTCCCAAGACTAGCAAATGCTTTGAAGCTTATTTAGCACGTTACTCCAATCAAAGCCTCACAATATCCTCGCTGAATGCTGCCTCACATAAATGTATATTGTGATGGAAATCATTGTCTGGCTTACAGTCACGAAAGCGAGAGCAGATACTGTAAATATAGCAACCTGTCCAAGGGCAACATGGCTCTGCTTTTTATCACTAAACTCTGAATCACAGGAGACACTGTGTTCAGGGGGAGCAGCGAAATACAGAAACAATGAAGTGGAACGAATCCAACAGGCACCCGCTTTATCTCGTTCCCTTCGCCTTCCCCTGTCTTTTTTCCATTTTTGCTATCTTTGTCTATCTTAATGAGCAGCACAGCTTTCTATCGAGGGATGGTGCCAGTGTGATACATCACAGGCAGGACACATGCAGGGGGAATGAGGACAGGACAGTCGCAGGGTGACGCTGACACTGGCAGAGCGATTAAGAGTGCTTAGGCAGGCATGCTGATTCAGGGTGTTAGCAAAAGACGGCATCATGATCTGGGAAAAGTAAGACGCATGCATCATGTCCTCAAATGGAGAATGTAAAGAAGTCCCAAGTTTGTGACGACAAATCTAAGAGAAATTGTCATTTTAAACCGTCTGTTTTGGTCTGCTGTCACCCTTTTTCCATCTGAATGTTGCAAACAGACCCTTTTGTTCTCCTCCCCTGCAGACTGGATCCTGGAATCACTTGCAGACGATTTGCAGTCATGGGCTGATTTTGATCAGACAGAAAATGAAGGGTTTGAAGGCAAATTCAATAGGAGCTTATAATTACTTCCCTGGCTAGATGTGTCCCTTTAATTGTCTTTTTTTAGGCATGTAATTCTGAGAGTTGTCATTTTTTTGTATTGTTCTATTGTTTTTGTGTCCTTGTTTGCTGCATAGAAACCCTTCACTAATGCGGACTCGGCCAATACTCCCTTTATAAGTGTGATAATTTCAGCTCAGTGTGGTTCTCCTGATTGAATAAAGGTGTACTTAGACATTCATACTCAAAAAATGTCATTTTCCTTTGAAGATGCAAAGATTTGTGGGTTGTGTCAAGGTCCACCTCACCATGTCTGACATCTAATTGGACATATCCCCACTCACTACCATCCTTCTTATTGTCTTACTACCAATGACAGCGACAAGATTATTGGTTCAGAGACAACTGTATTAAAAAAAAAAAAAACTTATTGTCACAGCTAAAAAATGAAAAACTGCTTCTCCATAGTTAGTAACGCTTCCATGGCAACGGATTCCAGTCAGCCTACATGTGGGACAAGGTCACACTCAGCTGAACATTTCCATCAGATGTAACGTTTGAAAAAGTGAATGGCACTGCAGGGATAATCACAGCTTTTAACACTTATGCTATCATTATGAAGTCTCATGCAGTTTATTTTATGTTGTTGTCTCTGGTTTCTTAGAAATACTGCAGATGTTGCACAGATTGCAGGACAGGATCTAATGTGAAAGTATCCTCGATGTGGTTTTATCTATCAATTAAGAACATCAACTTTTTTAGCCACAGCATCAACAAGCAGTGGTAAAACAGGCTGGACTCCATCCTTGATTTTGACCAATCACTGTATTTTGTGACTTTACTATGACTTTAAGTCCCATGATTTAAAGACTTTTCACCCTCATGGTATGACTTAATTACGACTTTTTATTTTCATAATATCATGACTTCTGTGATTTTTTAATCATAAATAATTTAATGTACTATGACATCATTGTGACTTTTTATATGATGTTATGACTTTACTACGATTTATATTCCTATGATTATATAAGTTACAAATATGTATACTCATGACATTATGACTTTTCACGACTTTAACATGACTTTATCGCACACCTTTGTTCTCATATGACAACTGTACTTCAACTTTAAATACTTTGACTTCTGTACGACCGCGCTCATAAAATTTTTCACTTTTTGTCACATTACGGCCTTTTTTAATGACCATGTTTTCATCACAACAATATGAATTCTCTGAGACTTTCCCTCGACTACAACTTTTTCTCATAACTCTTCTACAACTTTTCATAACATTTTGACTTTTCAGCAACTTGAAAACAAGTCAAGGCACTTTCTAAATTAAAAAGGGAGTTTAGATTTATTCAGCTGTTTGAATATTTTGTTGGGCATTCTGCATTGTATCAATCTAATTATGTAGAGGAAAGCTGAGGCTGTGATATATAATTAAGAATCATGTTGATGCATTTTGATTTGTTATTTTGTTCAAATGCCGAATTTGAGTTATGGCCTTCTGAGAAGTGGAAAAGTTTCACTTATATATCTCCTTCTCCATCGGCTGATCCAACAAGCTTATCCAAAGATAAACTGACATTTAAAAAAAGAGTAATTAATTGGGAGGAAAATTTGAGTCAACTTCCAGCATCGGATGAATCACAAGAGCGTTTTTGAGACAAGGTTCAAGACCCTAATGAGTCTGGAGTACTACATCCTGGGTGTGTGTGTGTGTGATATCACGACTTTACTTGACAGATCCTCATCTGCTGCACTCTAACTGTGTGCTCGACACCTTTTGGAGAAGCAGTTGAACCCTGGGGAGTGTCACATCCAGAATGACATTAACAGGCTTATGTTCTTCACACTTAGCACTCTCTATTTGAGGGTTCGCTCTAATAGCTCATCGGGCCTGAGTTAAAATGTCTGGTCATAAAGTCAGTCCACACTGAGTGGCACCATCAGGAGCACTCACTGTACGAAGTCTGAGAGCCCACTCACAAAACATGATCTCATTATTCAAAGGCAGCACATTAATAGAAGGTGACCTTTCCATTTGTTTGCAGCAGACGCTGCCTCGTTTTTATTTTCCCTCCTCTTAGTCCTGCTGTCTCAAACTCTTCGACAGATTCAAACTGAAGCGTATCCTCACCCTTCCCCCCAACATTTCCATACTGTGACAGTGCACATGTGTTCAACAGTGGCAGCTAAGTACAGGTTAAACAAACAAACAAAGCCTGGAAGAGGATGGCCCAGAGCAGCACCAGCGGGGCTCTGCTTCACCTGCGTGAGGCGATTACTGAGCCCCCTTATACATGCCCGGCAGAGGGTGCATGCATGTCGATGCCCTATGTGAAATCAGTAATGAGCGAGCAACAGCCAGGGAAGACTTGCAGGCCAGCTCATTGCCATGCAGTGTGAAGAGGCAGGGACAGCGGGGGAGTCCCAGGAGCAATATGGAGAAGGAAACAGGCTATATTTTTATTCTAATGCCAGTGCACATAACATAAGATGATCCTAACTGATAGCAAGAATAGAGCAGGACGCCACACTCCCGCTACATGTCGAGTGGGATATGACGGCATCCCCTGGCCTCCAAAGCTTAGCGCTTAAGTGGCTCCATTTCCTTGGATTTATTTGAATCAGAGCCTGAAGAGCCAGCAGCAGGTCGGTTGAGGATGAGCTGCGAAGGAAGGCATTCAGTGTATCCTGCAACAACGATCATCGATGTTCTATTCCTGCCCACATGAGACACAGATTAGATAATCAGAAATGGGTGTATTTTTATGGGAGAAGAAATGGAAATGTCGATACACTTACACAAGCTAAAAGGGTCCCTGCATGCTGAGTGTTGGATCAGTACGCTTATTTATGTTATTCCATGCACAGCGTTTAGCCCCACACAAATATGCAGGCTGTCTGTTGCTGGCAGTGTCCTGCAGCATTTCACCGGGAAAGGACTCGCCTGCCAGCTGTTGCTTAATACGTCCGTCTGTCTGATTAGAGCTGGTTTCAGTGCTGCAGCAGAGAATGTCCTTGCTGCCCAGTGAAAAAATATTTGTCATGTATCCGTTAACAGAGACACCTGGGATGATTTCCATGAGGACGACATGAGAGAATCTGTGTCTCTTACAAACCGGTTTGTATTTCGAGGGCCTGCATTCACAAAAATGTTCAGAATCCTCACAGAGAGCTCATAATTTAGCTTAAAAAAGTTATAACAAGGAGTCTTATCCTTGGAGTCTTTGGGAATGATATAAGAGTAGCTCTGAGGAGCGGAATATGGCTACAGCCTTGGAGCGTTTTATCTCATGCCTGGGCAGCACAACAGTAAGCTTACAGGATCAAACACACATATAAACACAAGTATAGCACAAAGTGAAATCCTATTCATGTTTCAAAAAGTGGGTTCTTTCTTTCTGTCTTAGTTTATGCTCCTTGTTTGCATTTGTTATACTCCCCTCTTTAGCCAGCTCACTTCCTGATTAGCTAATAAGTCATTCAACCTGACAGTGGACAGCTTGCGTGATCAGCCGTCCTCAGGGTTCCTCTCACATATATGGTTCCCTGATCAGGATTTTACACATGTTAAATATTTCATTTCCAAGTCAGGGTGACAATGATTGTGATTCCTGTAGGTCAGAGGAAAGAAAAGTTGAACCAATACACAACCTTCGCTAACTTTTGTCTAAATGAAGGACTTTGGCCTTACCCCTGTAAGGCTGGCAAACTAGCCATATCGGTAATGCATATATATCATGCATACCAAACTGAGTTCATGTCGGACAAAAAGTACCTGAAATCCAAGTTTCCACATGGCCGGGAAACAGAAGTGGACCACTAATAAAGCAGGGCAAGCAGGAGCTTAAGGATCCCCACTGATATTAAAGTCTCCTTAATATCAGTGGGGATCCATTGGGGCTCTTCTTGTGGGCGGCAGCAGCTCAGGAGGTAGAGCAGTCGGCCTATAACTGTAAGGTTGGCGGTTTCGAACCCCGCCCTATCCCTAGTCTACCTGTTGTGTCCTTGGGCAAGACACTTAACCCACCTTGCTCCCAGTGTGTGTCCTCCACAGGTGTATAAATGTGAGTTTTGTGTGGTGGTGGTCAGAGAGGCTGTAGGCGCAAACTGGCAGGCAGTAATGATAAAGAAGCCGCTACTGAAACTGTTATATATTCCCATTTCTAAGTATTTTGAAATCACTCCCCTTGGAGGTGATACTGTTTTGTTGTGTTGGCTTGAAGATGTAACTGTTATTATCATGACTGCTGCCTAATCTAATGGATGGCATTCATTCACTCTCTGTCATTCATCGTTTGGAGTGTCATGTATCCTGCTTTGTGAATAACTTCTATCATTACAAAGATCTGCCCTTAAATTTTTTATAAGAAGTTTTTGGAAAGTTCTTCTTAGGCTTTATAAGTAAGGTCTGAGACCTGCATCAGGTTCAGGGCTTCTTTCTTACTTCAGAGTACACCGTGTTGATGTTATTTCAAGGTTGAGGTTTCTGTTAATAGCTGGTTCTCATGCAGAAATTAGACTTACAGTTGATGTTAAACCATAACAACACAAACGGTCCATTGAGACCCCCACTAATGAAATTGTACTAGTTAGGGTAGCAGCTCTTACCGCTGTTTCCACTCTTGAGAAGCAATTATGATTAGAAAAATGGAAATCTGCTAATTAAAGCCAAATCAACTGAGGATACACGGTGCTGCGTTTTTCAGTCGCGGGGAAATTATTTGTTCGAAATGAATCGTTTAGTGTGAAGTGAGAGGCGAGATAGCGAGCGTTTTGTGTGGGAAGCGTGACGGTGTTTGTCAAGTCGTTGCTGCTGCGGCGTCGGTATGACAGGAGAAAATTGACTCGTCTTCTTTACCTTCCCATCCCGCTCCGGGACTGTTTTCATTCAGTCATTACTGGCTGAGCTCCAGCGTTCTTGCATCCCAGAAGGCTTGTGATATTTCGAGACGCTGCGGCTTCCTAACTGTCGGCTACACTTAGAAGCGTATCTGATCTTTCCATTGACCTGCATCTGTTCAAAATATGCTGAATTGGCTCTCGTGTGCTATTTCGATCCAGGCTCAGCAGGAGGCTTAAATGTGCCTCCTGTGGTTTGGTCCTGAGAATAGCCATTTAACAGATTTCTTTGGTTGACTATAACGGCTTTAAGAGAACCATAGTCGATGGCTCGGCTGGTTGGCTGAAAGGTAGAGGTCATATCTAACTGTGTTGGTTTTCACAGATGGTGTGGAGGCTTCCATTGCTAGGTAGCTTGAATATCAATAGGCTGATCTCTTAGTGCTCTTCTAAGAGGCAAGGAGTGGGGGGTATCTTGATAGAGGGCACCTTAAAATGACATTCCTGCAATGCTGAAGATAATTTTCAGTAAATCATTGCAAGAACAGTTTTTACGAAGCGGCATCTAAAGGTCGCAGTGAGAGAAATACGAGCCTCTAGCTGTCAAGACTCAAAGACATTTCATCAAGAGAAATAAAGAGGGAGTGGAGCAGTCACTTGGTCTTGATTTGGTTGACTGCATTTGGATCGCAGCAGTAGAAGATGGATAAGAGTCTGCATTTATACCCTCTCTCGCTGTGTTCTCAACAAAAAAAGAGAAAGAATCTGCACACACACAAAGACAGCCAAATTCTCCAGTGTACATTTTGATCTCATTCCCCTCACTTGGCGCACACTGACACATGGCCACCCACAGTTTCTCGGGGGACTCTCTGGGTAGTTGACTGTTTGCAGATTATCACAGCTTGTTTTTCCACCCGCCTGAATGCCATTTCCTGCTCGTTAGCTCTCCATTAATGTCTCTTGCTTCGTGTCCACTCAACACAAGCACTGTCAGAGAGGTCTGGCTATGAGAGGCTTTGTCACACCTGCACAGAAGTGCTTTTCCTCTAATTATATCCTCTCATGTATTGGGCTATTGTGGAACTTCTTAATGACAGGCCATTGTCAAGTTTCATGAGGGTTTTGTAATCCACCTGGTAATCGCAGAGTAATCATGTTGGAGTGTTTCTGTCAACCCAGATTAATGATGGGGTCCCCAAATGAGTAGGGATGTTCCAAAGACCCTTGTGGGGATGCCGGATTAGTTTAACAGCTTAAGTGTGAGCCCCAGGTACAGAGGCCACGGTTCTCAAAGTAGCAGAGATGGGCCAAAGTCCAAGTCGTGTCTTAAAAGGATATTCCGGCGTAAAATTGATTTAGGGTCAAACACACCGCAACACTGAGTGAGACACCCCCTCAAGAGATGAATTTTGCTGACTGCTTGCTTCTCTAGTAATACCAACTTTGGTAAAGACCGCAGGATAGCAATACACATCATTTCTTTTTCATTTCCTTAACGTAATAATCACCATATAAATAATTTTGCACTGCAGACACAGTAGTTCTTCTGCCTTAGCATCTCGGTCTGATTCCATTTCCATGAAGAAATGATCATAAATGTTCTTCCTTGAGCTGCGTCACGCCCTGTAGTCCATAATGGACTGGCCTGAGGTCTCGCTACAAACAAGCGCCTGCTGGAAGAGAGTGGGTGAGTTGTGTTTAGTCTCTTTGCTAAATAAATTAGGCAAAGTTAAAAAGATGTTTGGTGGCTAGGACCCTATATGTACTGTTGATGAAGTTAGGTGCTGTTCTGAGCATTATTTGTGGCTATAGAGTGGCGTTTTGGCTGAGGTTTGTTTATGGCTCCTCAGACCGCTGTGTATTGCTATCGTGTGGTCATTACTAAAGTTGGTATAACTTGAGAAGCAAGCGGTTGGCTACATTCATCTCTCGAGGGGGTGTCTAACTTGGTGTTACTCGGTGGTGTTTGACCCTAAATGAATTTTATGTAGGAATATCCCTTCAAGTGTTTGGTCTCGAGTTCAAGTCTAGTCTCAAGTCTCTGAGGGCAGCAGCAAGTCCCAATCAAGTCTCACAGGGTCTTTACAGAACAACAAAATTTGAAATTTCATAGTCACAATACAAGGAGCTGCTTTGATTGAACATGTATATTACCCTGTTTATTTTGCATAACGCTATATATTTAAAAAGAAAATTATGATAAAACTTGGCATAAAAAAAGCATATACTAAAAGTTGATTGTAGTTTTCCTTGAAGCTGGCCGCCACGTCATAAAATGGGGAAGAGATGAGGAAGAAGCAGCAGTTGCTAGAAAGCTAGCTTTAGCTTTAGCAGCCCTCAGAGATTACTGGACATTTTTTTTATTGTGACACAACTGGTATTTTCATTTATGATCTAAGTAGCAGATGCTTCAACATAAAAGCATATTTTTTCGGTGCTGGAAATAGTCATGTGAACTCCTGATGGATAAAATATCAAAATAAAAGAATGACAAACAATTGTTATATAGTGCAATATCTCCTCAGAAGTGACCAAAAAGCTAGTGTCTTTTTTCAGGGGTTGTCTGAGTTCACCTGTAAGAAACTGCAGTTACAGACTCCCAAAGAGAGATGGAAGAACCCCTGCTCTTTTTTTATTTTTGTATTTTTAACCTGAACCCCGCCTGGTGGGTATTCCCCGTAGTGGTGTCCTCTTGGGTCTCTTCCAGGATGATATTTTTAATAATTTGCTGGAGGAATTGCATCACTTTTCTGGACAGGTAACCCCTCGGGATTATCCAGGTGGAGCTAGAGGTCGTGGCTGGGGGAAGGGGGTTTCTTGCCTTCTTGGTTTGTTGTTTAACCCACTTCCACAAAGATCCAGTCCCCTAGTGAACTGCTTCATATGCGCGTGGATAAATAGCTGGTGTAAACCCCTGCACAAATATTAACCCTGAATCTCTTCAGGCAGCTGTTGACCTCCTTACCTACCAGTCTGATTCCCCTGAGACGGTGAGGAGATCTCGAGGAAATGAATGCAAATTTGTAATTATATTTCACCAGCTCAAGATTCAGATCATTTCGTTGCAGTGTTTCATCAGAACTCTGAGACAGTGTGTTGGTCTGATGTTATCGCAACCTTTTTCATTTCCTGGTGGTGCACATTTTTCCAAATATTTTGTGTGCGTGTGTGTCTGTGTGTGTGCTTCAGTGATTTGTCTGTGTTCCCTTCTGAAATGACAACCCTGCTGGACTGTGAAAGAGGACTGAAGTGAGCCAGCATTTTACCCAGTAGAAACTTAAACTGAGAGAATCCAGAAAGATTGAGAGAGACTCTACCAACTCTACCTGACACCTCTGTTGACCAGTTTTAGTAAATTATTAAAGTTCAGCAGCTTTTCAGGCCATCATATGACACTTCAAACATGTCAAAAAAACTGTCCCTTGTGTTTTTTTTAATCCACAACCACAACCCCAATGTTGATTACTAGATTTGATAGATTGCAAATCATTTCAACATGACATTAGAGTGAAAAAAGTGCAAAGACAGCATTTCAAACGTCAAGTCTGAAAAAGTTTGCTTGGGTTCACGTTCAGTTTTAATCTTTCAGTGTAGTTCAAGTGATAAATTCTGTTCACAAGCAACAGTTTTGAATGTGATTTTAAGCCCATGAAGTGCTGTCCACTACAGAGTCATGTGTTTTTAAAAGTTCTGCCTCAGGGCTCTGAGATCATGGTCTTTTGGTACAGAGATTTCTGATCTTTTAATCATATTATGTACTGCAGATGATAACAACCCCCAAAGTCCTTGTAACATTACCCTGAGGAACCCCATTCCCAAGCTGCTGAATTATTGGCTTGCACAGTCTCCGACAAAGTGGAGAAACGTCCTTCAGTTTATACTCCAGGGTGCATCGGCCTCTCTGAAACGCCCTTTACTTCTCTGATCTGTAACTAACCTGTTGCTGGATGTTGCTCCACATATATTTGTTGCGTTATACAAGTTTGTCAGTGTTTTCTTGTTCCATTTTCTCATTAAATTACATTTATTCAGCTCCGACATTTGATTTGGAGTAAAGTTCGAATGATTTGCAAACCCTCAAAGTTTGTTTTTATCAACATTTTGCACAGCATCCCAACTTTTTTTGGAATCAACAGACGCCTCAAGCTTTGGATGAACAAGAGCAGGAGTGGATTTGTTAAAGTTACTTATATCCATTAAGTGTTACACCATTGAGGGGAGTGCTGAACAGATCTGAGCCCCCTGTGGAGCAGCTCTACTGCAGCAATGACAGCTTTTGCATTCCAGTCATGCCTCTCTGAAAGCAGCAAGTAAACCAAGGCCTAACCCTGCATGCTCCTGTGGAGAGAGCCAGCAATGAGAATGCATGTAATCATTGAAAGCAGGGGGCAGGTGCCCTGGGCTTTACCTTGGATCAGTGCTCAGAGATGGGGAATGGGAATATGGGCACTGGGGAGGCAGCCAAATGCATCGGTGTAAGTGTGACTACAGCTGCATCATTTGAAAACATTTTTTTTTCCAGTTTTTCCAAAAGCATAAAGCCACACCTGTTGTTACCTGTCCCTGTCAGAACTGCTGATCTGTGTAAGTGGTTATTTAGCTTTGAATAAAAAATGGAAAGCGTCCATTCTCATTTTACGCAACTAAAGGCCATTATGTTTTCTCATGGTTCAGGTCAGTTTTATATTTTTACTCAGCAGTGGGCTGACCATCCTTGAGTCCACAACAAAAGACACAGAGGACAAAAGTTGTGGAGAAAGGGCGAGGTTTCTGTCTCCCAAAGGGCATAAGCAATTTTCAGCTCTAGTGAGCCAGCTCCTGGAATACCTAAATCTGAACACAGAACAATACTCAGACTCATTTATTCACATCCTCCCATGGTAGCATCTAACTCGTCTTTGGATAGTTTTTTTCGAATACACAAAACAAAAAAGGTCAAATTATTGGATTTCAGTAATGATTGATGAGCAACAGGCCCAATGCAGGAGTGTAAGAACGGTAAAGATGACTCAAACTGTCTTATATTTTCCTTTAAGTGTAGTCCCTATGTTAATCCACTAAGTAGAGTGGTATGATAAGCTTGCAAATATGAATATTAATCTCTCTTACGACAAAGATATGTCACTCACTTTCAGATCGGGCTCTGCTAAACGCCCGGGTGCTGCCTGCAGTAGTGCTGAGACTTGCATGTAAGCTCTATGATTGATAGCTATGCCAGGGGTGGTGCTGCTGCTGCTCTCCCCAGGCGATGGCAACTTCACTCCTGCTCAGCGGGCAGAGATGCCAGCTTTCTATCAGTCAACTCTGCAGCAAAGATGTTTTCTTTCAGTGCAGAACGACTTCCCCACCATCACTTGCTGTGCATTATGACGATGAGATGAAGACATTTATGCAGTTATCCTTTAGGCAAAGGTGTTAAACTCCATATTGATGTGTGAAATAAAACACCGCGCTGGCTTCCTGGAAAGAGGTGTGTGTGTGTGTGTGTTCCCAGTAGGGTTTGTGTGAACATGACTCACTGCAATATGTGACTTAAAGCTTTACAACCTAGTCCAGGCTCCCTTGAGACAGTTCAGCTTGTCCACAATGGGCCCAAAAGGATTTGTGCAACTTCACTTGATACAAGCATGGGCAGATTTTCAGGTGGAGAGTGAGGCTTACAGCAGCCGGAGGTCGACAAAGAGCAGCTATGGGAGTTGACTGCCTGTACTGTGCTATGACCATATACACTGATCCACTTAACTTGGCTAATCCACTTGTCTCAAGCAAGCCACAAGTGTGTCCCATTTGTATTGTTGGTGTTTTTTTGAATATAAATCAGTGGTCTTAAACATTTTATGGGGATTAAGCCAGCTTAGCTCCATGGCTAATGCAATGATTAGGGATTTCTGGCACCGAAGATAAGTGAATGTTCACCAGTTACTCGGCAACTGTGCTCAACTGTTAAAGACTTAAAGCCCAAATGGCGAAGTCTTGGTCAAGACAGCTCTTAAGCCATTGGCGGTGTGTCATCCTTAACACTTTATTAACCTTGGTTACACTGTGACACATCTGTGTCACTTTGTTTTATGTTGTCAGATGGTTGGTGACCAATCTGTTGACACCACACAAATCAAATCGAGTCCTGTGAAGATAGATCGTTTGAATGTATTTAAAAGAAGGGAAGACACCGCAAAATAAGCTGTTTCTATGTTGTTCAGTTATCTGTATAAGTGTTGGCAGTTCACATACATTACAAGCTTCCACATTGGGTGTTGTATGGACAGTTGGGGGAAAAAAAGGTGGTATTCCAAATTCTTCTGGATTTGTATTCAAGCTGGAATGAGAAACTTTTAGTTAAACAAGAATCAACTTGTTGGTCAAACAAGAATCAGTGCCTTTGAAAGTGAAAGAAAAGATTGCTCTGACATCTTGCAACCTCATCTTACACCTACCCTCCTCCCATTGGTTTTAAACATCAACAAATATACATAGAATTTGTCGCCTTTGAATGCCAATGGTTTTGTTTATAAAGAGGCATAAATTAAATGAGTTTTATAACCAATGAAAAAGAAATCTTCAGAGGAGCTTTAACCAAAATTACCACTATTTTTACTTCCCAACACTGATTTCAACTCTAGAACTTAAGTACAGACAGTAAACCCCATAAAGTGCTGTAATAGAAAAGCATGCTGGTCTTCATTAAAAAGTTGAAGGCCCTCTTATTTACCCTGTTTGATGTTTCTGTCACTGCACTTTGAAACAAGCTACGCCAACTTTGTGGTAGCCTCAGTCTCTGCCTCCTCTGGGGTCACAGCGCTGAATCGTGCGAAAAGGAAACCAGAGTGTTAGATAAGTTTCGAAAACCTTAACTTTCATTTAAAAAAAAACATAACTCTGAAAATGTGCGGCAGGGGAACATTGGTTGTTGACATTTTTCTACATTTGTTAGCATTACACTCTGAGCTAGCAGCACACTGTTCTTTCTTGGTGCCAGAAAACATTTCGTTTATTTTGGCAGCCACCTTTTTCAATACTGCCTATAGCTGTTGTTTTTGGAGAAGTATTTCCTTGGAGTCTAATGAGTTACAGCACTGGATCCAGGCATTGGCTGACACCGGATATGCAGTTTTGGCCGTGTTGTTGGCATCTCTGATTCCAGTGCAGGGACAACTAAAATGTTGCTACAATGGTTTAGCTAATTGATTCCTTGGAGTCATTGGCTAATTATTTAAAATCCTCAGATTTACAAACTTGGAACGGGGCTGAATAAAGTTAGATTAGTTCTCCTGTCAAAAATAAAACCTAGAGAGGAAGTTGAGGCACTTCTCTTGGTTCCTGGTGGAATTTATATCAAACTGATCAGTGCCAAGTTGTCAAGTGTGCTATAAAAATCTGACCTATAGCTCCTGCAAGTGTTCCAATAGTTGTGGTTGACAGAGAGCAGACAAACTACATTTCTCATACTATCAAAGGACTGTGAAATGCAGAACTGAGCGGTGAATAAATCAAAGCAAGGTCTACAACACACAGGCGAGTGTTTAAGGTTAAAAGCGAGAACTGGTGGCTCACTTGGGGATCAAAAGAATTTTAAAGTGCAGTATGAAGTGAATTCTTAAGTACCAGTTGGAAATGGACCTTTGAAGATAAAGTGTCTGTGTCGATTTTGTCAATAATTCCTTTTAAAGTTTTTATTGAACGCCTGGTTAAATGGACTGGGTCTGTATGTGTGTGTGGTGTATCATTCATCTTTTCCCTCACCTTTTAGGAGGTGTTCGTGCTAACATTTCACAAAACCTATCTGCTCAGTCGAGACAGGCACTATTTGAATAAACCCATTAGCCAGAAAAGTGGGTTGGACTGGATTGAGTCGACAAAACGAACAAGCCATTATTAAAATGTAGTCAAGGGGGATATTTGTGGTAGAAGATTAATCCGATGAAGTTGAATCGCAGACAAAAGCCTTGATAAAGTGACATTTTAAAAAAGAAAAATAAGGGAGAACTTTATCCAAGACCCACAATTTCTGAGAATTTGTTTTTCTAAATCAGGTATGTGTTACTTAGATGGATATATCTGTTGACAGTCACATTTTAGAAACCACAAGGATGTGTCATTGAATATTTAACATTGGATATTACTTTCTGTTGAGGTCTTTGTGGTATATGAACATATATCTGCCTTTGAAAGCCCCAATAGGATGCAAATTTTGTGCAAATTAGTCTGGTTAAGTTTTGACTACCAAATGATAAGTTATGAGACCATATGTATATAAATGTGTTTGTCTCTGCTCTGCTCTGCTCTCCATCACACCTGAAGCTCTAACAGCAACGACTCATATTTAAATCCACAGGTTGTTCTATAAGTCTACTTTGCATCTCAAGTTACAAATGTGTCTATTGCATTCAAACAAGAGTATAGAAGAGACAGGAGTGTCGTATAGGATATGTAGGTTTCTCATCACCCTTGCTAGCTGGCACCATAATGGCACTCATCATGGGTTAAAGCTTTGTAAAGGCTGTGTCTGTTTAAACTGGCATACAACAAGCTTGAACAATGTAACCAGCACAGACATGAAGGTTCACTTGCAAGTGATGTGTACTGTATGGTTTAGTCAATGCAATTACCCAGCCCTAGGATCTATAAGGACTTGTATGGTCACTGATATTTTTCTCATGAATCACAGCTACACTTAAGAAACCACAAACTTGGTCTATATGTGACTTTGAACAACCTCTTTCTTCCTCCTGATTAGTTTCAAATTGTATTTGTTTCTGAACTTTGTAACACCACTCTAAGGCCGTTGTTGTTGTCATATCCACATTTGACTGGATGCCTTACATCCACACGTCATTTTCATCAGCCAGTTTTGTGTAGTTGGACTATTCAGTCTCTTTTAATTTTTTTCATAATAAAGCAGGTGTCTAATGGGGGAGATGTTATTTACTCAGTGATTATGAAAAATATCAGTGCCAGATATCTGGGCTTGTAATTACCAATCTAATTGGTGTACTGCCCAAAATTGTCGCTGTTATCTGATGAATTGCTTTTGGACCAGCTGAAAGGCTGATGTAACGGAGGAAAGGTCACATTGCTACTCAGATGGTCTAGAAATGCTTGTATTTATATTTTCTAATGCGGCCCTGGATCATAATTGATATCATCTCACACCATTATATATTAGGAGACAGAAGCAGCTCTTTTGTGTAATATTGAAAATTCTGTGCTGAATGTGGATGAACTAATGCAAGTTGAAGTACAGCTGATGGCCTGCAGTAATTTGGTATTTCTATTTAGATCATTATGTTTTCTGTGCTTGCTCAAAGGGAAATGATGGGAGCTCTTTCTGAGTTGAAAGAGAAGTGTCATATTCCTGAATCAGTAAAACTGCACAACTGTGCTTTACTGATGACTCCATTGTATACATGTGAAAGCTGAATCTTTGCACCTCATTACAAATCTCCTTTTCTCTCTCTGTTCTCTTTTGTAGGTTCCATCTGAGTAGGAGGTGGCAACAAAAGACCAAATGCCATGGATGTATTCAATTTCACCTACTGGAATGCCTCCGAAGGCAATGACACAGAAGTTGTGGAAAAGAGCGAGAGCGCCTACAAGACTGTGGAGGTGGTGTTCATCGTGTTGGTGGCCGGTTCCCTCAGCTTGGTCACAGTTATTGGAAATATCCTTGTTATGCTTTCCATCAAAGTTAATAGGAACTTACAGACTGTCAACAACTATTTTTTATTCAGCCTTGCATGTGCTGACCTAATTATCGGACTGTGCTCCATGAACTTGTACACAGTCTACATAGTAATAGGGTACTGGCCCCTGGGGCCGGTGGTATGCGACTTGTGGTTAGCCCTGGACTATGTCGTCAGTAATGCGTCTGTCATGAATCTTCTCATCATCAGCTTTGACAGATATTTCTGTGTCACCAAGCCCCTCAGCTACCCTGTCAAAAGGACCACCAAGATGGCAGGGATGATGATCGCTGCAGCCTGGGTTCTCTCTTTCATCCTTTGGGCGCCAGCCATCCTTTTCTGGCAGTTCATCGTAGGTGGGCGGACAGTGCCGGAGCGGGAGTGCTACATCCAGTTCTTCTCTAATGCCGCAGTCACTTTTGGCACCGCCATCGCCGCCTTTTACCTGCCTGTCATCATCATGATTCAGCTCTACTGGCAGATCTCAAGAGCAAGCAAGAGCCGTGTGAAGAAGGACAACCGCAAGCCTTCGGGACCCAATCCAGAGCCGCTGTCACCTGACCAGCGGAGGAACAATACGCCCAAACCCAACAATAACAACGTGCCAGGAGAAGACACAGGGCGTTCTCCAAGCCAGCATGCCGTGGATGGAGCTAACCATAATGATGGAAAGCTGCAAAATGGCAAAGGACCTTCCTCCACAACTGCTGATGGAGAAACCGAAGGTGAAGATGCCACAAGAGAGACCCTTGCTACTGGGGAAGAAAAGGAGAGCTCAAATGATTCAACATCTGGCAGTGTGGCTGCGTCCAATCTGAAGGATGATGAGGCAGTCCCCTCGACTGCAAACTCTTGCGCAGAGACGAGCCAACCGCCCCCACGTCAACGAGCCAAGGCAGGGGGCTCCAAGCTGACCTGTATCAAGATCAAGACAAAATCTCCTAAGGGTGACTGCTACACACCATCCAACGCCACCGTTGAGATCGTCCCAGCAACAGAGCGGCAGAATCACGTGGCGAGGAAGATCGTGAAAATGACAAAGCAACCGCCCAACAAGAAGAAGAAAGCAGCGCCGTCACGGGAGAAAAAAGTGACCCGAACCATCATGGCCATCCTGGTAGCTTTCGTAGCCACCTGGACTCCTTATAACGTGATGGTGCTCATTAACACCTTCTGCTCCAGCTGCATCCCCAACACAGTGTGGACTATTGGCTACTGGCTGTGCTACATCAACAGCACTATCAACCCGGCCTGCTACGCCCTGTGCAACGTCACATTTAAAAAGACATTCAAACATCTTCTCCTCTGCCAGTATAAAAACATCAGGTCAGCCAGATAAATACGGGCCACCCAGGAGGAAAAGCTGAAGTATGAGTTGTCTGTGTGTGCGTGTGTGTGATCCATGTATATTTCTTGGTGTGTTTGTAAAAGGTATGTGTGCATGTGAAGTCTGCAAGGGTGCATTTGGAATTACTTTCATTTGATCTTGTTTTCCTTCAATTTCTCTCTCAATAACAGGTTGTAGCACTTTACACAAATTCAACTGATGCCAGTTGTGTTAAGATGTGTCGTGCAGAGGCAGCGTAGATAAAGAAAGTCGTGAAAACATTCGCTTATCAGAGGTGTAGGCTCACAGTGAGAGTGTTTAAAGCTGGGAAAACTTAGGAGTGACAGTGAGCTGATATGAAAAGAAAACAATAAAAAAGTCGAGGAAGATCTGCGCTGTGCGGAAACACAAGAAAACTTCAAAATGGGAAAATAGGGCTGACTGAATTTATAAACCTCAGAAGTTTGAAGTTCAGTGAAGATACCTGTAGATAACTGTACATATCAGTGTAAAATCAATATTTATGTGGGTGCACATGTGGGTGTGTGCAGTTTCAGAGTATCCGTGTACACCCATCTGTGCCCTACTGCCTGCCTTCCTTCTATCCGTCTGTGATCCTCATCGTGCCACTTAACAACCAGCAACATGTAGAATAAACTGGGGCAGCTTGAGTAGATTGACACCGATATGGTCACATCAGGGCTGGAAGCTTTCACTTCTACCATTGAGCCTCTATGGGACTAAGCTGCCATCAATACATAATAGATAAACTGTATAAATATATCAACACTGCATTTGTTGACACTGCATGCTGGAGGGCCAAACTGGTGGCAAGGAATAATCTGAAAATCAAAATCTGTTGAGCTAGAATACATATCAGTTTCTCAGTAACAATGAAGTAGGTGAAGTTTTTATTTCTCTTGGTTAGGTATTGGAATATAGAACCTCCAAACATGACCTCCAACAGAGACAGTGGAGATGAATGCAGCGTTCACCACATTAAAACTTAACAAAAATTCTCAGCAGCATGTCTTTCAAGAAGCAATATCCTGGTTAGAAGTAGTTAACTTATCACTGAAAACATTTTCATCAGTTTTACTTATTAAATAAAGATATCTAAGTTGACAGTGTGAGGGTCTTTTTGTACTATTTCTAAAAATTTGACCCTTTAGCTCGGCCCACTTGGTGCCAAAAAAGGATCAATGTTTGGTTTGTCAGTGCCCTATTTTGACAATTTCGATAAACTTTGAGAACAAACCTGCAGTTTAATATGATTAAAAAACAATTGAAGCTAAAAGACATTAGCTTCGAAACCGCTAATTTAACTATCTAGTCAAGATATGTAGGTCTCACCTTAACAGATCTAAGAGCTTGGTCTGTTGTCCTACGCCTCAAAAATATGACAATCTAGGAACTAAATCGGCGCCAGTCGGACATTTCCATTACCCCTCTGTCAATTTAGTGATAAAATCAAACACAACATCATATGAAATAATCTCAGTGACAAACCAGGCACCGATGTTTAATGCTGGTGACTAAATGCTCCATTTAAGACATGCTAACAAATGTGCATCATGCAACCAATGAGACTAAAGAGTTAGCATCTAAATTAACTTAGATTTAGCAGTAAGTTTAACAATTTAACATTGTTTTAATGAAGCTTCAATGATCCTCAAGGTAATTATATTCAGTTTTGACTGGTTACCGAGTGCTTTCCAACCTTGGACTATAGTCTAATAGTCGAAAATTGAACTTTAGTTAAAATTTGATGCCAAGTCAGCACTCCTTGAAACAAATGCTGAACTGGCCTCCATCCATGTTCTGTCCAATATTTGCTTTTGTGCCAAATACTGCATATTTTATGTACAACTTTGATGCCAACATCTAGAAACTTGTTTTTTTAGGTTTCCTAGAACTTTACAATTTGAAGTATTGTGCCACTGAAACTGCCATATTTAACAACTTCTATGTGAGAAGAAATATTCCCTTACATAACCAAAACCGGTTTGTAGAACCTGTCTTTCATCATTATAGAAAATAGTACAACAAACACCAACATATGACCGAACAGGAACAAAAAGGTGTCATGAGATTGTTCTGTCCTTGTCTTTGATTTGCCTGCGTGTTACATCACATCACGTCAGCTTTTACAGCCGCTGACAGGATGTTTGATGTATTTTTCATGGTCTTTACGTTTGCTGTCAAGTTGCTCTAAAGTGCGAGGAAACAGGTGGCTGTAGCTCAGAGCTGAGGCTTAATACTGTATGTGGGAAGGCGCTGTGTGGGGCTGTCTTGTTTTCTCCGAGTTGTTTTTGGTGTGTGTGGATGAGTGGGAGACGTCATTTGATCTCGCTGATTAGTGGATTGATGTCTCAGCGTGTACTGTACTCTACTGTACTGATTATGATTGTGGGGATCTGTTTGCGTGAGTGTGTGGGTTCTCCTATGTGAGTCCCGTGGAGGCAGTTTAAACGCTGTTGTGTGTTCGCTCCAAGAGTGGAGTTTACTTCGGATCACAGGATCAAACCTTGTGATTCTCATAAGGGCTATTTCTGCGTCTTTACCGTGCGTGTTTGTATCACATCCTCAGTTTAATTTCTAAAATCAACACTCATTTAACTCTCTGTGAATCATTTTATTATGAAATTAAAGTAATGGATAGGTTTGCTTATTTTAATGATAAAAGAAATGAGAAAATTTCCATTTACAGTAAGTCATGTTCTGTGTTATTCATGCGTGTCATCCATCATTTCAGCCTATTAGACAATTCTCAGTTACATTAATGTATGCTCACCAGTCAAGGCGTTGAATATTCATGATGTTTGCCATCAGGAGGTTACCGCAGCGGCTGGTAGGGGGGCTCTGCAAAGGAAGAATTACGCCTGCACCAAATAGCTCCTCAAGGCCTGTCTCCTTTTTTTACAGAGAGATCTGGGACACATCCTATAATGAAAACTCACCATGAGGCTGATCAGATTACGGGACGATGTGGAACACCTACATTTGAGATTAAAGATTGCCCATTACATGCTCAGCTTGTGCTTGTGTGCTCCATGCCCATGCCCCACTTAGTGCTCCACTCAGCCCTGATCCTGTTATAGTCTCTACCTCAGATATATGAGGTCATGAATGTAATGTAAATATCACATGTGCATTCGTTAGATCGTGTTTGTATTAATTCGTTTTCTTTTCCTCCTGAGTTCATTCTAGCCTTCCTCTCTGCCATATTAAACTGTAAAGCTGCTATATATGTACTGTGCTACTGTAAAGTGAACACCCATGCATAATTTCACTGAGCAACAGAAGCACGCTGACATTTACTTTCCTTTGCTGGCGACCTAAATCTGAAGGGTAAATGCTGCATTGAAATACTAGAAATCCAGAAGCTTAGGATGTAGCTGTGCATCAATGACGTACGCAGAAAACTTTTAACGCAAACTACATCCAATTTTTCCTTTATCACAGTGTGGATGTGATAATTTAACATGCTTTATCGTCACCCACAATAATATTACAATTTAACTCTTTATTAAAAAGTTGTCTATTTTTTATATGAAAGCAACAGTTTTATTGTCAAATCATTTAAACAAAGCTATATTTAATTTATGATACCTGCCTTCACAGGGTTTGATTGTGTTTAAAGGACAATTTACACAAGTAAACCTCCCAGCAGTCATCGTACTTTGATTTAAATACTGCTGAGCCCTGATTGGTCCACATGCTTTTTGCAAATGCAGCCCCTCCCATTCAGATTGTGTAGAGATTTGACTTTAAAGTCCCACTCCGATCGCTTTTTTTCTTACAACTTAAAGTGTTCTCAGTGGTCTTTAAATTGCGATTATGAAGTTTTTAACCAAAAATCGCATTACCTGTGTCATTTTCAAGGGCTTTTCTTCTGCAGAGCTCCAGCAGATCATTAGCAATTTGCCTCTTAGTCGATGGGGGGGGAGACAGCGCTGCTCTGCACACTCGTCTTCACGTTAGCTTGCACCCTAACGTTGCCGGTGTAGTAGAAGTGGCAGGTAACATAGCAGCTATTCAACATTCAGACATTAATGTCTTTAGAGACACAATGAAAGATAATATCATAATTAGCTATTTTACGAACATTGCAATCCGCTAATGCACATGCTTGTTCCGCAATCATCCTCTGTATTTCTCCTACATATGCAGAGTGTGGCCAGGGGGCGGAGCTTGAAATGGTTACGTATGAAATCTCACTGTTTCTGAACCTGTCATTTGATCTGCCTGAGATTCACAGCGATTTGATTGGGAAAAAATACTCAGAAAAGCAATTTTGCACTTAATTTTCTCATGATTTGTCCTGAAGCATTAGAAAAATGCCAGATGAACATATAAAAAACAAGAAAAACATGATTTTCATCGGAGTGGGTCTTTAAGGCAATGTACAAAAACCAAAAAAGAGTTATTACAAGCAAGTCAGGTTGTTTAGCTCAGAATATCTTGAAATTAGATGTTAACCTGGAGTTTTCAGGGGAATATGGAAAATATTACTTTTAATTGGATTCTGTTTTTTTTACTAAAAATTGAACAAAAACACTTTGCATTGAGGTTTGTTGTGTAGCTTTTTTATCAGATTGAATCATTAGCTGTCAAACTTGTAGAAAGGGACGTTACTTTCAAATTGATTGTGACATTGTTGACGTTAAAGGTTAGCGAAGACACAATCTGTAGGTGTTTACAGTTGGATTTAAGTGTAGTACATCAGCCAAGCTTCATCCACCTGGACAGTTGCATCAAGAACCGAGGCATCCACTCAACATCCACCCATCCATCACAGCGATAAGTCGAACCATGTCCGTCTAACATCCGTCACACATCTCAGTAGTGGGTAAAGAGCCTTCCAGAATATCTGATTAATCTTTGCTAAGCTGTCGTTTGATTGATACCAGCCGGAGAGTTAAGTGGCTCACAGCTCAAGAAGAGGTCCAGGGGTCCCAGTTTGAGCATCTGCTGGACTATTTGACGGGAGGTGATGGCAGTTTATCACCTCCTGCAAGCGAGCAAAAAGAGGGTGAGATGCATCTCAAAACTTAAGTGCTCGCTGGTTATCTTCGCTTCAAACAGGGAGCAAAGTTCCTGTTACCAATCCCCCTCCTCCTGCTCCTGTTGCCATGTTGTCAAACACATGAAAACAAAACAATGTTCTCATATCAGGCATTGCCAAAGAGAAACAGCGGCGGGGGTTATGTGTGAACATGCAGGGTTATGATAGAGTGAGAAAGCATCGTACGGTGACGGTGAAGGAGCGCAGCTGTCATGCATGTGCAGGAGAAAAATGGCTGATAGCTCCTGAGGTGTGCACAGATAAGCTTGCCTTTGTAGTCATGGTTACAGGGGGGATTTAGACAGAGAGAGAGAGAGAGAGAGAGGGAGAGGAAGGTAAGGTGGAGGAAGGCCGGGTGGGGGAGTTGAGGTGTCAGTGACAAAATCCAAAGCTTGCGGATCACGCTGCGTGTCGACCATGTTTGGAAAAGTCACAGCCGAACTCAAACAGGTCAGCCAAGGGTTTCACTGCAGGAATTTGAGAGTCCTGGAAAAAAACTGCAATATGTTTTAATCTGTTATCATCCTTTCCATGTTATTTGTTGCTCCTCCTCATTGGAATCCACCATCCACCCTTACGCATGCATCGCACACAACACCTATCGTCTGATATTCATAAAGCGAGCATAAACATTGTCTCCACTGTTACGAACAGATCATTATGTGCCGTCAGAGCTAGCTGGGCTCCTCTTTCATACGGCTAATGTCAAAGGGCTAAAACTCCTTTTATGGAGTACTTGTGACACGTTATGTTGATCAGACAACTCTTGATATTTCAAGGTTTCTCTGGCTTCACTCAGATTGTCAGGAGCAATCTTGTGAAGCCGTGACGGTGGAAATCGCAGCAGCTTGAACACGCTGTGAGAAGTTTTGCGGAAGGGAAATTAATATCGCCAGATTGTACAGAGCAATTTCGAAGTGCCTTATCAAGTGTGACATAAACAAATTGCTCTTCCTTTTACCCTGAAATTCCTCTTGTATTGTTTGTGTGTCTGGGATGAGAGTTGAAGAAGCTGTTTGAGTGGGGTGCATGTTTCTGAGCCTTCCCAATATTTTCATTAAAGCCTCTGGAAACCACAATCCATTATAGCCTCTGAATTACGCTCCTAAGTCTTTAATGTGCTGGAACCTAAAAAGATATCAGCATTAACAGGCCCACAAGTTTTAGAGTTAAAACTCTATTTTTACTCTCTTTAATTTTATGTTTATTTATATTTAGTAGTAATTTAGTAGTGTTAGCATTCATTGCTTTGAGAAGAAAAAAAGACATCCAACCTAACAAAACATTTATGTAACTTTTAGGTTATCTGCCAACTATGATATGGACAACCAACCAGTGACTGTTTGTAGAGTGGACAACATCAATTTAAGCCAAAAGACCCCCCTTAATAACTTAATATGACATACTGTACTGCTGGAGCTACAGCAGGCTTGGTGAAGTGATCTGTGGCATTATTAAAAAAAAAAAAAACACTTATTAGAAGGAAAATTGAGACTGGTGTTAGTCCAGGCATGCTGCGTAACCCAGGATTTCCACCGGATCAGTTTGTGAGGCAAATTTCATGGTGGATTACGGACAGCAGGAATTGCGAGAACTCACAAGAACCCTCGGATTCACGTGCAATCACGCGATAACAGGTTGTCTTTAGCCACATAGGCTAACCATATAAGCAGTAGATTGTGTTCTTCCAGAGGAGGAAATCTACTTCGAGACTTCTAGAATCAGCGTCTCCTCTCCTATAAACCTATCACTTGTTCGTCCCCACCCGCTTGCATGGTGTGAAATCCGATCCGCCTAAAACACGGAATGTTTTATTTCGTATCTGTGTCTGTTTCCTTTCCAGCACAGGTTAATCTGTGCTGAATTAATCCGGCATGCTCCGGCGTCCAGAAAAAATAGAACTCTTGGGATCAGCTGCTGAGTCCGGCGAGCCACAGTGGAACGGAAAGAAGTGTTTGAAATTGACACATTAACTTGAATGGTTACGATCAGCTACGATCGGCGGATACGGCCTTTTCATAGTTGTTCCGGATGCGGTGGAAACTAGGGGAAAAGCACACGCTCGTAAAAAGCTGATCCTCACCACAACCCTCAGTTTAGCCAATGATCTTCTTCATATCCAATTCTGAAATGTCAGATGAGTTTTTACCTCATGTATGAGGCCTTTGCTGCTGCTCTCCCTGTATGCCCATAAGAAGGTGGTGCTCCCCCCTCCTTCACGCTCTCCCTGCTCTTCACACTGAGCCACACCACCAAATGTAATCACTGCTTGTAAATGAATAATTTAAGCTGAAGAGGTCCTGACTGAACCATCTTTGCTGGAGAATATTTCATGTGTTTGAATTTTACAGATACAGAAAAGTGCAAAATCTGTCATGCTATCAAGCTAGCAAAATATATATGTTTATTAGCAACATTTAAGTCCTTGAGCACCTGGAGAGCACTGAAAAATACAAGGAAAGCTTTTTTATTTTTATGTTTGAGTTGAATAGTTTGGCCTCTGTTCCATTTATTAACACAAAGGAGGCAGTTTATGCCCCATACTGATGCCATCCAGCAGGGGGAGCTCCACATCTTTTGATTTCACAGTCAGTAAAAACAGATGTTATCCATTTTAATGTAACAGTCGATGGTTGCAGCTCACCAGTCAAACAAAACAGCATCATCCTTTTGGCAGGACTAAAATATTTATCTTTTTCTGGCTTAAATGACTCACATCAATCTTCACAGCTGTACTATGCTAATTGTTGTGTGATGAACTCAGCAGCTATCTATTAAAAATCAAACGGAGAGGGTGTTTCCGTTGTAAATATGGTCCCTAAAAGACTCTGTTAGTATCTGTGATTTAATTTGTTTTCATTTCGAGCCACGTTTCCAAAGGCTTTAAAGATAATGTCAGTCTCAGCTCTGAGCTCCTGCAGGTATAGATTTTTGATCGCCGCAATTAAAGTGTGGACTGAACAATCTCAAAATCATCCCAACACTTTTTTAAAAATACCACTACACAGTGTACAGTTACAGCAGTGACATATTTCAGTATTATCTGAGGCACAGTGATCTATCGAACGTGTGTTCATGGGGAATGTTTCCCCGTTTGTGTGTCTGATATACCAAGATTTAGCTGTCAGTCCCCCACGTGTGAGATGATCTGTGTGTGATTGTGTGATTGTGTGTGTGCGCTGCTTGCTGTGCGGCGTTTATTTCTTTCTAAATGGCATCCTCAGCATGAAGACATCAGATTGGACAAAATATCTCGGCACACATCAGGGAAGATGCACACAGTGTGATTGTCTTTTTCTCCGCCATCACTCCTCCCTCTTTAAACAATAGCGACAGGCTTCCAAAGACTCACTAAGGCGTAGCTTTGTGTGGGACTGGAATACATATAAATACATTATATTGTACATTTTTTATCACATTTTATAAAATACGTTTCTTTTATCATTGTACAAATGTAGTATTATAAATCAGAGTATGATCTGTGTACAGCCAGAGTTTCTCTTATTTGGTTTAAGATTAAAATGTTGTATAAAATCTATAAATATATTTGAATATTATGGGAGACTATGATTATAAAAGGAGAAGGTATAAGTATATGTGCATTTCCCGGGGGCATGATTTCCCGCAGAAATGGATTCCTTCTTTGCAAAAACCAGTGACTGGATCCAAACTTTTCATTTTTCCGAGCCGCATACAAGAGGAATTCGAGGGTGACTTTTGCAGCCAGAACACCAGAAAAACCTGAAGGAGGACACAAAAAGATCAAACTAGTTTCAATGTGACCCAGAGGCCCAAAGGCAAGGGGCTTCATTTTGATTTCACCTGTAAAGTTATGAAGCTCCACACTCACCTTGGAAAGAAGCGATATCCTCCCGGACACACTTTATAACTTTTTGCAATTTTAACATCCCGAGTGAGAAAAGATGTTTTATTTCATTTCTTCTTTTTTTTTTTTTTTCGTGGAGCAACCAAAGTGTTGAGGTTGTTTGACCTGATCCAGACTCTGAGGGTCACATTAAAAATGTGGATTTAAAACAAAAAAATTAAAAAATTAAAAAAAAAAAAAAAAGAAAAAGAAAATCAGTAGCCTGCTGCAAGTGTTAAATGTACATACAAAGTGTTCATTTTTCATTTGCTTCTGTTTGTAGATGTTCAACGTGTGTTCATTCACTGTGGCTTGTGGCTTCTCTTGCAATAGGAAAAATTTAACAGTCTATTGTTTGCATTGTACATATCTATATGATAATACATTATATGTAGGTGGGATGTGGTACATTTGCAATGTACATACACGTCTTTTAATAGCTATCTGAATGTTACCCCTCCCCCAAAGAGTCCCCCATTTATGTCCCTCTCCCCCTCCCCAACTATGATACTTCCTGTACAGTAACAATGGTATTGATTTCCTTTTATTTTTTTGATGCATTCTTGATTGATTATTTGTTCTGGACAATGAATCTGAGTGTCAATATGTCCGGCCACCTATATGACACTGTAAGATGAACTGCATTGAGTGGTTACATTGTGCCATATGCTCTCAGAATGACATTCAAATAAAAATATATCAAAATGTGTTTGGGTCTTTTAGAGTCTTCAAATGGAGTTATGTTGACGGTGTTTAGGAGAAGCAGTGACGTGAACGCCCCACTCTTGTCATTTTCACGACATCATCAGTTGAAGGTTTCTGAAAGCGCCGAGTTCACAAGTTGTGATGCGTCTGGTGACGTTTACATAAATGGCGAGTTCAGGTTGACAAAAGGAGCTGTAGTAAAAGTTAAAGGAGATTGGTAATTATTATTATGAACCTCGTTTCTATGGCGATCATGGTCCTATAGTGTGATCTCCACAAAGTGAAGAGAAAAAACAATGGAAAAATCTGTTAAACCTGCAGGTGCAGGCCTGCAAAAACATTGACCAATGGGAGCCATCAGTCCTGGACAGCTCCCGTTGGCCAATCTCCATCTCCGCCTCTCTATCCAATCACCTCGCTGTATTCGACATACCCCTCTCCTGTGGTTCCGACTCATCCCCTCCCACTCTCCCTGCCCTCCTCAGATCTCTGAGCAGCTAGAAGTAGCGTAGCATTTTAGCTACAGGGGCTGTGATGGAGAAGGACGCAAAAAAACACTTCTGCTCGCCCCACCACCAAAAGTCGGAAGAAAACGCAAGCCGACAGAAGGAAAGGCAGAGACGAAGAGGAAATGTGACCAATCGAGGAATCGAACTCAAATAAACATCGGGTCATCCTTCGAGTGGTGGAGAAAGCTCCGCCAGGATTTGGGCCTGATAACAGACGCCAAGACAGCAGAGTTTTTGTTGAACAGGTAATTTTTGCCTTTTATCGTGGCACATGTTACATAAATAATTCTTATAAGTCTCTGCAATGTCAACACGGTAGCTGTCCAAGCAGCTGCAGACGGCGCTCGCTAGCAGAGTTGGTGTTTACTGCCGCTAGTCACTAGCAATCTGACATTGTGAATCCTATTTGATGCTAGTGTAGGATCTTCTGTTAGCCGGCTTCTTGCTCTGACAGAGGGGTGTGTCATGGGGAGGGTGATACAGGTTCGAGGGGGAGTTACGCTAATTTCAATTCTGCTTCTTCAATCGCCATCCATGCCTTTAATCTAGATCATTCACCATGTGGACTTGTCCTAAGTTCCTCCTGGTCGTTTTTCAGCACAAGAGGATGATATAATTTTGCCATTTCAGCATTGAAAGCAAGGAAATTGACAAATTTTTTAGGTCTACGTTGCCAAAAAAGAAAGTTTGAAGTTATTTCCCGCTTGAATGCCAACCCTTGTGTTTACACGAATTCACAACACAATTTCACAGCTTTATGAGTCCCATTTCGAGGCAGCATCTCAGAGAAAACCATTTGAAATTTTTTTACTTTTGTGTTCATTTTTATTTTTGGAAATGTAACAGGAAACAAAAGGAATGTTAACTCCAACTCGGGGACTACAAAAGCAACGGCTTAATTTTTACAGTGCGTATAAATTGAGGTAAACAGAGCAGCAGAAGGAAACTTGCACAGTAGCTTATGTTTTTTTCTTAATGGAAGTTAAAGCTAAAAAATCATGGCAGAAAATAACAGGGGAGTGGGGGTTGTTACCATTTAATTGAGCTACCTAAAAAAAAAATTGCAAGTACACAACTTTCTTTTTTCTTGCCCAAATTAATTAAGCAAACTTCACTTTGAGCAAACTGCCTCATTAAGTCACTGCATGGACCAAAGAGTTTACCAAATTAGCATTAGGCTATGAAACTGTAAAAGAAATCCTATATTCAGTTTTCATTTAGAAACAACATCACTAAGTAAAAACACTATTTTACAAACATCTTCCAGATTAATCATTTGTATTATGTCTTCTATGGCAACAAACAAGATTTTTCTTACCAGGTGCAAGAAAGAAGAAAAAGTAAAACACACTAAAAGTCGAATTTTCATGTGTTTCGTCAAAGCTCTACAGGCTCCTACTGCCAACCTACAGGATATACAAAGAGGAACCACGTTGAAACAGGGCAGTGGACGCTTCTTTTCCCACCCTCTTCTTCCTTCTTCCGACATCCTCATCAGTCCATTTGGGTGCGCTCTCGCTTCTTGCCTTCTTTCTTTTGCTTCTTTGCATCTAAAAAAATAAAAAAATAAAAGGCACAAAAACAGAGTTAGGTTCAATCATGTTTCCTCTGACCATTCCTCTGCCAGAGGTGGTGTTTTTGTGAAAACAAACAAGCCCCATTGTGTTCATGAAGAGCACAGATGCTCCTCTTTAGATTGTAATAATCAAGCGTGTGAGCTTTAATTAGTTTTTGGAGCCGGAGTGAAGGTTTCGAGCTGTGACACCACATGTAGTCCCCTCCACCAGCTCTCTGCCCAAGGACTGATTTGGTGGCGTGTAGTACGCCATGCTCCCGTGAACACCCGCTTTATCATCTTCCCGCAAGAGTGAACTGGTACCTGGCAGCCATGACAGAAGCCACAGTCCATAGCTTCCCTCTCTGCTTTACAGCCTCTCTGCTCTACTGGACCGGAAGAGAGAACAACCCGGCAGCAGTTTGGCTAGCTAGCTCCTGGCTAGCTGTTTGTTGGACGGCCAATCTAAGCGGGTAATTGTGGGTTTCTACTCATATGTGTGTCCTTTTATTTTTTTCAACTTGTAACTGTGTGCAGTTTTGTTTGCATACCTAAACTGACATTTTGTGTTTTAGTGTCAATTTGTTGATAAAAATAATGATGATAAATGTTTCTTAACAACCTGATCAAGTCGAGGTTTAAGGTACTTTTACTTGTTTTTAAATGTCTTCTTATCTTTTACCTTATGAACCTTCAAGGACCCTGCGCTTGTCTGGCGGCGGTCTCCTAGTCATTTCAACAGTCAGGACACACACTCGTGGCGAGGCGTCTTTCCAGTATTATGGCCCTCCACTATGGAACAGCCTGCCAGAGGAGCTCAGGGCTGCAGAGACCGTTCAAGTTTTTCAGAGCAGACTCAAGACCCGCCTTTTTAGCTTTGCTTTTTATTGATATTTATTTGTTTTATCTTCATTCATTCTAGTTTGCCTTGGTTTATTTTAGTTCTGTGTTTTATTCCTATTTTAGTTTTTACTTGTTTTTATCCTTTTATCATTTTTAGGACCCCCAGTGTTTCCTCTGAGGGAGCCCTTGGCACCGGGAGAGGTAGTTTTTTGTTTTTAACTGTAAAGCACTTTGAGTTACACTCTGTAGGAAAAGCGCCTTATAAATTAATTTTGTTTTGATTTGATTTGAGACAATAACCGGCGAAAAAAATATCTCATATAATAAAAACTCTTACAAATATATGCTTTTTCTCCTGACTGATATTATAATGATATGACATTCAATGTTGCTTAAATTTCAAGCAATGAATCTGTAAAACTGGCTCAGGAAGTTGAGTTGTGCAGTGTTGATTTCCTCACTTATTTGCTGCAGGTAAAAATTCCCCTAACCTTCATGCTGCTTTCTAATTTTCCTCCTTAAACTTGTCCTGATGCACATCTATGATAAAACCACATCCAGCTGGTTTGGTGTTGGTTCTGGTGTACCCTGTGGACAAAGTGATATGTCCTGTACACCAAGAATTCGTGTTTTTAGACCAAAACCTCAAACTGTTGTCTTTTAATGACTAGATGAAATTAAAGCAGTGGGTGTTTAAAAATCTAATTTAGTTTAAAAGACTGTATCTCCATCTTGTCTGGGCTAAAACCTGGCCCTCACAGTGGTTTAAGATGAAAAATATAACAGTGTCACATCTCCTCATTAGTTGAGCTGTTTTTATTTCATCCCTCATGTTTCTTGTCTTGTGTTTCCTGTTTTATTTTGATACTCACTCTTGTCTTTTGTTTCAGGTGCATTGACTTCCTCCTCCTTGTGTAACCTGCTCCCCTGATTACCCTGATGAGTCTCACCTGTGTCTCGTTAACTCCACTGCCCTGGTGCATTTAAACCCAGCTTTCCCTCCCCTCTGTGCCAGTTCGTCTTGTCCGTATAGTGTCAGAGTTTGATTTTGCCGGCCTGTGAGTCTGCATCTAGGTCTTCTTTTGGTTCAGCATTACACAGAGAAACTAAGTGCTTTGCTAAAGGTCCTGTTTGCTCCAGTCAGCAGTCAAAAACTCCTCACAATGCCTTTAACTGTTAATGTATATTTGATAAATATGTCTTTGTAGCGCTTAATATGAAGACAAAGAAACAAATACAGCCGTAACAGCCTCTAAAGGGATACCATAAAGCCTGTGAATCTAAAATTGCTGTGTAGTTGTCAAGATAAGCTTGTGAGATAATTCTACTTATGATTACACGTTTTAGTATTTTGTCAGTGACTATGATGCCCTGCTCACTAATAAAACCATTTTTGCTGCAATTTGATATCAGATGAGACCTGAAAATGGCTGGTAACATGTTTATGAATGTGTGACCAGTCATGTGACTGACGTAAATGACAGCCATTATGTAAACACTGGAAATCAGTTAACTTATGAACCATTAGGGTCACATGGTTGGCAAATCTTCCGTTGCGTGGCCATGGTCATCGACTGCCTTCTTTCCATTTCTTTTGGCATATGATCGACAGTTATATTAGCCTTCCCTTATGTGTTAGCACGCCCCAGTGCACAACATCATGGTTGAATATGTAGATTACAGTTTGCAGGTAATAAATTTATGCAAAAAAAGAGTTTTATTCGGCATCCAGAAGCTTGTCCCTGTTGCTGGACGAACGTTTTGACGTCACTTGCATGAAGTTAACAAATAATGCTGTCATCTGTATGTAAATGAGCTTTTCTTACCTTAGCAGATCAGCAGGGGGAGTCTGAACTTAACTATCTTATTAAAAGCAAGTGATCTATTATAGTGACTCATTTATGTAAATTAGACTAAAATGTAATGAGGTTTTGTCAGCTAAAAATTAGAGTAAGGTGGCCAAAAATGGGACTTGAATTAACGTGGATTAGAATAGCTGGATTTATAAGACATTTCACAGCTAAATGTGTTAAAATGTTCTTAAAGTTATGGAAAAAATATGGCTTAATTTCTTTTCAGATTTCTGGTATTGACTTTTCATCACACCACCGTGCTCTAACTTGGGACCACCTCAGGCTCCTACTAAAATAAAAACCTGTCAACCAAATTCACATTGTCGAGCCCTGCTGTCGTTGGGAGAAATTGAGGCGGTAATCGAACTCAAAACTTTGCCCAAACTTTTGAATAATGTTCGCCCTTTAACGTGGGCGACCTCGTGCGTCGTTTGATAAATGCCAGTATGACCAGCAGCCAACTGGAATTTAGCTCAACCACGAAATATTCATTCGTCATCTCAAAGCTTTATTTTTTTTTTAGTTAAAATGTCCAGATCAACGTGAGTCATTTATGGGCCAAATGCTGATCATGGAGGGAATTTAATCTTTGTCATTTTCTGTTTATGCTTCTTTCTCTAAAATCAGAATTTGAGCAGCGTTTCCTCTACGATCAAGAGGAAACACCCTGACGTGATCCTCTGCCACTCCAAAAAGCTCACATTTAAAGTCAACTTGAGAGGGTTATGTTGGACAAGTTAAATACAGAAAACCCTGTTAAAGCATTTGTAACCTGATTTAGTCAGCTAAAAATTTGACTAAAAGTTCTAACACACAAATTCAGTTATCATATCTCCTAAATTAAAAAAGGCAGGGGCGAAAGTACACATTCTCTATCTTGAAACTCTACATTCCTCCTGCTACACACACAGCAAAGGCTTTATTTTCATTTCCAGTGAGCATGTCAGTAAGTCTTCAGTCTGCTGGCGGGAAAGCCATCTAAAAAGTTGAGGACTTGCCCATTTTTACTGTGAGCCGCCTGCATCTACCAGCCAGAACAGACGGTTTATCGACCTTGTGTAAAGAATATTTGTGTCATCGTTGAGACTTCCCAAATATAAAATATGGTTAAACTTCTTGAATACCTTTTCAAATTAAAAGCCTGATCTGTTTTTTTCTAATAGTTTCTGCTAAATTGCAAAGCTTATTGATTGGTTATCTGCTAAACTTTCTTTGTAGGTTACCTTTTATTTGAATGTACTAACAAACAAGCAGTTTTTGTTTTTTACAACATGATCATTAGTGAAAGAAACTTCACATTCTCACATATTTTCGCATTTCTAAAACATATAAATCCTCTTAAGAAATCCAGAGACTAGGTATGCTCAGCCAATAAGATAAAATCCAGTTCAACCTTTTTAACATTCTGACTGTGCACTACAAGAAAATCTGTTCCTGTCACCTCTGCTGCAGACTTCCTTGAGCATTAACATACTGACGTGCACAGCCTTCACACCCATGCAAATGTGGAAATTGCTCTTCCATCCCATTTGTTTGCTTGTTTTCCTTTTCTTTTTTTTTCCTTTTCCCGTGTTGTTTTTGTCAGCATATTCTGCGCCCCTCCGGGGAGGAAGATGAAGAGACTGATTCTCTCTCTCGCTCTACTGTATCTGCTTCACGTATGAGATGGGGACTCTATCACCGGGCTGCAGTACTTTCTTTAACATTTGCACATTCCATGACACCGCTGGCTCTCAGCTCTGTCTCTGACTCATAATCAGGCCGCTGCTGCGCTCTCCAGCTTCAGTCTGGTCTGAGCCAAAACACACTGACAGCATACAGAAACTGGCTCAGAAACTGAATCTGACCTTTCTGCTATTTGCTCTGTCAGAAAAAACATCCACTCGACTGCGGTGGTGAGGTCTACCCCCGTAGATTCATAATATGCTTCACCTTACTTCACATCTGCATTTCTTTGCCGATAAGTGTTTACCACAGAAAGTTAGGTCATCAGATGATGTATGTGTGTTTGTTTTAACAACTTCAATCTCATTATAACCAGAAAATCGAAAATCAATCAACTATCATGCCTTCAAAATGTTAAAAATGAGACATTTCTCAGGCCTTATTTATCACTCCCTACTGTCACCAGTTCTTGCTTCATACTCAGAATATGTAAAATATGTAATTTTCATGATGGTATATGTCCAAGCTGATGCAAACCCCAATGAGATTATTGTGACCCTCCTACTTAATCACATCCACACCTTATCATCAGTGTCAGGGTTTAGTTCTTCAGCTGTCCACCCCTCATTACATCCCGCATCCATCACCACCAGCACCAGCGTCTGGGCTCCATGAGGGGGGTTCCCTGTCTTTGAGTCAGCCTCAAAACTCATCTGTACATACAACCACATCGGCTATGGATTTTTCTATTTTTTATTAACTGTTATCTCCTGATAACAACTTATCTCGATATAACGAAGATAGTTGTCTCATGATAATAGAAATGGCGTTTAAGCGAACCTATTATGGTAACTTTTAAAGACGCTCTCCAGATTGGGATATTTCTTAAAATGCAGAGCCACTGCTGTCAACAGCAAGCCAGGGTTTTCAATGAAAATGCTAACAGCACTGCCATGCGTGAATCGGCCAACAAACGTAACAATGGCTGACACATTATTCATTTGTTATCACGAGAAAACGATCTTTGTTTTGTCGAAATAAGTCGCTATCACTCTGTAACAGTGCAGAAAAAAAAGAAAAATACACAGCTGTTCTCCTAAACCATTCTTTGAAAACCTCTTATTATCAAAGATTTTACACAAATCATTTTTTAAATCTTGTAAGATAAAGTTTAAACTCGTACGAAAGTAGTCCTCCGCAGTTGAACTTAGTTAACAGCCAGCTGGTCAATTACCGTGAATGTAAGTATGTAAGAATAGAAGTTGAAGGGGTGGGGTTGAGGGACCTGAAAAAAGACTAATTCAACGGTGTTCCTGTGTAAAGGCTGTAATTGTGTTCAGCAATGTGCTGTTTTGATGCAGATGTGTAGCTTTTATTTGTATCATCTATTCTCACCTCCCTGCATACCCTCTGTACGGTAACTCAGCTCAGTCTACTGTAGTGTTCAGAGTTGTGAGGTACACCCGTGACTAATTCACAGCACCCCCCTCTGCTGGTCATTTGTTGTCTAACGAGCCTCTCACTCAGCTCACCTGTCCTAATTGCCCTCAGCTGGTGCTCGTCAGCCTGGGTCGTCTATAAAAGGAGGTTCTTTCACTCAGTTAGGTGTGTATCACCAAAGAGCCAACACCTTCAGTTGGTTTCTCTTGGTTTGTGTGTTTGAGAGTGTGTGAAAGTGGTTGAGTTTTGAGGGAAGGAGGGTAAATCCTGTAGTTTTTGTGAGGTTTTGATCTAGAAGGAGATTTTTTTGTACTTGGTGTTTTCTCCCCACCGATTCTACCTCTGTTCGAGGCCTTTTACTTTGGTTTGCCTACTTTTGGCAAAATTAGAGGGTAGTTGTCGGGAAGCATAACTCCACTCTGCCTTTAAGAACCCAAAAGCTTTATTTTTTGTTTTGTTTGAAGGTTCAGATTTTCCTTTTGTTACTTTCCCTATCCGTGACCCCTGTCCTTCACATCATTTGACTTGCAGAAATGTAACAGCAACGTTTCTTTACTTAGAATTGCCTCACCATTTTCTTAAAATGCATGAGTATAATACACTCGGCACCAACTTTGCAACACATTAGATCACTTCTCTTTGCAAAAAAAGGTATAAAAAGTGAGTCTGTGTTATGTAATGGCACAAGAAATGACAGTATTTTCCGCCCCTCGATCGAAGACAAGGATGAGTTTGCCTCCTGCTTTCGTCTGATCAGGGAAAGTCTGTCAGGTATGCTTTAGGGGAAAGTATCTATAAGTATATAAAAAGAAGCTTCAGCAACCTTTATCTAAAAAGTTTGAAAGGCCAGCTTCAACACTTTCACTTTTCTGTTCCTCATTTAACAGGCAAGGCAATTTCTCTGCCTCTATATGGAAGCATATCTACAGTGTGACTCTGATTGAATGACTCAGCAGTGACAGGTGGTGTTCTGATCTCCAACCAAACAAATGTGGCATCTCCGAATTAGTTTGAAGCGATTTAATCTCCGCAAAGTCTTTTGTTTAACCTGAAATCACCTCTGGCATCCTCACACTCCCCTCCCTTCGCTCCTCGCTCCTGTTCTGCTGAAAGAGAAGGCGGGGACCTGGAGCTTTCCACAGGCATTCATAATGTTTCATTTCTGTCACTCTTTGTTCTCCCTCTACGGCTCTGTGGGGTTCTTGTGTTTCGCTCGTGCAAAGACACGCAACTCTGACTCCTGGATCGCTCCCGAGACGCCTTGTAGCATTGTCTCCTCTGGAATCTGCAAATGACAGATGCTACATCCGTCACAACAACCTGCTGCAGTCAGGGGAAACCCACCTATCTCCCAAAGCCAAGCTGGTGTTCAGAATTGCAGATTTGGCCGTGCAGATCTCTGCTCCAAGCTGCGGGATAGATAGCCTCTAAGTCGCTCCAGTTTTTTCCCCCATAAGCCCTGTGATCCCGCTGCTGTGGACTGTATCGCTGCCATCCCCTGACACACAGAAAGCACACACAATTCTCCTTCCTGTGCACACCTCATTGTGCTTTCTTTTCTCTCACTAACCCCCTTTGCTTCCTAAGGCTTATCTTCCAACTGGCAGACATGGGAAATCGCTTTGCAATCAGGTGGCAAGTTTCTCTCCCCGACTGCCTCCTCTCATCTCGGCCGCTGTCATCCTCACTTTGCCTCTGTGTTGCCCTCCGTGCTCACACCTCTGTCACTCTACATCCACACATCCGGCCTTCATTAGAACTGATTTGTGCGGGAACACGGCATTACACACAAGGACAGGTTTGCTCTTGCATGCATACACGGGGCTATCGGACATGAATACCTGCCTTATCGTTTGCAATTCCACATAAAAACTTAAGGATCTGCATCAATTTTCCTGCATGATGAAACATGACAAATTAAAGTTGAAAAGCAGAATAATCGAAGTGTAGTGTCGAAGCGTTCGTCTGTCCTCTAATGAGGTTTTAATTGGAACACTCATTTGTCTTTCTTCATGGATTTTCTTGGATTTCTATGCAATCTAGCAGACTTGTTCAATTATTGGTCGGCATTGAGCTGAATCCCTCCATTAAATAGTGTCAATACGACCTTTGACCTTTTACTACAGTTATACTTTTTAATCACCAAGATGAAATCTTTAAGGCTGTTTAATCAGAGAAAGAAAGGTTATTCATGGCATATGTTTATATAGACATGTTACACAGAGTTAACTGCAGACTTTGTGAAATAAACTGTACTTGATCCTATTTCCTCAATGCTTTTCTAGTCAGTAAGTCAGATTATAAGCTATTGAATCAAAGACGTGAAACAACCTGAAATGAGCCGCTCAGGAACATCACGGGGGTCTCAAACAGTCTTAAAACATCTGCAATCCAATAGCTAGAATTTGAAGGGATATTCCGGCGTAAAATTAATTTAGGGTCAAACACACGGTAACACTGAGTTAGACACCCCGTCGAGAGATGAATGTTGCCCACTGCTTGCTTCTCTAGTTGTACCAACTTTAACGACCACAGAATAGCAACACACAGCGGTCTAAGGAGCCATAAACAATCCTCAACCAAAACGCCACTCTATAGCCATAAATAATCCTCAGAACAGCACCTAACTTCATCAACAGTACATATAGGGTCCTAGCCACCAAACATCTTTGTAACTTTGCCTGGTTTCTTTAGCAAAGAGACTAAACACAACTCATCTACTCTCTTCCATCAGACACTTGTTTCTTTATCATTTCTTTAAGTAATAATCATCATATTTATCATTTTGCACTGCAGACGCCGTAGTTCTTCCGCCTTAGCGTCTCGGTCTGATTGTATTTCCATGAAGAAATTATCATAAATGTTCTTCCTTGAGCTGTGTCTCCCCACAGCAGTCGTAATGGACTGGCCTGAGGTCTCGCTACAAACAAGCGGCTGCTGGAAGAGAGTAGGTGAGTTGTGTTTAGTCTCTTTGTGAAAGAAATCAGGCAAAGCTAAAAGATGTGTGGTGGCTAGTGCTATGGCTGGGACCCTATATGTACTGTTGATGAAGTTAGGTGCTGTTCTGAGCATTATTTGTGGCTATAAAGTAGCGTTTTGGATTAGGTGTGTGTGTGACTCCTGAGACCACTGTGTATTGCTATCGTGTGGTCATTACTAAAGTTGGTATAACTAGAGAAGCAAGTGGTCGGCAACATTCATCTCTCAAGGGGGTGTCTAACTCGGTGTTGTAATGTGTTTGACCCTAAATTATTTCTATGCTAGAATATCCCTTTAATGTCTAAAATATCTAAAATTCTCTTAAAATCTCTTAAACGATTTAGAAAGATCCATAAAATGTATTTACGTTACTTTTATTTAAAACAAATGTATCAACTTCAGTCATGTCTTTTGTACTATTTTGCCAATAAGGATGTAAAATAGGTCATTAATTGTATTCATTGTGGTCTTAAAAAAGTCCTAAGCCTAAAATTTGACTTGTGGAAATCTGTGGCGACTCTGAGAGCAACACTTATCTGCTGACGTAAAAGAGTCCAAAAAAAAAAGGACAAAGAACCTGCAATTTACAACTGGGATGAAGCGGGAAGACGGTGCTGTAGAGGATGACAGGATTGATGGACAGACATACATTAGACTAACCACCCCTCCACCTGGAAAACCACTTAAAATCAAATTACCTTTGTGACTGTCCTTTCAAAAGACAAGAAGAATAAATGGCTGACAATCGAGGCAGCAAGAGGTCTTCACCACTTTCTCAAGTAATTACTGACTGTCTTTACAAATTATATGATCAGGACTTCTTAATTCACTTCTTCCAACTTTAGATTCAATTTTTCCAGCTTCCAATATTTGAACAGCGTCATCATGAACTATATATTTGCAAGTGAAAATAACAGATGGTCAGTACAGTAGGTATCCTGCAGAAGCTTCCCGTCATCGCACATTAAAGATGAGCTTCTGAGTGAAGGTTAAACACACTCTGCTTTTGAAAGTCAAATACAGTGTGTGGCATAAAAATCTGAAGACAAACACAGAAGCAGACATCCTGTAGCACATAATATCTCTGAAGTGTCCGTATAGTCTTATCAGCATAATTTTGGAGGTTTTGTTGGACTGTCACTGTTGGATGAAGTGACAGTAAGGTTAAGCAAACTCCATGCGCAAACCTTGTGTGCACATATGTCATCTGCAGAGGGAGATAAGGATGCAGTTTATGGCCACTGGCTGCCAGTCTGCTCTAATTATAATCCTGTTTGGACAATGGGACACTCACAGCGGGTCAGTTACATACTTGTTTGCCATATTAACAAAGGACATGGGCTCAGTTGGAATGAATCGAGTGTTTTCTTATCACCAGTTAAACAGAAAACCGAATATATTCACCATGCTTACCCCTCTAATATTCCCTAATTTGTTTAAATCTTGCGTCAACTCCAGTTTCCCAATAACCAGACGAAAGAACTTGATCTTACTTGAAATGACAGATGAAAACTCAAAGCATGTAATTACAGTTGAATAGCGAGTTAACCTCTTCACCCTTGCCTTAACGTTGTCAATCACCGCTTCAACTTAGCACTTAAGTAGGTGGATTTTCATCAGGCTGACGGAGGATTGAGTCTGAATGTGAATAACAGCTGCTTTAGCATGAGATTAACATCATTTGCAAGGGTTTGTCGGATTGAGCCGAGATACAATCAACTCGACGTGTACAAGGAGATAAATATCTACAGAACATGCACAGCTATTACCACAAAGAGGATAAAGAAAGTTCTCCCTCTTTGATACACAATCTGATGCTGATCTCAAATGAAATCCAGATTCTTTTTCCAGGTTTTCGACCTGTGGGTTGAAGCTCTGAATATTTCAAAGAGAATAAAATATACAGGCTTGTCACACTGAGTATCAGAAGTTATGTTGAAGAAACTGAGAGATCCATGTGGTAAACATCCCTTCAGTCATGATTAATTCAGTAAAGCAGCTAATCTAACATTTCGAGAAACTGTTTACAATGATCTGACAGTGCAAGAAAGTCAAGGAACAATTCTCCTTTTATGTCAGTACTTTGGTTCTTTGTTTGGTCTCTGGTCTCAGCTTTGATACAAACTCACCTTAAGACATTTCTTTGGCTGTGTGTGTAACAGCTGGAAGTGTTTGTTCCTTTCCAAAGTATAATGAATTGTGCCCTGGATTATAAAGCCCATGAACTACTTAGTCATCAATAAAGTTTATTTAGTTTATTGAAATTACATAGTTAAAGTAAATGTCTAAGCAGCAACCAACAGTGTTGAATATTGAAGCTAATTTGAGAGTGCAAAAAGAGCTGCAATTCCTTAAATGTCCACTTGGGGCTAGCTCCAAAAAACAAATAATCTTCATTAGGTCCCATGTTAAAACACTAATTTCCACATTAAAATTAAACATATTTACATTTAAGTTCAATTAACACTGTTTGGTATGAAATTCAGTCATTTTCACATAGCAGCTGTACAGGGGTGGTGATTTTTGTCTGAACAAACCTTCATCTCTCGACGGGGTGTCTAACTCGGTGTTACGGTGTGTTTGACCCTAACTTAACTTTACACTGGAATATCCCTTTAAGTTTTTGTCTTAACAAATGAGCCAAAAGACAACAATGCTAAGAAGCTGAGGGGAGCTGTAACTTTGCCAGTAAACAAGAGTGATATTTCAGTTAAGTGTTGGAATTTCGTCACAACTTTTATTATAGACTTTATTGATCTAAAAAGAGATAAAAGCTTTTAAAAAACAGGTTGGAGGGAATTTGATAGCCAAGTTTGGCTACAAAGAACTGCTGCTGGCTAACATCGATCAGGTGTAGGTCCCCTCTAAAACCAGTAACTCTTTTTTTTTTTGGAAATGAAGATGAACTTTTGATTTACAATTATTTACAAGTGTCATCTCCACCGAAGGTTCCAAAGGTTTAGCAGTAGGAAGAAGCAGAGAGCCTTGTATGGTTGAGGTGATCAGATCTGTTTGACAGTGGCTCACATTTCTTTTATTGGATTACATAATGAACATAAAATGTCATCTCTCCACCTTGTGTCCTTTTTTGCGGACAGACTGACTCATCAGAAGGACTTGTGTACCCCCCTACTGTGGAGAGACTGAACACGTCCTCTGTGGTGAGTTGTGTTTTATCTACTGAAGAGTCACTCCTCTGTATTTACCTTGCAGCTTGGTCTTGGGGATTTTCCCACAGGGCTTAGTAGCTGTGACGGTGGTGGCACAGGTCGCATCCATGAGCGCTCGCTTCAGCACACCCGTCCTGTTCTTCTTGCCGGTCGCCAGATCACACTCCCCCCAAGCTTGGAAGTCGTACTTGCATTCTCCTGTGGCGCACAATGAAATCAGATACTTAATTAGACGCTTTTGTTTGGTGGAGTAGCTCCGAGAAGGCAAAGTGTGGGAGCGATCAAGCAGAAAACCTTCTACGATGATGACTTGCAGCTTCTATATTTGTTTCTAGAAGTAGGCGGTCACAACCAGTCATTGAAACAAGCCTCTTGAGCCCGTTTTGAATGGCTGTTTGATGAGCGCTGTTAATTGACTTCCCTCATATCTTCTTTTATATCTATAAAAGCTGTCCAAGATCCAAAGAGTCCTGCTGAAAACTCATTAGAGGACGCTTTTATTAGAATAAAAGATGCTTATAGGTTCTTGCTAACGAGAACAGATGGTGTTTCAGTTTTTATATTATACTTCCTATACGATGAGAATTACCAGCACATGCACATAATCAGAAACAGCCAGGAAGTAAATGGAAACAAATGATTAAAGCAGCAGGACACACTTTGAGCAGAGCCTCAAATAAACTCCACATATGTGCTTTTATTTGATATTAAATTTAACCCACCTTAAACAAACCCCCAGAGGATGCAGGGTTGCTCTAGAAAACGGCAGCAGCGGTTGGTGTATATTAAAAGAAACGTGTTAGAAGTGTGTGTTTGTGCACTAGAGTGTGAGTTTGTGTACAGTACGTCCCTCATATCTGCCTCCATTATTTTGTTGCTGCTCCAGCCGGGCTCCCTGGAGGCTGTGACACTCATTCCTTAGCTTCCTCTCACATGAAAGCGTCGGACCTCTTGTCAGTGCCTCTGAGATCCCAGGGTGCTCATCAGAGGAGGGGAGAGGGGTGAGGGGAGAGGGAGTGACAGTGCTATTGTTGCAATAAACCTACAGGGACTTCCTGAGAATCCAACTTTAAAGCCCTGTGCTTCCATAATTTGTCTCAGAGTGAGAGCTTCCCACATGGGCTTCTGGGGTTTTTGGCAGGCAGTCCACGTCCTCACTGAGGTTTCATGAGAAGGTAAGCAAAAATTGGTGGGCATGTATATACAGGCACTCATCAGTGACCCTGAACCTAAACAGTCATATGAAAGTGTTCAGAATGACAGGAGGATGTGATCTAATGGAATCTGGTCCTGCCTTTGGTAAACACAAGTCCAGAGGAGATCTTGAATGGCTCCTGATGTGTATGGATGAAGCCCATCTGGGTCCAATACTCATATTTGTTATCTTCACGCCTTGAGACCGTCATGATACGTTCTGTTTATTGAGTGTTTCCCAGTGATTTGAGTGTATTTTCCCTATAATTTCTGTTCCCCTGTTGTCTTGTCTTTTGAGTTTTCAGTTTGTGTCTGACTCTGTTTCCCTCATGTTTCACTCAGTACGTTTACATAACACTCGAGAAAACCGAATTATTGCCTTACTCCGATTAAGACCGGACAACTGAAGTGCATGTAAACACCTTAGTCCGACTATAATCAGAGTTTGAGAACTCCGTTTGGAGTCAGAGAACTCTGATTGATTGAATAATGGGATTGGAATTCGATTTTCTCTACCATGTAACCAGCATAGTCCATGATTTCCAAAAAGATTGTCAAATTTTGTTTCAACAAACCACAACATAGTTTTCCACTTTGCCTCAGTCTATCCCACACCAGTTTAGGTCAGAGGGTTTCAGGATTATGGTTATATATGATTTCCCTTTTAGAACAGTTGTAACCCAAGTCTTTTTCAAAAACTTTGGAGTCCTTTTCAGTCCATGCAGAGATTTGTGTCTGTTTCAAATTCAGGGCCAACCGAGGGCCCAAATATCCCTGCCATCCAGTATTGGTTATCAGTCTTGTCCCAAATCTGCAGAGATTCTCCTCCAGTTTCTCATTATTCTGAAATAATCCCCATACTTTTCGACAATGTACATGTTTTCTTATTTCTACTATATATCGTACGACAGATTCATCTTTTTGACTTTGATCCAAGAAGAGTCAGTCAGTAAATTAGGCGGAGTCGCCCTTTACTATCGTCTTCTTCCACCTCTTCACTTTAAAGCGTCATTTCTTTTTGTCTTGGGGTTTGTGTTTATACATTCCCTTTGTGAGTATTTCTATGGTCAGTTGTAGAGAAACCCATTAACGGTCTACAATGAAAAATAAATGAGGTTTACTAAAGTGTCCCTTTATTGCCGTTAAGTGTACGGTCCTAAAAAGGATGACAAACACCCATGATGGTCTGAAACGTGTTTGTGTGAAGCTTTTTATTGTATGTAATGGGGTTGAAATTACTTTTTACCGTACACTTGAGGTTGGTCCCTTTTATCTGGATCGGTGCGATAAGAATAGTGATTGTCTCTTTAATAATTGAGTCCAGGCTCTCAGGTGTGCATCAACCCTGCCCTTGTGTACATAACTGAGTCCAACCTACTTCATACTTGAGTCACTCTTTATTCCACTGCGATGTGAGAAGAGTAAATTAGAGAACTGCAAGTATTTTTTCACGATTTTTTATCATCCATGTGGCATTTTTTTTGCGATTTATACTCCGAATGGGCATGCAGAGAGATCTGTTTTCAAATTATGTCTTTAAAAGAAAATCAGGGGGCATTTCAGACTGGAAGGGCATCCACCGGGCCTGTTTTAACATTTCATCCACTAGAAGTGTAGCCTTGGTATCCTTTTTTGATTTATACAGTGGAAGTTCATCCAGATGGCTGTATTTTGATGTTTATTTCACTGAAAGGACATTCAGAGGGCACTTTTTTATAATTCATATTCTGAATGGGCATCTAGGGGGAGCTTATGCAACACTTTTTAAGACATAAGGGGACCGAGGAAACAATAATCGCCCCCAAGTTCACCACTGCAATGTGCAATGTCGCTGTACTTAAACCCCATAGCGAAACAGTCTTTATATTATTGACACAGGATAGAAAGCGTTACATCTGAATCTAGATTTGGCTGCCAGGGTGAAGATTCGTTTTCATACTTTTCTGATGCAATTTGTACAGTGTGGTTACCAAATATTTTCATTGCCAAAATATCAAGATAAGCAAAAATATTAGCTCCAACATACAAAAAAATGTGAGTTACTTTTGGCTGTGTCTTTTTTGGGGGAACTATCCATGATTAAAAGGACAGGGGGATGTAACTTTGCCACTTACTCCAAACTTTTCACTGCTCTAATCTATACAGCCAGTTAGCGGGACCATTATTTCCTGCACTGTGTTCATCACTCCTGACAGGCCCATTGCAGAGCAGCAGGGCCCTGCCTGACAGGCCGTACTGGGGGAACAAAAGTCCCTGAGGCTTGTCACAGTGAGACATTTCAGCTGTGAAGGCTGGAGCCCCAAAACAGATGACAAAGAAGGATGATTATTCCTGTGTTTTCCACCGCCATGTATCACCTCCTCAGCAGACATTTCTGTCGTACCTCTAATTAGCTAGCTTACTCATTCCCATTGTGAAGATGGGACTATTGTTTGCGTGAATGACAGGCACGCATACATCATGGGGAGGTGCTGGTGTGAGGGACAGGAGTGGGGCTTTCTAAGTATTTCAGCGCTCTTAGATTATGTAACAATCATCCGAAAAGTAGACCCTTATAAACATGCGCACAAGAAATCTGGTCCAGTCTTGACACGCTTTCCTCACCGCCGAACTTCTTCTTCCAGTTGCAGGGGATCTTGCAGCGTTGGGTCTTGATGGTCTGCTTGCAGTCAGTGCCGGTGCGTGTCCCCTCTCTGGTGCCGAGTCCACAGTCCCCTTCGTTGGCTACACACACACTCCACTGCCACTCCCCACAGTCCGACTTGCGCTCCTTCTTTCCTGTTAGACCGAACATACACCATTAATGAATAACCAACAGAGGAGTAAATGTCAAGTCTCAGGGTAACTAAAAGAACTGTTAAGACTCATCGAGAGTGGCAAGTCTGAGACATGTATTATTATTTTACGAGCATGGTGCAGTTACAAAGCTTTGTTAAAGTAACTTCCTTAAAAGCTTTTTTTCATACATGGCTGAGACCACCTCCAATAAATAGCATAAGCATAAATAAACTTGTATAAACTTAAAACACTTGTTTAATATGTAACAAGGGTCTCTCAATCTGCTATATTAAGCTCTTCAAGTCTTTATTCTTTCCTTTGGCCAGCAGGGGGAGACTTAGCCTGGTACATAGAAGTTCTTCGTTCTTCAACTTTCATAACCCTGTGACACTATGCACAAATATAAAGTACTTTCAGGTTAAGATTGTGTGTTGTCACCTTAGCCTGACTGGCATCAAAATTAAGTCTAATCCAATCATCCATGTTCTTCTGCTTATCCAGGGTCAAGATGGGATGGCAGCAATCTGAGCAAGTCCACGCAGACATCCCTCTCCCAAGAAATATTTTCAAGCTCCAGGAATGTCCAGAGTCATTGCCTAGCCAGTTATGAAATAAAATCCCCAGAGTGAACCCCAGGGCTTCCTCAGAGTTGGAAAGGTCTGGATCACCTCAATAAGACAGTGTCCAGGAGCCTCCTTTATCAAATGCCAGAACCACCTCAACTGACTACTTCTGATGCAAAGCTTTACTCTGAGCTCTACCCAGATGATCAGGCTCATGACCTAAACTCTAAGGCTGAACCAAGCCACCCTTGGGAGGAAACTCATTTCTGCCACTTTTACCGTCCTCCACTTACGACCAGAATTAAAATGATAACTTTCTCAGTTGTAGACTCTACATGCTTGTGGAATATTGTGTCCTACCACTACCCAGGGAAGTTACTCAAGTGAATGGGTGCTGCCTTAATGCTATCATGCTCTACTATCCTCATGTAAACAAGCACAGATGACAGATGGTATCTCTGAGCATGGCATAGTTTGACAGTATTTCGTATAAACTCTCAAGTAGATCAATGCATCGTCAGCATGTGTGTTGACTTAAACCTTAAAGGGGAAGCAAAAGCTGGTGGTTCTAGCTCTGCTATCATTAGCCACACTTATTAGACCAGTCTACCCAGAGACTCTATGATGATATGTTTGATAAACTGTAAATTTATGACAAATTACACAGCAATTTGGCTGTATTTTGGCTGTTTTCAAAGTATTGTCTTCACTTTGAACTAGTCAGTTTGGCAGAATTTGAGTTTCCGTAAATTTGCTGCTTTGGATCATCCCAACACTCAAGTGCTGGTGTGTGCTGTTATCTCTCTTTTTGCCAGTCTACTTCATGTAAAACCTCTTGTCCAAAAAGGCCAAACTTGTGGCTTCAAAATGAAAAGGCTCCAAACCAGTGGTAGACACCAGCTTGGCTACACCCCTCTCTTATAGACAGTCTATCACCTAATCCGCTTAGATTTCAAGCATCACTTCATGTATTTGAGGAGTAGAGAAAGTTCTGTCCCCGAGCAGCCGAGTTTTAGGAGCTCATTAAAGTTCAGCATCTGACACGACTTAAAAGTCTCAAATCCACAGCTCTGGATAAACAAAAAATGTTGGAGTCTCAGCTTTTAATAAAACAAGAAGTGGAAATTGCAACATGGAGTGTTTATAAAAGTATTGTACCCTCTTGGGCTTTTTCAAATTATTCCAAGGCAGATGTAATTGGTTTAGGTGCTTGTGCTAATTTCCAATGCAAATGAACTTTTTTGCTGGAATTTAAATTAGGCTAAATGTTGTTTTCTTTACCCAAGTGGGATTTATCGAACTTATTTAGCCTCTCTCGCAAGATACTGCTATTTGTTCAGCTAAGTTCTCAAAGGAGACAAATTACTTCAACCCCAGAGGCTATTTTTTCATTTTCATATTTTGGTTTGGAGTTGTGTCCAACTAAATAAGTTGTTAAGAAGGACATCTCTCACAGTGCAGCCATTATTACAGAGTAGAACTGTGTGCCATTTCATTAGGGAGGAGTACTTTTTAGGCTAACTGGCAGATACTGCTCCTCCATCACCCACTGCTGGAGAAACATCTCCCTTATTACAATTTTTTCCTCAGTTACATGCTATATTGTTAAAGGAATAAACAAGCTGGGAGGTACTTTAGTTTGTAAGAAAACACCAGGATGCTCCTGTTTTATTTTAATACACTGAAGAAGAAGAAGAAGAAGAAGAAGAAGAAGAAGAAGAAGAAGAAGAAGAAGAAGAAGAAGAAGAAGAAGAAGAAGAAGAAGAAGAAGAAGAAGAAGAAGAAGAAGAAGAAGAAGAAGAAGAAGAAGAAGAAGAAGAAGAAGAAGAAGAAGAAGAAGAAGAAGAAGAAGAAGAAGAAGAAGAACCATTTCTGACCTCACCTTGTTTTTCTGCTTTTCCACCTTCAGCTGCCATCACCGTTAGCACCAGGAGCGCCATCACGGCCACACGTGTCCACTGCTTCTGTCCATTCATTCTGATAAACACGGGAAAGTAAAGTCAGAGGAGTGATATTTTTCAAACTGGACAACTTTTGGATCATATATTGTGTCATGTTGTTTCCTCTGCTAAATGACACTGTCCCATTGTAACACTGTATATGTGCCAAAAACTGCTCTAAGTGCAACAGGACATACACTTTCTTCTTTTTCCTTTTTTTCTAGGTAACGTATAACCAACGTCAACCTGTCAACGATAGTGACTCAAGTCACAATGAAACTGTCATCGTTGTCACCATCTATCATCATCATTACCACCATCATCATCACTATTCTCTTGAAATATAAGGGGACATTTATTTTAGTCGTTGTACCGCCGAGAGACAACAGAGGAGAAGAGTCTAGTTTGTGACTCAGGGCCTTGTTGTGATGAGAGAACCTTTCATTGAAGGGGGTGAAGACCTGCATGAGGGGCTATAGGTGGTTGCAGTATTGTAGGTAATAAGTAGGACTTCATATTTGATGATAGCTAATTCTGGAAGCTAATTCTGTGCACTCAGGGGAGGCCTGCCAGTAAGAAGTTGCAGTCGTCAATGTGTGATATTACAAGAACCTGTACCAGGAGCTTTTTCGGATCCTTCTAACGTTATAGAGGGCGAATCGACCGACAGGATCAAGCAAGCAAGGTGACAAGAAATGTCAAGGTTAGTATCACATATATATATATATATATATAAGTATATCGTGCCATTGGTTAATCACACCATATATCATATATTGTATCATATATCCCTAAAGAATATTGTATATTAAATTGTGTTACATATTTTATCAGATATATATTGTGCCGGTTTGGGTCAATATCCAGGTTATATTCACGCAGTTTTAAGATTTTATACATTTTAAAAACACAGAATTTTAAAAACATATTACGATAAGAAGTCCCTGAAATTGTGCTTCTATAAGACACATTCAGACAGTTGTTTAGAAGAGGAGAAAGGGGCTAAAAAAGCCCACGAGACAGAAGAAGAATCGCCTGGAGAATTTCCATCTCTCATCTTGTGTCATATCCACTGTGCTGGATTCCAATATGAACATTTTGATTGTCTGCACTGCCACTGCACTGTCAGTCATGACTGTATTTGCTGTCAGTCTCTGTGAAACCTTGTCACCGGGGATAAAAGTTTTATTTGATTTGTTAAAACTCTTATTTCTATGCCTCCGTCGTCTCCAGCAGAGAAAATTCAAAATGTTAATGTGGATTTCTTAACTATCATGGTAACCTTTAATCAGCTTCATCTATCATAGTTGAAGAAATTAGCCAAACAGCTATTTCTCCCTGAGAATCTCAGTTATGGTCTTTTTGTTACAAACCCAAATCAGATAATTGAAACAGCACATGCAAGCAAGGGAACCCACGTCGCTGCCATTTAGATTACTGAACTGATCAACAGTAGGCAGGAGACGTTTTCAGAAAAAAGGCAGGTAAGAAGAACACAGCAGGTTTATTAATCATTGTATTGTTGTCGATATTATTATTGATACATTTATAAGAACAAGCAATAAGATCAAGCTATTAGCTACAGGTTTTGCTGTTATTTTTTTACATACTATCAGAACGATTTACTTGTTACTTTTGAAAAACAGTATTGCTACCAGCTCAAGTTGTTGTTTTGAAACTTTTAGTATCTACTGTTGACTGATTTAAAAAAAATGGTATTAGAAATATTTTAAAGTGTTCTTCTCAATACCTCATTGGTTTTCAGCTACTTTCTGAACATAAGTATTCTTGGTTTTTATTTAAAGCAAGAGGTAGCTTTGAACACTAGCACAAGGGTCTGTGTATTATCCGTCCATTCAATTATTCAATTCAATCTAGTAAAACAAAAAACAAAAAACAAGTCAATATTTTGTTTATTTGTTTTTCTGTATAACCAAAAAATAAAAGAATAGTGTATTCTATTTTTTTATTTTTTGGTTATACAAAAAAACAAATAAACAAAATATTGACTTGTTTTTTGTTTTTTGTTTACTAGATTGAATGGAATAATTGAATAGACAGATAACACATGGATCCACAAGCTGTAGGGTTAAATTTCAATTCAAACAATGGTATCTGTGACTTTTAAAATCGTACTATCAGCTAGTTTTGTTTTTTAACCATCAGTATCAGCATCTGTTGATAACTCAGTGTCAGCTATTGAATTTCTTTTTTGTATTCGCCGTATTTGCCAGATTTTAGCATTTTTCACAGTTGGTGTATGTCTGATTTATTTGAAGTTGGTGGGCTGTGGTCTCAGTTTCCAAATCCACAATGAATCTCTGTTGAAAAATGACTCTATTTTGCATATAAACATTGAGATTCTTGTGAGATATGAAACTGTCAAGATCTAAGATGCTGAATCTTTCTGTATCTACATAAGAAATTAAAGTTTAAAGAAGTGTCGCGCTACTCATGCTGTATATTTTTCTTCAAGACAAGAAGTCTGAGTTACAAATATCGAAGCGTCAACTGTTCTAGCAATATTTTTACTGTATAAATTGAAGAAAAGACAAAAGTCTTGTCACTTTTTAAAGACACCACTTCTTCAAGAAAGAAAGAAAAGTACCCCCATTAGAGGTCTCACACTGTTCTATGATTCGTCATGGAAATAATGTCATCAGCCATCTGTTTCTTTGTTGTTCACTGTAAGCAGAGAGCTGCTGACATTTTCAGGTTTTAGATGATCAAACAAGTACTTCATAGCAACAGAATCACACTGTATTATTTGATCCCCCAGCTCCTTCTGGATCACCAGAAAGCTGTTACTGTCACCATCCCCAGCCTAATGCAGTGTGATGAAATTACCACAGAAAACCCACTCTCTCTCTCTCTCTGAGACTTTCTTTTCTTTTTTCTGAAGAGAAATCCTCTTGCAGTCAGCGCTCTCTGAGAGGAGAGACAGCGTGAGACTGAAGCAATTACCTGGCGAACACCGAAAATGCTCCTCTGCGCTCAAATTCCTGCAGAAAGGTTGAGCCTGGCAGGGAAATAAAACCCATTTGTCATTTTTAATTAATTATGAGCTGGCATCGAGCCCACCACCCCATTGTGTAAAAAACTAAACAACTTTTCTTTCTCTTTCACAGAAGTTGCTTCCACACTGTTTAAAGGCTGTCGAAGGCTTCTGAAGAAGAGGACTCAAACCTTATATGAGGTGATTGTTAGTTTGTATTTAAAGCTACAGTGAGGAACTTTTGGCTTGTGTCTATTTAGATGGGTCATGATTGGTTCTTCAGTATTTTCTAAGTGGGGTTGTATGAGTTACATGTCTCTAGTACTTGTGTGAGAAAGAGGTATACTAGACATCTAATTTTAATCCTTTATTGTGAATATTTTCTGTAAAAACAGGTCTGTTTCTGCAGCTGCTCGGCTGACAACTACTCCCATCGCACCAACTCAGACATTAGAAATTCCTGTTTCCATCTTGTTAATCTTGTCACTGATGGTTTAGTTTGATTCTGAAACTTATGAAAAGGCATCAATATAAATTTCTGTTCATGTCAAAAAACTCTTTGTTGTTTATATGGTATTTGATGGGTCTTGGAGTTTCTAGAAGACTAATAATGAGATTTTACAGCCTTGCATGAAGACGGCCTGCCAAGAAAAGTGGTTGATTTCATATTTCCCAACTGTGCCAGTACACAGACAGGCCCGTTTTAATTAAATACTTCTGACTCTAGTACCCTCTTTTTTTCCCCATGTTTACTCTTTTAGAGTGATTCCAAACTTTTCATCTCCATAAGTCCAAACTGTAAGAAGCGCATACAATAATCACAAGAGTTTCAGAGAGGAGACCCAATGAAAGCTCTGCGATAGGGATCATTTGTCAAGAGAAAAGCCATTGTGGCCTTTCAGAAGATAAGAAAGCCTTTCCCTCAGTTAGTCACAACTGGAGTGATAGGCTCGGGGTGCAGTGCAGACATAAAAAGAGGACGGGTTTGATGACTCTGAATGCTTCATATAGTAGGTTCAAGAAAGAAAGAGTCTTCAGATTCAACTGAATTAACCGTTTCCTCCTGAGACGACGGGGTTTCTCCTTCCCTTGAGGTCAATAAATGAAATGAAATGGAAGTCTCTCCCAACCATGTAGCCTCTATCTCCAGAGCATGACAGCACCTATAATGGATGACTGGCTGGATGGGAGCATTTGACTTTCATACCCTGGCATGTGTGAGGCTTTGATAAGAGGCGCTGGGGATTTTCAAGTTAAAGGACATCTGGTTGTGCTTTTTTCATATATGTTTTTTCCACATTTCCCTCAACACGCAAATTAAGTCGTTTTACAGTTTGACACTTTAGACAGTTGGCAATGTTTAGGAGATTCCCAAATAGAGTACGACAGAAAGCATGGATAATTATCGACTCAAAACGCTGACAGGAAGTACAGCAGCTTAACAGAGTTAGACACCCCCTCGAGAGATGAATGTTGCTGACTGCTTGCTTCTCTAGTTATACCAGTAACGACCGTACAATAGCAATACAGAGCAATCCCAGTAGCCACGCGCACACCTCAAACAAAACGCCACTCTATAGCCACAAATAATGCTCAGAACAGCACCTAATTTCATCAAAAGTACATATAGGGTCTCAGCCATAGTACTAGCCACCAATTATCTTTTTAATTTTGCCTAATTTCTTTAGCAAAGAGACTAAATGCAACTCACCTACTCTCTTCCAGCAGCCGTTTGTTTGAAGCGAGACCTCAGGCCAGTCCATCATTGACTGGGGCGGGGGCGCAGCTCAAGGAAGAACATTTATGATCATTTCCTTGAAGTAATAATCATCATGTTAATCATTGTGCGCTGCAGACGTGGTAGTTCTTCTGCCTTAGCGTCTCGGTCTGATTGCATTTCCATAAAGAAATGATCATAAATGTTCTTCCTTGAGCTGCGTCACCCCGCTGTAGTCTGGCCCAAGGTCTCCATACAAACAAGCAGCTGCTGGAAGAGAGTAGGTGAGTTGTGTTTAGTCTCTTTGCTAAAGAATTTAGGCAAAGCTAAAAAGATGTAATTATTTGTGGCTATAGAGTGGCGTTTCGGTTGAGCACATGGCTCTCTGTATGGCTATCCTGCAGTCCTTACTAAAGTTGGCATAGCGAGAAGGAAGCGGTAGGCAACATTAATCTCTCGACAGGGTGTCTAACTCAGTGTTGCGGTGTGTTTGACCCGAACTTAATTTTACGCCGGAGTATCCCTTTAATGTTGGATATCAGTTATCTGTACATAAGAGCCTCTGAGGTTAAAGTGAGAGTGTAAATTTCAGGGTGAAAAACTTTCTCTTTTTTTCCATCACAAACTCCTTTTTTCTTTCCTTTTATATTCTACAGCAACAAAGCATTCGAGAAACTCAAACCCAACACTCTTCAGTCAGTTTGATTGTTTGATGGCTGAGTCCTCCTTTATCAAAAGAGTTATAGAGCAGTTATTTTTTCAATACTCATATTTAATTAAAAGTTACGGCAAAGACGGGGCGCGGATATAATTGATACAGACAAACACGATTTAAAAAAAAAAGCCTCAAAACAACAAAGGAGACGAAATTAATACAGTCCCCTGGAGAGAATTAAAAAATGGTACAAAATGCTCTTCCTTAATGTGAGAGCCAAATGAGATAACTTGTTAAAATTTGTGTAATCAGGGTCAGGAACAAAGCAAAACTTTGGAATGAAGCAGAGTCTCCCTTTGAGTAACTGCGGAAACAAGAACATCTGAATGGTTTCAACCCTCCCAGAGTGGAGGTTCTGCTTTATCAGGAACATCAGAAACATGAAGAAGCCAGTGTGGCTCATGAGCCGGCGAGAATTAGTCCCATCAAACCCTCAATTTGCCCCATTGATCCAGACCCAGCTGTGGGTTCCCGGTGAAGGGAATGGAGGATGAAAGCCAATACTGGCCACAAATCAATGGACCTTCAGTGACTCCGGCGTATAAAAACAAGGTGCTTCACCACTCTGGAGTGCAGAAAAACACTGAGCGCAAAAAACACTCGCCATCTCTCCCCTCTTACTCATTAGGACTGACGTAATCCCCACTAGATAGATAAGGGAGAATCTGTTTGGACCATCACATCCTTTCCTTGCTTCTAATACAAAGGTAGAAGGTGATGAAGTCTGCAGTGGAGAGAGAACGGTTTAATGAATCCATTATAAGGCCCAGGAAAACTAAATCACTTGGGTTATTAGCTGCGCAAGCTGAGCGAGAAAGATTTCCACCATTAAAGCTCTGTGAGGAATGGATTTTAGTTCCTTAATTTGAACAATTAACCTCAAAATTCAATTCTCAATCAGAAAAATTTCCTCAGATACGTACGGAGAGCAATGTAGTTAAGCAACAGCTCCTCTGTGGCGTGTAAGTGGCGAACACAAATATTATCTTTAGACATATGTAAGCTTTTAATTTCACTTAGTAATGCATGAATAATACATGTTTTTTAATAACGCTCTACCCCTCCAGGCAACAAATCAAAGAGTGTTTCCCTAAAGGCAAGTCTTTCCCAGATCTCTGTAGCTTCATCATCAACATCAGAGGGTATCTTCTCTTCTGTTTCAGATTTATTTTAGTCCTAATGGAGCTTCTGACGTCCTGATAAAGTGGATTTAAATACACTTAAAGATACTGTGAGGAGATTTTAGCCGGTTCCAAAACAGACTGACGTTTATATTGATGCCTCCAGGACCTGAAAAAGCAAAACAACCAATCAGTATTAAGTTTCATTACTCCTATGTAGTTACTTTAGATGTCTAAAACCGCTAATGGGGGTAGGAGTCAGACAAATTGATCAACTACACACTTCTAAAAGAGCCCATTTATTCATTTTTTTTACATTTTCAATCAAAAAAGTTTGCGAAAGGGTGTTAAACTTTCAAAGAGGTCTCAGGGGCCGCCAAAATAAACACAAAACCAAAGTTCTTCAAAGCAGTGTTAAAGGTGAGCTTTCATAAGCCTGTTAAAGTCTGTTTAGGCTAAAAGTTTAGTTTTGATTGGACCCATTCTTGGGCCACTTCTTGCATATTTTTATCTAAACATGCAGCTATTTAAAATAAGCTTCGGTAACATTAATTCTGAACTACATACTCAAGATAAAATGATACAAAGTTAGCAACTAGCTTGAAGCACAGCTAGCAAAGTGACTTCTTAGTTGAGACAGAAAAAAATCATGTTTTTTTTCTGAAGTGATTATCTTGGAAGTAAAATGAAATTGTCTTATGAGATTGTGAGTGCAAAATTAAATTGTGGGCACAAGTTGTATACACAGGATATGATCTTGTGTGCACAGGTTTATCATATATGCACAATGTAATCATGTTGTGCATAAAAGTAATTATTATGTACCCGAAAAAGAAAGATCTATTTTGTACAAGCTGATATCTTGTGCCAAATGATGAAAATCTTGTGGGCACAAGATTTTCATACACAACCAAACCATGTTGTGCATAATTAAGTTATCTGGTTTGGAAAAGGTTTTCTGTGTGTACAAGATCATTTGTCAGGGTTGCCAGGTGTACAATAATTATCGTATTTGTACGATAATTTTGCCCTCTGTATGATCAGTAACCCAGAAAAAAGGCTAATGCACGATAATTTGACAGTTTCGTAAACGTGTGGAGCAATAGGACTGTCTCAGTTTTTTATTTGCAAACCCTAAAGGCATCTTTTACCACGTGTTGTTTCCATCCAGTTGTAGTTTGAGTTAAGTTTGTCTCCGAACAACAAGCATGATTGTCTGTCAATCATGCTCATTCGGTTAGTCAGTTGAAAAGGATGGTGATTACCGGGAGCCGAATCCTCGTGTAAGGAAAAATTGATTTTTGTATCTAAAATAGATTTCACTGAGTTAAGTCAGTGTACTCTTAATGTCCTTGTCAGTTATTATGAATAGTTCTATATATTCCATCTGGCAACACTGTTATTTGTGCTGTGAACAACATAACAGTTTGCGTGTACAACATGAAAAAATACTCTGTTTGGGATTTAGGGGCCCTGCTCATTTCCACTGCCCTTGAGTGTCCAAAAACTCAGATATTTAGTTTATGACCTTTACGTCTACGAACTTCCAGCTAAGTCGCCCACCTCATTGTGTCAATATTTGCATAAAATACATCAAGCTAACCCCACAGACCCCCCTGGAGTCATTACACTTTCAGTTTTAATGAAATGCCAGGTAAACAAGTGAGGGTTATGCTCTCAGCCAGAATTACATCGCACTACAATTGTTGTACTTAAATAGGCTGTAAGAGAGGACAAACCCCCTTTCAGCGGGTCAAACAGGAACAAGCCACCTAATTCATCAGCAAAGTAAAAACGAGGGGTGGCAGCCAAAAGAGGAAGCATGCTGCACTGAGGAAGTTTCATCTTGTGCAATAAGCTTTTTCCAGCGAATCCCCCCCGAGCGTCTCTGTCTCTTTGCAGTCACTCTGACTTTTGGAGGGTCAGACTTCAGGTTCATGTGAAATTGGATGGAAACAGTACCTCGAGTCTACCACCTACGGTTCCTTTCAAGAGGTGAACAATGATCTTGTGGAAAAAGAAGCCCTGAGGTTATGAGGGTCTGATGCAAGTGCTTAAATGGACCTTTGCTGTGTGAAATGTTCAGAACCAGCACTTCCCTCTGCATCTGTGTGCATTCAAGCATCTTTCAGCCAAATATAGCAGTTCAAATACATGTTTTTAGTCAAGCTACCAGACAAACAAACATTTTACAAAATCAAAAGGATTTAAACTCTTACATAGAAAACCTTGATCTGTTCTTCTTCTTGGTGTCGAGTTAGTTTTTGTGCGTTTTTCTGTAAAGCATCATTCAGTTTGTCAGGGTTATTTACCGTAATTCAGCTATCTTTAGTTTGTTGTTTCTTTTGTTGTGTCCCTCTCCACTCAAGGATAAATATCTTGTTCAAAACTGATGTTTCTGACTTGGTCACTGAAGAAAGAAAAGCTGAGAAATAGATAGAATTTAAACATCTCACACTTTCTCACCTGGAGGATTGACTCTGATATTTAGAAAAACTAAAAAAATATATATCCTTGTGGACTTTTCCTCTACTGTTCATTGTGTTTGTTTTTCTTGCAGTACAGGCAGAGAATACAGCTCTATGTCCTTGGGAGAAGGCAGGCAGAAAAATCCTCTTCTGAGTGGCGTTCCCATCTCAGTATTTGTGATTCAAGGCCCCACCTGGCTTTCTACAAGGATTTATTTAGGACTCTCTTAGCCCAGGAGCCAAAAAACATTACTGAGACTATAGCCCATCAAATGAAGGTCTTGACCAGCTAACATGGTTTTTGTGACCACTGGTTCTCTTGGCGAGTTATGTTAGCTTTAGCTTGGCTCATAACTTCTTTGTTGTGATGCTGATGCTGTCAAGTTGACCTAGAAGTTAACAAATTAACCAGCTAACTAGCTAACCCAGACTTGGGACTGCTAGTTTCTACCCTTACATCTTTACATATAGACGTTTGGGATTTTCCTCCTGGGTGGGATTCTTGGTCAGTGGACTCATCCAACAGGTGGGCACTGCTGATGTATGAAATTTGGAGCAAATTGGAAACTTCCAGACCAAAGAAACCTTATCAGCAAAGATTCTCTAATGGATGGTTAGAGATCTGCCCTCAACTAACCTGGGACTTCCACCACATCCGGAACGGCTCCGATTTTCGCCGTACCCCAATTCCTACCGGATTTGGTTGTGAGGTGAATTTCGTGGCGGATTACGGACACCAGGAATCGCAAGAACTCAGAAGAACCCATGGATTCACGTGCGGTCATGCGATAACAAGTTGTCTTTAGCCACATAGGCTAGCCATATAAGCAGTAGATTGTGTCCTTCCAGAGGAGGAAATCTACTTCTAGACTTCTAGAATCAGCATCTCCTCATCCATGGTGTCATCGGGATGAAATGCTGTCTATAAAACTTTCACTTGTTCGTCCCCACCCGTTTCCGACGACGCCAGTGGAAATTGACACATTAACTTGAATGGTTACGATCAGCTATGATTGGCGGATACGGCCTTTTCGTAGCAGTTCCGGATGTGGTGGAAATTGTCCGTTAGGTGACCAGACGTCCATGATTTCCGAGGACAGTCTCCATATTGGAATACCTGTCCCCGGCTAAAACTGTCCCTGGAAATGTCCCCGATTTAAGCGTTTTATGAATGAGAACAAAAATGTTGCGTGTTGACTAGAACAACGGTTATTACGGTAGACGAGTAGGTAGGAAGCACGAGTAAGCATGTTGCGCGTAAAGTCACCTTACCCTTAACAGTTGTGGGAAGGGCAAAGATAAAAGCCGAATCATATAAAAGAAAGTGAGAAAATGCTGTTACATGCAATAATAGCTCGGCGCATGATTGACGGCCATTGAGGGGAAGTGAATCATTCCTCATGAGGCTGTCGGGCTCCTTAATTAAAGAACGGCACTATTTCTCATGTGTTTAGGTGCAGATGACTAGAGGAAAAGGCCACACATTTTCTGACTTGTGTTTTGTAAAGGTCAGACAGTGGGGGAGAGAGAGTGTGTAGGAGGGTCCCCGCTATCTCTTAGAACAGCCCTGGAGGAGCCCCCAGGGGGGCCGGGCTCCGGAACAAAAACAGTATGTGTGGCAGTCTGCGTGTTTGTGGGTCGGCTTTTCTCTACGTGTGTGTCGCATTTGAGGCCAAGTCTTGAAAACAGCGCTCAGTTTGAACAGCGGCGCAGAATGGCGGCCTTGTTTAATGGTAAAAACACAATAATAAGGATGACAAACAATGTGCTCCGTGAGGGCAGCGAGGCTGAAACAGCCGAAATTGAAGACTTCACTTTATGCACGGATGCCTCCATTACGCTGATCACATTATATCTACGCCTCCAAACACCCACTCAGTCGCTTATCCTCCCACTCATCTCTGTGCCTCCTTTTTTCTGTATTATTAGCTCTCTCATAAGGACATTATGTGCCCCATAACATCAATAGTACTACCAACTCCAGTAGTTATCAATTACCCTCATTTTTGAAGATAAAAAACAGCCCGACCAGCACATAAAATCTATTCGACTATCTTTGTAAATGTACCCCCCTCTACCTCCCACTATTAAGTTTATCAGGCTTTGTAATGTCTGAGCCGTGTTTTCAAATGGAGAATAAAGCTGCGCAAAGAGAGCCAGAGGGGGCCACACAAGAGGATTTCACCATTAACAATAAAGACTCCTTTTCAGTTCAGACATGTTGGCAAAATACCAAAAAAATAAGTAAATACATGAAACAATTTCAGCGCTGGCTCAAGGGGTAAACATCTCAAACAGACGTCGGAGAATGTTTAAATTAGGACATTGTGAATGATGGTAGAAAAGTCTAAAAGCAAATAATATCCTTGCATGTGGCTTATCTTGTTCGAGGTCACCAGGAGCTGGATAAACATGCAACAGTTTGTACTTTATTTTGAAAACCTGTGCTAAACTCTTACTGTATTTTGTTGTAGTTGTTTTGCTCTCTGAGGTAGAAAACACACATCTGAACATCACAGAACTTCATCGGTCTCGGTCTGTCCTGTCGAAATCACTGTTTCATATGACAACCATTTTGGTCCATGATTACCGGTTCAACCCAAGTATTAACCTGCAGCATTTAAATGACAAGGTCAAAGCACTGAAGTTCCTGGAGTGTCCACTAGAGGCTTGCTGCTAAAGCAAAGGAAACCACAGTTTTGGCAAATTTCTTGAACTACTGCCCTGATCTAAGTCTACAAGGACAGGGCAGCATGCCTACTTACAGCAACTAAGCCCTCTACCAGTTAACCTCCCTCATCATCACGTACCCAAACAACCGACAGATGCATGAGCGAGAGGCTAACTGGATAGACTTTGAATGTTTAAAACAGTCACTCTTCCTGCTCTGTACCTTTTGTGTGTACACCACAATAACTTCGTCTCTTTTTTAAACATCCTTTCTTCTTGCCGAGATCGTAAGATGCATTATCTATGTCTGTTATGCTGTGTTCGAGTAACCTCAGAAGTCAGAAGTCTGAGCTGAAAATGACATCACACCCGAGTTACCAGCGTTTCAGTTACCAAGTCGATAAAAAGCAAAATCAGAGGCGGAAACAAGATGGCAACATCCAAGAAAGGTATTTTAGCGCTTTCCTTGTCCGGATATAAGGCAAGCGCTAAAATACCTTTCGTAGATGTAGCCAGCTTGTTTCAGGCCACTGATGTAGCTTTTTTCCGACTTGGTAACTAAAACGCCAGGAAGTCATTTTCAGCTCTGACATCTGACTTCCAAGGAAACTTGAACGCAGCATTAGTCCGAGTATAAGAAATTTAGTTTCTACTGCACTAGACTACTGCACTTAAATATAAGTGCAACCCTAACCCTAATAAGTTTTGTAATGTGCTGTACGCCTGCTAGATCCAGGGGCTTTTCTCATGTAACAAGGTAATCTATGCTAGATATAGGATGCCATCTTTGTTTTGGTTCATCATTAAACTGAAGGCTGTTTCTAGATACGTCTGGTCTAATCCAGTAATAAAATACGAGTTGTTGATTGAAAACCCATATGGACCTCCTTTATCGAGTCCCTTCTTGATTCCTGTCTAAAAAAAGAAGTGGATCACTAAACAGAATCAATAACTGCAACAGTATCAATAAAACCTTATAGATTCTCATCCCTACATTGGACAGTATCACATGTGAACAAATGAGCCCTGGCCAATACTCGCCACGGGCTGATATACAGGGTTCAGCACAGTGGCCAGCAAATTGGCGTTTTTCTAACATAGGTGGTCATTCGACCTGCAGTCAGGCACAATTGACCGTGCCCTTCAGCTTCATTAGGTAGCAGGGAGGTTGAGGTTCAGGTGTTATTTCTTCTTATGTTCTGATCTACTCTAGAAACCATTTCACAGTGTTTAATTCTTCTGTGATGAAACACTGTAGTTTCAAAAAGATGCGTTCAAAGGAGCTAAATTAGAGTTAATGGTGAATTTCAATCAGCTGACAAATAACTAAGGATTTGTATTTTCTCCTGCATCGACAACCTGACAAATACTTGGAGAAACTATCTTTTATTTTAGAAGACTGATAGTACTCAAGGCTCAAGGTGCAACAGCCCTCACAAGTAAAGGTTGCTGAATAAACCAAAATGTCAAAAACGAAAAGACGGCTGGTAGACTAAACTCTGATAGATGCATCACATTTAGAGAATATGCTGAAAGGGCCTCACGGTGTGAAAATTTAGAGTCAGCCGGTTTGATCATTTAAAATGATGCTGATTCCGGGTGTGCTGTATTCACACAGCTGCCTTACTTTTCATCCTGATCATTAATCTCCATTTCTTTCAAGGCAGAAACCTACATATGAATCACATGTGAACCCGCCTCGGCTGCAGAGGACGCCTCGATACTGCTGTGCTTTTATGTCTTTCTATTTCCTTGCCCTTTCATTTCTTTAAATAACCGTGTTGGTTTTCTTTAGTTCTTGCATGTCTGGATTCTGGACCCGTGCAGTCAGACAGCGGCTGACAGCCCCGAGATCTCTGTCCCTCTATCCTTGCTCTGTTAGTGTCTCCATACCGCTCTCTCCTCCTGCTCTCTGAAGACACCAGTTTAGAGGTGTCTCTCTAATTGAAAAGGCAACATTTATCTCTGTGTGAGTGAGTGTGTGTGTGCGCTGCTCTCGAGACGCAGCTGAAAGCACCTTGAGTCACTTGTTCATTAAAGTATGCTGGATGAGAAAGCTTTTGCTCACAGTGTGGGCAGTTCTATCCACCTTTTGATTAAGTCATCCACCCTCCTTCCTTTTCTTCATCACGTCTGCCTCGCTCACTCTTCAGTTCTTCACTCTTTCGCTTCTTTTTGATGTATTTCGCTCTCAGATATATGCCGGGGATTTGTATTTCTGTCAGCTCATTTCTCTGTGTGTTTAATTCTGGCTTGTAAACACTCTGTGGGTTTTTATATTAGAGAGATGAAGCTGTGAAAGCTTATTAAAGGACCTTATTAAATATCCCAGGAATGTGGACTAAGGTAAATAAAACTACAGCAGATAGCAGAAATGAATGAAAATGTACAATATGAACCACATCCTGGTTTGTAGACTTTAAAGTGATCTAAAGGCTCATTTTGAAAGTTTTTACGAGTAAAATTTTCTACATTTTGTTGTCACTTTTCTGAAGCGATACTGTTTCGACATTATTGCCTATCTTAAATAGGACAGCTGGAGAAATACAGGAAGTGTAAAGAGTAGGGCTGTCCCTCTTCATTCAATATTCAATGTGTGTTTCTCACACTAGTTTTACAATCGTTTCAGATTTCTGTACCTCAAATACAAACTTTTCATATCGGTGAAACCAAACCAAAAGCAGAGTAGCGTCGTAGTGGGTCACCTGATCATTCCCGCCCCTTACAAACATTGATTTAGTTCTGCTCTGTCCTTCGTTAAAGTTGTGCAAAATGTTCAATTTAAGAGACTGTTTCAAAAGTTGGTTTCTTTCAAAGAACAAGTTAACATCCAGATAAATTAAGGTGGCAATATGTCCACTTTTACCCAAACATGTCCTCTTTTGAGGGGGTGTCCAGGCTGTCGGCCTTTGTCAGGGGAAGTTTGTAAAATCCTTCAAATGGCCGTGGTTTTGTACGTAAGTTTTGATTTTGTGTCATGTGGACTTACTGAGTTAGAAGCGCATTAAAGATGCTCGATCCTACCTGAATAACTCTCAAAATTAACTTAATGCAACTCCATGACTCCGCCCCCATGTAGACGTGTCCTCTTTTTAGGAAGTCAGAATATGTCCATGTATAGATTCTCATTCATCCAGGTCATGGTTATCTTGAAGACTTAAAAACAGGCAACTACAGGCAACTCTGCACAGTCCAGTTGCCTGTTTTTAAGTCTTCAAGAGAAGTCAGAATATGGTCACCCAAAGATAAATGACATCTAAGGGGTGGAAGTATTTTATAGTTGGCCAGTCCTCCAACAAGTTTGATTCAGAAAACCTTGGTTTAAGATTCCCAATTTTGGTTACTTGAACCCAAAGTTGACTATTTCATTTCTTTGTCATCTCAAACCTCCGAGCAGTGTTGACACCTGTATATTCATTTTCTTCTTCTTTTCTTCCTTTGTAAAACGTCCATGGCACCCACAGAGTTTTTATTGGCTCTAATCTCATAATCCGTCGGAATGATCTTGGCATTCGCTCAAAAAACATCAAATTGGGATCTTACTTAAATTATGACAAAGCTGAACAAGAGCCTAATCTGATTTGGGAGCCTCCTGTTGGGCCACGGGGACTCTACGATGTGATGTGTTACCCCCCAACGGATGACCATTGTGTCGACTTGAATAAAAAGGCGCCATGCTGGAAACTTGGTGAACCAATAAACCTCAGACTCGGCAGATTACTCCATATTGTGCACCACACAGCGGAGCGGAAACATTGCTCATCCTTTGGATTAAACCGTGATTTCAGTCCAGGATAACCCACGTCTACCACCTCCATACACGCCAACATATCTCCACAGAGGTTTACCACCCACTTCCCCCAAAACCGGGAACCACACAGCGAGGCTGAGAGGGAGCACGACTACAGCTGCTGCTGCTGCTTGAGAGATAAAGAGTGCATTTTACCTGTAATCCCACAACAGCCTCTCACACACGACGACACGTACAAAAGCAAAATGTAGGTGCAGGATTAACAGCAGATTGAGAGCATGGGCTGGATGAGCCACATGCAGAGGGACAGGAGTTTCTACAGGAAAATATCTCTAAAAGTTTGAGCTCTTGTAGGTGGCTTTGTTTCTTTTCAAACAACCTTTAAATTATGAGGAGCTAAAGGAGCTAATCTAGATGTATTTTTACGAAAATGTCGCGCACAGAGAGTTATTTCTCAGGTCTTATCCACAGGGAGTTTTATTTATTTCACCCATTGCATTTTGATGGTAATGCTATGGTGCACATTTGCATATGCTCACATTTAGCAGAAATATTTAAAAAGTAAAAAAAGGAAATCCTGGCTCAACATAAACTTAATTCATGACACTGTGCTGTATTTCAGTGCTGTAAGTGCTAAAGATGACTCACCCGCCAGATGTTTCGCTCAGTTGGATTTCTATTGGCAGAGAAAGGCGCTCTGCAGTGTGACACCCACGTGGCCGAAAGATCTATGTCAATTAAAGCCGGCCACCAATCCTCACTTAATAGAGTAGAATGGAGCTTCAAGGTCAGCAGCAAGAAATATACGAGCGACGCAGAGCTGTGGGTGCACAGGGAGCTCAGCCCTCTGCCACCAAAACACAACAGCATCTACAGTACAGTACATGGTGGATGTAACACAATTCAGCCAATTAAACCACTTTTATAACTTAGGTTAATTTCAAAAAAGGTAAAGTCACACCTCAGTGCAATAAAATATGCCTTAAACTAAGTTTTACACGGCATAAACTACCCTTTTATTTAAATTTATCAAGACGTTGACCCCCCAATTTTCACCGCATTCAGAACGGCTCCGATCCAGAATTTTCGCTGTCCGCTAATTCCAACCGTATCCGTTTGTGAGGCGAATTTCGTGGCTGATTACAGACAGCAGGAATCACGAGAACTCACAAGAACCCCTGGATTCACCCTGAATCGCGAGAAAACAAGTTGTCTTTAGCCACATAGGCTAACCATAAAAGCAGTACATTGTGTCCTTCCAGAGGAGGAAATCTACTTCTAGACTTATAAGATCAGCATCCTCTTATCTATGGTGTCAATGGGATGAAACACTGTTTATAAACCGTTCACTTGTTCGTCCCCGACCGTTTGCATGGTGTGAAACACGAGCCACACCTGAAACACAGAGTATTTAATTTTGAAAGGAAGCCGGATGTTTTATTTTGTGTCTGTGCCCGACTTCCTTTCCAGTCCGGCAATCTACAGCAGAACAGAAAGAAGCCAGTGGAAATTGACACATTAACTTGAATGGTTACAATCGTCGGATACGGCCTTTTCGTAGCCGTTCCGGATGGAAATTGGGGGTCAAACTTTGTACTGGTTTATAGTCATTTATAAAGCTCTTCAGGTAACTTATAACCATCTAGCGACCGCTTTGCTGCAAAGGCATGTTACCAACGAGCAGCACCACTTAATAGCAGCTTTTTTTCCTTGATGGCTTGTTTTCTTGCATGTTTGTGTTGTTTGGCAAATAAATCTTGTGGCATGCTGAGAAGAAAAAAAAAAGATTGTTGTTAAGAGTGGGTCCCATGAGTCCTCCAGAATAGGTCCAATGGGGTCCATCCCTCAGCTAATGCTTGCAGAAGTATCAGCACAGTCCATTCGTACCTTACAGTTGCAGAAACTCTACTCTGAGCTTTAATACCACACCGGTGTCTACTTTGGAGACCTAGTTGAAGCCAGTCACAGTCTTTGAGCTTTGTTTGGTGCATCTAATAAACTAGTCTAATTTATATTTTGGATTTTACAGTAATTGCTTAGAAACAAACTCTTGCCTTAAGGTCAACTTGAATATCATAAACGTTTCTACTCTTCAAACATCATCTGCTTTTTCCGCCATATTTTTTGGCCCTATTTTGATCATTTCAAATGATAATCTCAAATGTGACCATACCCTCTCTAAACCCTCGCACATTACATAAAAAGTTTGAGTCCAGAAAGGATGCATTAAAGTCCCTGTTTCTCCTCCTCTTACATTCTGACTTTTAAATCTCTTCTTGTAACTTGAGGGGCAGGATTGCGGGGGCAGCGTTAGCTTGCGCGGCATGCTAATGCTACATGCTGTCAGAAGGACATGTATGGGATTATAAGTTTTGACATCAACGTAAGACAATAACTTTGAGAAGTGTGGGGGGTTGTGTTTGCTTACTTCAGGGAAACAAAGTGCGGTGGACAGTTTTGACAGCTCTTCACTACATGTTTGAGAGGATGTGTTTACAGTATTAGTGTCACAGATACTGGCGAATATGTATATCACATATGTTTACACCACTTGCATTACTTCCTAAGCCCACCTACAGTGAATCAGAGCTGCTTCTATCCGTGTTTCTTTGTGTCGTCTTGAAATAGGTATTAAAGGTCTATATGGTCCCCGGTGGAGAATAACAAAGATACAGTATGGCTTCTTTGTTTTGCTCAAGCACCTCAGCCCAGTTGGTGCTCGTAGCCTGTGTGGCAGTGGAACAAAAGCTCAACTGCAGATTACAAAAGCTTCACAAAAGCAAACAGTGGTACATTTCCCTCCAGGCAGAGGCTCACCTCAGATCACACGGCAGCCACGGAGAGGAATAGTTCCCTCTCAACATCTATAAATTAAACGTCAAACAGAACCTGACCCCACACAAGCCATGGCTAAAAAAAGACTTATTGATTGAGGAAAAATAAAAATAGTCTGTCTTTACAGCTCTTTGAGTCGCAGCGTTGCCTTGATATCCGTCCAATTTCAGGGATGACTGCAACCAAGCCAGTTTGGGCCTTTTAATCGTTAACCTGTAGGATTGTCTAAGAGGTAATCATAAGTGGTCATTTTCAGCCAGTTTTGTTCCAAGGACACCACTCAGTGACCCAGCACATATAGATTAATAAGTACACCACAATCCTCTGTTCAGGCTACATCTCCCATTTGAAGTATTTGGTTGAATTTCATTGACTCTCAGGTGGACGACCCATGGAGAGGCGGGAGATTTTCGGTGCATTGTACAATAGTGGTGCATCTCTGCGAGTTTGGTTTGGGATTTGATCCTCTCTGCAGTGTTAATCATCGAAGACTCCAAGCTGTCTGGATCTAGATGATAGCCAGAAAGAGTTGGGGTAAATTTCCTAAATATTGACTCTGGATGAATACCAGAGTTGAGTTTATCTCTTCATGAGAAGAGATAGTGACATTCACCACTTTGCCATTTTCCCAAAGCAAGAATACAACAAGTGACTCACACTGTTACTTTACCTGTCTAAAACACACTCTTCTTGAATTAAATGAAAGAAAATTCATAAGTGTTGTGAGAGATGTTGATTCTTTTAAATGCAGGAAACAAAGTCAGTTTAACTTTCTTGTTATCCCAATCTCTCAAACGTTCAGTTAAATGGCTGTAAGGCTGTGGGAAAATCAGATAAATTATTCAGCAGTTTAAAGGACATCTGCTTGGGGTGCCAGTGAAGCTCAAGGGAGAAATTGTGCGAATTTGCTTGGAGGCTGTTGCCCTTGAAGCAAGCAGCCTTGGTTTGATTCCTACTTGCGGCTCTTTAACTGACATCACTCCCCACTCTCTCTCTCTCTCACACTAGTTTCCTTCTGTATACACACTACCCTTCAAACACAGGCATAAAACCCTCCAAATAAACTTAAGAAATACAAAACACATGGCAAAGTGTGCCAGCCAGTTGGTCACTGACTTTTTTGCTTTAACTTACACTTGGTTGACTGAGCCTGACCTGGGCCTTTCAGGTCTCATCATGAATGTTCACCTGAACGGTCAGTGTTCCCAGTAATATGATTGTATTTTTCAAATCTCTGATGGAAATATCTGCAGAAGGTTTGATGACAGAAACCAAAAAGAAAATATGTAGACGGCAAAACTGGGAATTCATAGGACCTTATTTGAACGATCTAAAGTGCATCGTCTCAGAATATGGTGCAAAGTGAAGCAGGGTGTTAGATGAGGCACAGAGCATAGAGAGGCTGGATTAAGTCCAACATAGGTGACCGTATGAGTTATGTCATTGCATGGACCACTGATTAATCAATCCCTATGACCAGCAGAAAGGACAAAAAGACTTTCCAATTTGGGCAAATTGATGCAAGTGGAAATGCATTGTTAACTTTAAAAACTCAACACAGTCTAGGGCAGAGTCTCATTTAAACTGACCTCTGTGTCGTTAACATTGCAGAAAGGAAGGCTGTTAATATGCCTTTACATATTTTTGCTATTGGAGCAAATGTGTGCACGCACATTGGATGATATGCTCTGTTAAATTTCTGTGTATTTTCCCTAGTGTGTCTGTTCCTTTTTGTTCCTGTGATCCTGTCTTGTGAGTTTTCAGTTTGTGTTTGACCCGGCTTCCCTTTGGTTCTCAGTGTTTTATTCTTTAGATCAGTTTTCACTGTTTCCTGTTTTATTTTGTAGTTGTGTATAGTCTTGTCTTACTTCCTCAGTTTTCCCTCCTCTGTAATTGTGTGCACCTGCGTCTCAGTGTCTCACCTGCCTCTCGTTGCTCGTTTCCCTGTGTATATAAAGTCCTTGTCTCCTCCTGTTTCTTTGTTGGTTCATTGTGTGTGTTTGTCCTTGTTGACGATGCATTCCCAGTGATTTTTGTTGGATTTTGCTCCTTATGTTTTTTTGTTTGTTTGTTCTGTTTTGTTTTGTTGCCTTTATTATTTTCCCGTTGGACAACTGAAGTAAATTTTTGTTGCTTTTCATTTAGCTATCTGCATTTGGGTCCTTTTCCCTTTTGTTTCACCCTGGCTCATGACATATACTACAGAGTGCGCATGATGGAGAGCTTGGTGACACTCAGTTTGGAATATTTGGCCCACGCAGTGTTAAGGTGAAGCTGGATTGTGGGATCAGGGTCCTTTTTTCTTGGCACTGTGAGATCAGCAGCAAAACATACTGTGGTGTACAGAGACAAGGGAAAATATCAGCATCTCCAAGCTCTGTATCCCAATGGACTCTGAACCTCTCTGTATCAGAAAAAAACACTTTTCCTTTGAGTGTGAGTGCTGCTGTACATCTCTGTGTGTAATTGGAAGAATGCAGGTTTTCAGCTCTTACATGCCTCTCTTACTATCTCACTCATGCGCTCTCTAAATATCACCTTTTCACCTGACCATGCCTCGAAAAAGGGGGGAATAGAGTTGTGTGCAGAATGTAAAAATGCTCAAGGATGAGGGAGCAATGCCACTTTTCTGCCCTAAGAAAGCAAAAATTAAATGAAAAAAAGAAAACTGAACTTTTCTGTCTGCTCAATCGTAGATGACTCTTTCATCTTGATGTATTTTAATTAACTATCGTGTGAACAAAACAGGCTGCCATCATTTTTCAAGGAATAAAGTTACACTCTAGTAAATGCTGGGACACTTGAGCCCCGCTGTTAGAAAAATGTAAATGTTGCCCAGTTAGACAGAATTAGAAAAACTTCAAATAATACAAAAATCCAATATTTGTCTCTGTGTCAAACTTTGATTTCCTCAAGAGATGAAATAATTAAAATGTATGACTCTTTTGCATTTTTTCCTCCAGCTAAAATCACTTGAAATTAGCAACTTTGTGGAAAAACAAAATGAATAAGTAACTTCGTGGTTAAATTGAGCGTTCTTAGTCAGCTTTTTGTCAAATTAAGAGCAAGAAAATCTATCAATGTGGCAGGGGTCTAGTTTTGTTTTGTTTTTTTTTAAGAGAAATTTATTCAAATTTTATTCATTGTCTTTTTTTGCAATACTCCCAAGAAAAAAAGATGAGCAAAATGTGTCAAAATTTTGAGTAATAACTTGTTCAGGAGTCCTGAGCCAGGCTTTAGGAAATATTTTGCTGACTGTTAGCATCATTTGTTCCTCCAGCAGGCTTGTTGTAGGTATAATGAATAGCTGTAATGTTGCTCAGCTTCAACAGGTAACAACTCAAAGTGAGAATAAATCACTGACCAGACCTCGAGGCTGTAAACAGCTTGAACATATTCACTCTGTTTTTTCTTCCACGTTTTCCCTCTCGACCTCTAAATCATTTCTCCATTTATTTCACGGCAGCAAGTGGGTGTCTCAAATAAGATTTTAAAGCTAAATGATGAGGATTTTTTAATTCTCCTCCAAAAGATGCTCATTTCTAATGACTCGACTTTGTAAAACGTATCTATTTCTCTCCTCAATCTGAAGGAAAAAGGAGCAGTAGACTTTGTTTTGATGGTGATGATTGGTTTCTTTTGATTTTACTGTCAGCAGAGGGCTCTCATGATCTATCCACAATGGCCCTGACCTCTCATCTGCACTCTGCGGCAGGAACTGTATTAAATGGCTCCCACCATCAGCGTCCTTTCATGCTGATATTGAACAGGGCTTTTCTCAGCTGTGTTTTCCCACCTCGAACAATAGCGAAGATTTCCTCACCTCAAGCACTGTGTTTCGCTTTGTTTCCTGATGCCCCATGTCACATTGATTCTCTTGCTTCTGTTAGGACCGGATGAAATGACAACTTTCCCCTTTTTACCGTTTCCTCGAGTAAAGGTGTTCAAAAGCTGTCGTATCCAGTAGGTGACCTCATCAGCTACACAACTGGGTGGTGTAAGTTATTGTACAGAGAAAAGAAAGAAGGGAAAAGATAGAAAATGTGGTTTTTGGAGAGGAGGAGGAGGGGATTATTTCAGAGATTATTTTGTAGATAGAAGATGTCAGCTGCATTACAGCTTCTTGTTTGTGTTGATGGGTAGTTTTGGAGTATGCGCCGACGCAGAAATGAGAAAAGCAGAGTTTCTTCGCCACTCCTTGTGAGCCCGTCACGTCTCCACATCTCCCCAAAACACTTTCTTTGGCAGGCTTTGAATTACCTGCACTCATCCCTGCCTAAATTGTTCAAATATGTTAGAAGTTGATCAAACAGAAAGGCTTTCGGAGCGCGCAGCCCGACAGAGCTTCCCCTGTGGGCTGTTGGGGATCAGACATGAAAAACAGGGAAAGAACAAAGGCTTGTCGGGACTGTTAAAGACGCCCGGACCTCAGCGGCCCATCAAAATTCATTCGGTGAAACAGGCATGAAATACCCGCCGAGTGCGAGAGCCTCTCAAACATGTCAAAACTCTGCATCTGTCTCAGAGAAAATATAGTGTCGGACTAGGAAGATACTTTTATATGAGATATGGAGCCTTTGCTTGACTTGCTTTTTGTCTTCTTCAAAGATAGGGTGCTAAATACAATGTCTGCAAGTCATGTTTTATCAATGAACATTTCACAAACATTTAGGGGGAAGTCTTCCTGACAGGTTCATAAATCTTTAGTGTAAAGAAAAAGTTTAGGATTTGAAAATCCCACGTCTAACAGAGATCTACACCATGTTTAAAGGGATATTCCGGTGTAAAATTAATTTAGGGTCAAACACACCGTAACACCAAGTTAGACACCCCCTCGAGAGATGAATGTTTCCGACCGCTTGCTTCTCTAGTTGTAGCAACTTTAGTAATGGTCGCATGATAGCAATACACAGCGGTCTGAGGAGCTATAAACAAACCTCAACCGAAATGCCACAAATAATGCTCAGAACAACAGCTAACTTCATCTAGCCACCGAACATCTTTTTAGCTTTGCCTAATTTCTTTAGCAGATAGACTAAACACGACTCACCTACTCTCTTCCAGCAGCCGCTCGTTTGTAGCGAGACCTCAACCTCAACCCCCACCATCATCAACTAAGGTGGGGGGGCGCAGCTCAAGGAAGAACATTTATGATCATTATGAGCTGCGTCAGCCCGCTGTAGTCGGTGATGGACTTGTCTGAGGTCTCGCTACAAACAAGCGGCTGCTGGAAGAGAGGAGGTGAGTTGTGTTTAGTCTCTTTGCCAAAGAAATCAGGCAAAGCTAAAAAGATGTTTGATGGCTAGTACAATGGCTGGGACCCTATATGTACTGTTGATGAAGTTAGGCGCTGTTCTGAGCATTATTTGTGGCTATAGAGTGGTGTTTCGGTTGAGGTTTGTTTATGGCCCCTGGGACCGTTGTGTATTGCTATCGTGCGGTCGTTACCAAAGTTGGTATAACTAGAGAAGCAAGCGGTCTGCAACATTCATCTCGAGGGGTGGTGTCTAACTCGGTGTTACGGTGAGTTTCACCCTAAATTAATTCTACGCCGGCATATCCCTTTAAGCTGCACTTACTACATCTTTATTCAGATCATGCAAATACTGAATAAAACATAATGGATGACTACTCATTAAGAGAAAAATGTTGTAATGTGTTTTACATTCCTCATGTTGTTGCAGTGTGTGTGATAAGTCCTGTTCTCCATACAGAGTATGAGCAGGATTTCTTCTTGAAACCCTTTCAGCTCTAGAAGAAAAAAAACGCTATTTTTAACTTGTTTACTCCAGTTTGCAATGATAGTGTCACTCAGTTCCCGCTCTGCCAGGCTCTGTGCGACCCTCAATGAATCAAACATAGCTTGCGACACACTATATTCTGTGGCTCAGTGACAGTCTTATTTTCAGCCATCGAGGAAGCCGGGAGAAAGTTATTTACTGAGAACAGTGGACAGAGGAAGATTGGACATCCCTGATCTGTCAAGGACATGACTTTTGGCTGAAGCAAATCCTTCACTTTTATTGCATTGTCTTTGGGGCCATTTGGCACGAGGAGATGGAATTGGGAGGCTAACATGGTGCATTGCTTTCATCTAGCACTGTCTTCTACTGCTAAGTTTCGAGGACAGAGATTAAGCCCGGTCTATAACCTGTAGAGTTCAGAAACACTGGAGCATTTCATTAGAGAGTGGCCTTGCTTTTTTTTTTTGGAGCAAACCACTGATCTGAACATTAATTAAACCGACGAGTGTATGGCAATGCGCCGTCTGGATGTCTGTCACAACTTCCAGGAAAACCGCTTAAGTCAGCTTAAAACATCTTTGATACCAGCTGGCTCAAACTTAATTGAACACCTGTTTTCACAAAAACGTCCTCAAAAATCTCGCCTTGACACCAAACTTGATAAAAAAAAAATCTACAAAACTTTTTCCATCGGCGTCCTTGATCGAACATTGAGTGTGTGTCTCTGAAAGAGGGTTGGGGTTTAGGAGGAGAGCAGCCACTATGGAGGGCATGTGCTGCATGACAGAGATCCACTGCCTGAAGTCCTCTGACGTCAGCTGCAGACCCTGATGGGAATTCAATACACAGCATCCACACAGCCTAATTTATTCCACAATACAATCGGCTGCAGCTTGTTTTTCTGCCGTTCTATTGATGGTTCGGGTTGATGAACCGTCACTGAAGTTCACTGCAGATTCTTTTAGCGAGAGAGGTTTCTGTGAATCAGTTGGAGTCTTTTGCTGCCTGTTTGGTAACTTTGGATAAAAGAGACTTGTATCCAGAATGATCAAATGGTACACAAGTTTAAGGATCTGTCACTTAGTCAGCACAAGGTGTGATCTGTCACAGTCACGTCTCTTGCCTCGGGTGGTTCTTTTGCTTCTAACCAAACTTAAAAGCAACTGCATAGTATCAGATAAAGGGCAATGTGATACTTTAATATTCACAGATTTGAAGAACTGAGTAAGTGGATCCTTGTATTAAATACATGAACTACAATGAAGATATTCACGAGAAAAATGCAAGATCATCTCCCATCGATGATGACCTGGGCAATCTTTTTAACTCTCTGCCTACCTGTGCCACCAAGGTATAATTCTGACAACCAAAGTATATTTGCAATAGTTTTTACATTTTCTTATTTATTCCATTTTAGATCATCACTTTCAATCAGTGACATGTGCAGTCTTTTATTGCTTTCTGCCAACCTGGACAACCCAGGTTTTTTTTTCTTTTATCCTTACCCACCCTGTACAATGTGATCTCTTCACATGCGCAGTAGGGTAGGGAATCGGGTCTCGTGCATGGATGGGAACCTGGATTAACATTTTGGAAAAATTCTAATTTTTTATTGCAATTCCAGCGCTGCGTTCGAGTTACCTCGAAAGTGAGAGATGGGAATGACGTCATTGATAAGTTTAGAAATTTCCTCCAAAAAGAACTCTGGTTAGCGCTCTCATTTAAACCGTCAATTTTTTTATCCTGCCTTTTAAAAGAATCGGAATAGATGCTACGATCGAGTTACCTCGGAAGTCAGATGTTGGAGCTGAAAATGACATCACACCCGAGTTACCAGTATTTTAGTTACCAAGTCAGAAAACAAAACAAAATCTGAAGCTTTGAAGTTATTTTAGCGCTTGCCTTATGTTCAGACAAGGTAGTTGAAATGCTGGGAACTCAGGTGTGACATCATTTTCAGCTCAGACTTCTGACTTCTGGGGTAACTCAAACACGGCAAGAGAATTGTGAGAAACCAGAATAGAAATAAGGAATCACAATCGTTCCGATTCAAATGATGCCCAACCCTAATGTGCAGTCAGATTGGGACAAATTGACTTCTGTTGGTACGTTTAGTTTGACAGCCCATCAGCTGTGAAGAAGACATTGTTGCATGCATGTGAGTGCTTAAGATCACAGTTAAAGAAAGACAGATGAGAATCAGGTTGCTCTTTATCATTTAATGGGATTTTTGTTTTTGTTTTTGATGCATTGATTTAAGCGAAAGCTGCCAAGCTGGTGTAAATGATCAGAATCCCTTTATACAAAACTGGAGGGTGAAACATGGCGAGGCAGGTTCATTTACATTGGTATTTGCTGCAGAGGTAGAAAATCTAACATTGGACAATCCAATATTCGCCTAAGCCTCATACTCGAAAAGGTGTCAGAACATCTATTCTCTCTGCAAAGGCAGCCCAAGTATGATAATAAGGAATGAATTTTGATTTTCACTACCGCAATATACAGTATATTCCATTCCTCAACCCAAGTCATTTAGTCTTGTTTCTCACTCACACAATGCAGTGTTGCTCATGTCCACCACCCTATTCAGCATCACCCAGCCCCTGCAGTAAGCTATTTCCATCCATCAGCGACCAACACAGCAGACTTTCTGTGTTTCCACTGCTGTCATTGTCTAAATTCATCAGCTGAAAACACTATTCGCTGCAGCTTTATTCCCCAAACCATAAATGCACCGATACTATATGTGGCACAAATAAATAAGGGAGCTCATTTTGCTGCATGGACAGATCCAATCATTCCCGTTCAAAATGAAAACACAACTCAGAGCTGCTACGTGAATGCCACTACTTCTGCTATGACGCGGGCTATGCTCAGTGGGGGAGGGGGTGAACAGTCAGGGGGGAGGTAGCTCTTGCCCACAGTCGAAGCCCAGGGCACTTAACATGACCTTTCAACTTGCCACTGGAAATTAGAACAGTCAGAGGAGACATCCGGCCTGTCGTACGAACACGGCGGAGTGTGGCGGGGTTAATGTAGCTCACACAGGCCACTGCCGTCGAGGTAGTTTCACCCTGTGCGCAAAGAGCATCCAAACCCTCAAACTGACACACAGTGTATTCAGTAACCTGAGCGCAGAGCTGGTGGTCTGTACAGAGTGTACGCTCTCGAGACAGCTACAGCAGAGTCCCACTGTTGGGGGAGAAAAAGTCAGAGGAGCATGAGATGAAGGCTAGAAACATGTAGTGTTTCAATGACTGGAGCCCTGTCAAAATTATATCAGCATGGACTGGATGTAAACAAGCACAGATGACGAGTGGGATCTCATCATGCAGCATGGTTTGGCAGTATTTTGATCTAGAACAAAGACAAAGTCTGATTGAAGTGGTATATACTTGATCAGAGCGATGTGTAACCAGCACAGGCGAGAGAAACCAGCCTTTGGTTCTGTGCGGGTACCAGGTCTGCTAATATTCGCCGCGCTTGACCATCCAATTTGACAATATTTACGACAAGACTCTTAAGTCCCTTGCTAAAGGGATATTCCAGCGTAAAATTAATTTAGGGTCAAGCACACTGCAACACCTAGTTAGACACCCCTTCAAGAGATGAACGTTGCTGACCACTTGCTTCTCTAGTTATACCAACTTTAGTAACAACCGCAGGATAGCAATACAGAGACCACACGCTTGACTAAAACACCACTCTGTAGCCACAAATAATGCTCAGAACAGCACCTAACTTCATCCACAGTACATATAGGGTCTCAGCCATAACACTAGCCACCAAACATCTGTTCAACTTAGCCTAATTTTCTTAAGCAAAGAGACTAAACACAACTCACCTACTCTCTTCCAGCAGCCAACTGTGATTATTATTACCTCAAGGAAATGATAAAGAAATTATCATAAATGTTCTTCCTTGAGATGTTGTCCGTGATGGACTGGCTCGAGGTCTTGCTACAAACAAGCGGCTGCTGGAAGAGAGTGGGTGAGTTGTGTTTAGTCTCTTTGCTAAAGAAATCAGGCAAAGTTAAAAAGATGTTTGGTGGCTAGTACTATGGCTGGGACCCTGGATGTACTGTTGATGAAGTTAGGTGCTGTTCTGAGCATTATTTGTGGCTATAGAGTGGCATTTTGGTTTAGGTTTGTTTATGGCCCCTGGGACCACTGTGTATTGCTATCGTGCGGTCATTACTAAAGTTGGTATAACTAGAGAAGCAAGCGGTCAGCAACATTCATCTCGCAGGGTGGTGTCTAACTTGGTGTTGCGGTGTGTTTGACCGTAAATTATTTTACGCCGGAATATCCCTTTAAGCTGTATGAAAAAAGTTTTATTAGATTTTGACTGTCTTCTGAGTGTTGTCTTCCCTTCAGACTACTCAGTTTGTCAGAATGTAAATCTTCATTTGCATGAGAAAATTAGTCCTTCAAAAACAATCTTTAATGCGGTACCTTCTTTGTTGCTTCTACTATTATGTCTCAGCCCCATCACAAAGCCTCAAAGACTCGTTTATATAAGATCGACGGGTGTTTGGGGGTCAACAAAACATCAGAATCTTTAAGCTCATGGGGGATCTTGTTTCATGTCAACTCTCTGTCTATTAACCAAACAGCCTGATCAAAAGAGACAATTTCTTTAATCAAAAAACATCATCTTACGTGGGAGGCAGCAGCGAACCGCCTTGATGTATCAGAGTTACTCATACTCTCTTAATTATATAATCTTACCCTCATGAATATTTTCACAAGAAGGTGGGTAAAGCAAGCACGCACTGATTTACATTTTAGATAGCAGAAATGTGCTAAGTTTACAAAGCTCATGATAAAAACTCCGTCGGAGGCTCTCGTGATTCAACAGTTTAGGTCGGTGTTCAAGCTAAGCGCCTCCTTCAGGGACCATTGGGATTTCCTGAGATAAACTGCCGGGCAGGGAAGGTGTCAGGCATGTAACGAGCGAACATCTCAAGGGTGGAAGGACGTTTCTTCCACCAGACGATGCATCAGGCTGTGGAGGGCGTCAATGAAGGAAAAACCTCAGAGGACTCAGACATTGTGTTTTTCGTGTCCTCTCTCCCAGGACGACACCTTGTACTGTACTCTCCCCCAACTTGTACTGAACAGCATGTTGCTTTGCTAGCCCAGCTTACATCCCTAAACTCCAGCGGAGACAGAGGGCAAGGCCGCAGCCCTGGCCCTGGTGTTTATGGTCAGATGGAATGTGAACTCCGGGTGAGAAAAAAGAGGGGGAAGTAATAATGAGGCATCCCCCCTCTGCTGGTTGTTTGTTTGGACAGACCGGCTGTCTCACAGCACAAGCTGTGGATGGAATACTAATGGATATGACTAATGAGTCTCCCTCGCCTCTCTCTCTTTCTCCAGATCCCTTCCTACTCGACTCGCTCACTCTTTGGTCTCACTTCCATGTGGATAAAAATTTAAGTTAGGGAGTGAAATGTATAATTCATCAACAACTAAAGGTACGGCTGTGACAAACATTCTCGACTGATCACTTTCCTTCTTGAGGCTTTGGCGAACACCTCCCCCAACCTTTCCTGATCCTGGTTTCTAATCACTTATTGGTGGGTGGATGGGAAACCAAGCATTGGTGTTTGCAACCATTACGTGGGCCTGGCTAATCCTTTGCCCGTACGTTTGAGGAGCCTAAATTTCCAAATCATACTTTCTCCAGATTGTGGCGCCTTGAGGGAGGAACAGGAAGACATCGCCAAGATGCAGAAACCCTCCACTGGGCCAGATTAAAACCTGCTGAGATTTACCAAAGGATTAGCCACCCCCTTTGGCATTAGGTGCTGTACAAACGGTACAAAATTATTTCCATTTTAAGTGAAAAGGGGCCTTTTAACAAGAAGAGTAACCACAGCACATTTTGGCCTGTTGAACTAAAGGAACACAAAAGACTTTGAGACGATATAATAAAGCTAACTCTGAATTAGCTAACTGTAAAGTAATCTGGGAGGAGGAGTCTGGCAAATTTCACTGAGTACGTCTACATGACACTCAAGAAAAACGAATTATTGCCCTACTCCGATTAAGAGCGGACAACTGAAGTGCATGTAAACACCTTCGTCCGGCTATAATCGGAGTTTGAGAACTCCAATTGGAGTCGGAGAACTCTGAATAAGACACTGGGAAAATGTGATTGGAATTCGATTTTCTTTACCATGTTACCAGCGTAGTCGGAGTATGATCAGACAATGCTTCCAAAGAGGAGTAGCGTGCATCTCATGCAGAAAAAGTAGCGCGTACATTATGTACGACAAAAACAACTCTGTACGATGCTTCATCTTCTTGCTCGAAAAATCTCCAGCAGCAGTTGTAGCCACTTCTGACATCTGGCACAGATCTGCTGTTGTTGTTGACGGTTGTATGGGGTCGGAAACAGCGCAGCTGAAAAGACCCATACCGCCCCTTAGTTTTGGGGAGGAGGACACATTCACATAAGTAATTTAATTTTCTCAGCTGCATGTGTACACGGACAAGGAGAGAAGTCCGATTCGGTGGACAAAACGAATTATGAGCTTAATCCGATTAGGCTGTGCATGTAAACACACTGGCTGTTACCTGTTGACACTGTGGCAAAAATTACTTAGCTGTTTTTAAGACTTGACTCTGATTGGTCAAAACCCTGACACCAGTGATGATATCTGAACAACAAAAACAACTCCATAATAACCTCATGACAAAAATGATATCAAACCAATCATCAGTGAGGACTTTGACCCTTTTATAAACATGCCAGTATCCACCTCAGACTGGTTCTAAAAGTCTAAGCAGTAGATCATTTAAAATTGACAAAGTCATCTTCGAATAAATATTCAAAGTCACCTTGTTCAAGCCTTAAGCAGGCGGCTGGTTGATGTATAGTGAACATGTAGTAATGCGAATCAGAACGTTGCTCACTGTGAAAGGATTCCTGTTTCTATATACATGCTCACTATACATCTTCCCTATGAAATGCTCTTAAAATACAATCGAATTTCAGTACAAGCTATGCAAATCTTTCTAATCAGAGAAGTTTGTCTCCTCAGCGCGCACATCACCATTAGCAATCCAATTAGCACCGGGACTGAAATGGAGGCGCTAAATGGAGGAGGGTGTTCCACATTGAAGCTCGCGTTCAATTTCACTTTCCTTTCAACATCAGTGACCACATCATAACAAATCACAGTGAGTAAGTGTCTCTTTTCTTCCCCCCTTTCCCACCTTTTATAACCGACCATCCCTTCAAATCCTGCAGGAATCAAGCCCTTTCTCTGGAAATGATTTTAATGTTGCTAATAATTCCCCCTTGCTGGGTCGAATCCACTCCCACTCTGGCTAAAAAGCAGCCTAAGAGTGGCTCTAAATAGAAGGAAATTGCATTGATTGAGACAATAGATTACAGCATTTAGGAGGTGCTTTGGCAGCCCATTGGGTGTATGTTATTTAATAGTCCCCTCAGGATTTACCTCTGTGCCATTTAGCAAGGTTCTGCACTGGATTGAAAGTTTTCCAAGTCGATACCGTAACTTGTTTTTATTTCTGTTGCACCTGTTATCGCCAGGAGGAGAAATGAAATACCTTATTTCAGTGTTCATATCAAAGAAGATCATTTTGAAGGCTTTTTTCCAGATTCATGTCTTGTTCCTCTTTTTTTTATCGTAAATAGAAGTGAAGCAGCCCCATTTGTTCAACTCTCCTCCCTAAGTTTCTCTCTTTTACTCTGATGACAAGGTGCTTGAGAGAGACAAGATCATCCCTCAGATCATTAGAGGAAATACAAACACCACCACTCCCCTGTGCTTCACACAAAGCAGTGGGAGTGCCCACAGGACCTCTGTTCCCTGAAATGACATTTGCTAAGGACTCACTATCACAGCCTCTCAGTCCAAAGCCTGAATTGTTTCCTGCACACTAAAGGAGAGTTTAACAATAGCACAGAGTTTGCTTATTATTTAAAAAGCATGCACACTTAAAGCTGTTTCAAACAATAATTTGCATCAACTTTAGGTCAGGGCAACCCAAGAAACAAATCAGCAAGGATTTGACTCAGTTCTGCAGAGCCGGTGAGCCTCCTGGGCTCATTATTTTGGTGTTACAGCTTCTTTACTCCACACCAACTTCATTTTAGACAGATTTTAAACGAATACATCCAAAGAAGTAATAATCTGCCAAGCACTTAACTGCACAAAACCAAAGCTGGTGACATTCAGGAGAGCATAAAGGAGCGCCACTTAATACTCTATTAACTTTAAAAATGTCTGTAAGAAAGCTTCTGACACTCCCTGCCAAACCGTGTATACAGCAACCTTTGTTTACAGCATACTTTCAGGCTTTCTGGTTTACGGCTTATTCTGCCCCTCGGTGGACAAAAACCAATCAATGCAGCTTTAAAATGTAAATATATTCATGTATAGCAGTGAGGGCAGGTTTATTATAATACACCTGACAAGCTGACATTAATTCTTCACGAGATCACATCATGGTTTTGGGAATGTATTCAAGACTAGGTTAAAGCTCCTAAAAGGAGTTTTGATTCCTTTTCATGATATCCAGAACCAAACAGGACCACCAGTTACAACATTCGTCTTTTTAAGATTGAACTTTGTGATGCATGAAACTAGAGAGAGGGGGTCTGTGTCAGCAGAGTAGCTGAAGAAACAGGCCTTTTTTTTTTCTTTTTTTTTTTTTTTCAAGTTGCACATAAAATAATCACCAAAAATGATCCATTTAACCATCAGGAGTCAGAATGATGAGATTTTTTGTCAAAAGTGTAACAGACAAGATAAGCAAAGGCTGTTTTGTCCACATGGGGCACCAATTGTGATAAAAAAAAATAAAAAAAAAGTTCTTCACAGGAGCTGTAAAGTTGCCACAATGACAGAATTTTGAATCGTTATTCAATACGAAATAGATATGTTTCAATTCAACAATAATAACAGAACTCTCTGGCATCCAGAATAGACGTTTCATGTCCATTTTACATCTGATTTTCAGTCTGCACATGCTGCTGGTACAGAAAAAGTCATGAGCACAGACATGACGAATGAACACAGTCAAATTAAGTCTTTTTTCGCCCTTGGAATTAACATCCAGTGAAGTTTGGTGGTGTCTGTATTTTCCAATTTTCCATCCAATTTGGAGGGCTGTCAAATGTTTTTTTTTAATTGAGATTAATCACACAATTTCAGTATATAATTTCTATCAATTCCATCTTTGAACATTGGTTTAAAAAGTTATTAGTTTGCATGTCAGGTTTCTGTCAAGTCCATTTCAACAGCGTAAAGCCATTCATACTAGTTTCTCCATTTTGGGACCAATTACTTGCAATAGAAAGTACTTAATGATCTTGTCCTTTAGATTTATTCACTTACTTTAAATACAAGTTACACTGCTACAACAGTGTGGTCTGAAATTCACGACTTGGAGGTAGGAGAAGCTTTCCAAGTGTTGATTTTGTGATCCAGTGCTTACTATCCTTTAAATTTATAAGTGATGTTGATATAGAGTGCAGTTATGCTGAGATATAAACTATTCCTCACTTGTGTAAGATTATCCTCCATTAATGCAATATGTGTACTTTTCAGGAGTTGCAGTTTAATCGCTGACTGTGTTTTCACTTCCTGTTTATCTTAAACTAATGTTCGCCATCAACACGAGGTAATGAGGAATCTTGTTAGAAATCGCAGAATGACGGAATAATGCAAAATACCACAAAATGACAAAAAAGTAACAAAAAATTGAATTAAAAGAGATAAAACTTGAAGAAGTACATGCCGAACAACTCAAAATCAGACGCTGCCAATTAAAAGTTGGAGCCCGCCCTTAGATTACTTCATATTTACTCCTTTTTAGAAGATATACATACAACTCATGTTTAAGCTCTGTGACCTTTGCCCTCTCTTTTTAAGTCACCTACTGTCACGCCCCGAGACAGTTTGTGTTTGTACATATGAGGATAAGTGTGTGTGGGCGGCTGCGTGACTGAAAGGGAAGCTAATGAGTTGACTGATTAGAGTGGAAAGCCTCGGGTTATCATTAGCTCTCAGAGGATCAAACACCAGATCAAACCAACAGCAGTGCAGAGAGACGCGGGCCACAATTACTGTAGATATTTGTTTTTCATCAGGGAGGGTAAAAAATATGTACAAATTTAAGCAGGGGGAGAAATTTGCATCTTTTCAGGGTGCAAAACTAAACGGTGGAAGTTTGAGTTTATTCCGAAAACTAAGAAGTAGACTCACGCTTGCATGCCAAAACAATCCTCAAACCATTTGTATTGTATCCACACACGAGTGGCATTTGCGGCTCACAGGGGAATGGTTTCCTTCAGACAATGGGGTCCAGCCCCACACAAGAGCAACAGTCTCACATCAGCTGCTCAGACAGCTTTGATTGTCTCGGCCTCGCCTTTAATGAGATAGCTGCTGGTTTAACGTCTCCATGAGAACGTCTGTGTCTCCAGACATGACTATTAACCAAGTGGCTTCAGGAGCCGGTCCCCTCGCAGTCGCTGCAAATCGCAGCAGTTGAATAAAAGATAAGGTGAGATTTCAGCGGCAGGATGAGGAAGTGTGATTGTGAGCATGTCTTCCTCTCTAGAAAAGCTGGAGTTGGATCCTAATTCCACAAAGATGTGATTATTTTGACCATTTTCGGCCCCTAGATTTATGAGTGATTGAACCGGTCGATTTTACATGCCTTCAGCTGACTGTCAGAGGGTTATTTGAGTCCTCTTTGTCCACCAGAGAGAATAAAAGTCGATAAACTTCAGCTCTGCTAGTATAAGCCATACTGGGTAAAGCCACTTGGTATCATTTGCACAGAGATAATTAGATCTGGTGTTTAGATCCTGGGTTCAGTTGTGTTGGAAAAAAAAAAAACTGTGCTCATTTTGTGCTTTGATCGTTTCTTAACATTTAACTTGTCAGTTAGTTATAAATTTATATGACTTAGTAACTAGTCACTGTAGACCATCTCTTAAGCCGATTACTATCGTGTTAGCTAGAAAAACTGTATGCAGTTTTACAGTTTTTGTTACTTATTTGATCGGTAAAAAAACTGTGTATTTGACCAAATCTGGTAAACTATGACATATTTTCCTGAGGGAACCATAAGGTGGAACCTCAGCACAGCATATCATTGTATCATAATGTATCAAAGAATATTATATTGCAGCATTACATTATATTGTATCAGACTGTGTCGTAAAATACTGTGTAGGATTGTAACGTATCATATCGTATTGAAACACATTGTAATGTATACTATCATATTGTATGGCGTAGTATCATTCTTTATCATATTGAATCTTACCCTCTAATTTCCACTGCATCCAGATCGGCTACGAAAAGGCTGTAGCCGCCGATCGCAGCTGATCGTATCCATTCAAGTTAATGTGTCAATTTCCACTGGCCTCATTCTGATCCGCAGCTGATCGCAAGAGTTCTATTTTTTCTGGATGCTGGAGCATGCCAGATAAATTCAGCACAGATTAGTCAGTGCTGGAAAGGAAGTCGGGCACTGACACAAAATAAAACATCCAGTTTATTTTCAAAATAAAACACTGCGTGTTTCAGGCGGATCGTATTTCGCCCCATGCAAACAGGCGGGGACGAACAAGGGAAAGGTTCAAAGACAGCATTTCAACCCAATGACACCATGGATGAGGAGATGCTGATTCCAGAAGTTGAGAGTCTAGAAGTAGATTTCCTCCTCTGGAGGGACACAATCTACTGCTTATATGGTTATGTGGCTGTCTTTATAGAGACAGCTCATTATCTCACGATTGCAAGTGAATGTCCGCTGTCCATAAGCTGCCACAAACGGATCCAGTAGGAATTGGCGGATGGCGAAAATTGCCACCGTTCCAGATCAGAGCCATTTCAGATGCAGTGGAAATTCATTGTTACTGTTTATGCCTCATCATCTCATATCATGTCTAATCCCAACATGTCACATACTGCATTCTGTTAGAATATATGCTATCCTATCATATCATATTGTATCTAAAGATCTAGTATCAATCTGTATAGCTGTATTATTATTTTCCCCTGATCTACTTGTGCAAATGTTGAGCGATGACATCTACAACTGGATGCAATGAAGGATGTTTCCTCACCAGGCCTCTCTCCTGGCATCCCTCCCCTCCTCTTTTCTTCTACTCCCCTCTTTATCCCGTCCTCCCTTTCTTTGGAGGCCCTCTGGACCCCATCAAGCCTCATTCTGTTCATCCCACATGTGAGGGGTCAGTGCGTACCCCACAAGAATAAACCAGCCACTCAATGTGAGAATCTTTGTGTATGTCCTCATCCCCCCCTACCCTTCTTTCTCTCCCTCTCTCTCACTTACTTGTGCCCTATAGACGAGAATCGACTCCATTCAGAGTTCTTCCCTCCCCCCTGGAGCGGACTTCTCAGGGCCCTAACAGCGCAATTCTATGCCTTATTGCTCCGGCTCCTCCATGGAGAACAGTCTCGTCAAAGCGCTTGTGAAGACATGGACGGAAATGAAGCTGCTTTGTGCTCGGTCTTGACATATAGGAGAGATCACGTGGTGGAGTCTGTGGTCTAAGCATTTAACAAGAGAAAAGGGCAGAATGTGTAAAATGCCTCTTTTTAAAGGGCCTCCAAGTGGCCATCTTGGACGGAAAATGCCAGGACCTATTTAGAAACTGCGTAGTTTTATGAGTTTGGCCCTCACTGGCTGCCCTCCAGCTTAATCCACATTGTGTTCAGACTTCCTACTGACCAAAGCTGAGTTTCTCAAGCTCATCTCCACCTCTTGTTTAATCTCCGCCAACTCTTTCATTGGGACCACACCATGTGTTGATTCTAAAGAAATGAAGCGGACACCTCATTTTGAGCAAGAATGAGCCGGAGGGCTGCTTTTGTCTGCGGCAGGAATGCCCATAAGACAGAGAGGAACACTGTTTGGACTGACTCGGGTTGCTATACCAGTGCTGGAGAACGCCATGGCAACGCAAGTAAGAAGGTCTTGCTGGACCCACGTAGCCCTGTTACAATGCGGCCGCTCTGGGTTTGTCATTCCAGTCAGGCCTGACCCAAATTACGACATCCTGAGCAAAAAATGGGCGACTCAAACCCTCATACAAGCAAAGATATACTTAATTGGACTTGGGTTTCATTTCCCTGATAGCACTAATAAAGAAACATATGGATGTTTGAAGTATAATCAACAAGGATACGGCCCGGTTTATGATTTTACACCACTGCAGGATTGCACCACTGGCTGCAGGATTATTAGGACTCTACAGTTGTTTACTCAACATGTCTACGCACCACTTTTTCCATCTGTGGTTTGAATTTTCAATTTTTATAGTATGATTTTCTTTAATGTTTTCATATGTTTAATGTCTCCTATCAACAGCCTTGGGGGAAAATCTGTTTGTACGGCAAGAGCCACAAAAAAGCAATTAGGACCATGTCAGTGGAGGCGTTTTGGAGAAATATTCAACTGTTCAACAGAAAAAAAGGCTTTACTTTATGAATGAAAAACACTTTTTGAAACTTTTTCTGTGAAACTCAAGGCAAAGTTTTCTTGCTGTGAGGTTTAAAAACAAGGGAGGTTGATACAGGAATTTAAGGAATTCACATAAATCCCACTTCAAACCCATAGAAACACACCAAAATTGGCTCTTACACCCTGTGTGCTGCTGAGACTTTCTGCACAGTTCAATTCCAAACTTTTCTGCCTTCCTTGCTCCTCAAGTGACCATCTCAACATCCCATCACACTCAACCCCAGGAAAGCCATGCATCAGTGCATTTGCACCCATAAAAAAAGAATCCACTTACTTCATTTTGGAGGTCTGGTAGTTGTTTATATCAGAGCTGGAAGAAGAAGAAGTTTCTCTAGGCTCTTTTCATCTGCACCTCTGCCCTGCTGCCCTGCCTCTCCAATACTATTTCTCTTTGTGGGCTGAGCATACGATAGCTGTGTAGTTTTTTTTTTTCTTTTTGTGTGTGTGTGTGTTGCACGGGGTGAGGGGATGGGAGCTTGGTGGGTTGGTGGGTGTTGAATGCTTGGATTTCCTGACTCGTGATCAGGAGCTTATTACCCCCCAAGGTCACTCCAGGGACGCCCTCTGCCTGGCACTCATCGAGACACCAGACAGAAGATGTGAGAAGGACGATGAGAGCCAGAGAAAGAGAGCAAAGGGAGAGAGCAGTTAAGAGGCAAAGTGCCTGGGAGCTCCGTGGGGACGGAGCAGAGACAGAGTGAGAGGGAGAGAGAGAAAACAGACACTGAGATAAACAGAAAGAGAAAGGAGAGACAGCGAGAGATCCAAATGCCAACAGGGAGGTGCGAGCAAACACAACAACAAAATACAGCTGGATGAGCACACAGAGAGAGCAGCGCGGGTACAGCAGCCCAGTCAAAGCATACAGTGTTATATAAAATATCTTGTTGATCCATGGAAAAGTGAGTCCAACCACAGCAATCAATAGAGTATCGACAAACACCGGCTGGGCTCTGGATTTCTTTTTCAGCTTCATATACAGCCGGGCTCACACTGCCAAAGTATACTTACTTTGTCATGTGAATGACATCTGATTATATCACAACGTGAAACAGTCTCAGCTTTACTGAGTGTTTTGTTGAGTGAAGTTTAAATTTTTATGAAAAACTAAAAAGTATTCTCTCGCCGTTTGAACAAAGTTAGAAAAATTACCTAAAAAAGGTAGAGGGCCACATAAGCTACTAGGATGTATCATCTGGGAACCATGAGTATATAAGGTAAATTTTTGCCACTCTTCAGTAAATATTGACTTATCTCAACAAATATATAGTTATGTGATCCTAATGAAGGTGCAACAAAGACGTCACAAATTACAAAAATGATTGAGGATCATCCTCGCAGGACCATGAATATAAAACCTTAATTTTTTGCTATTCTCCAATAAATAAACCTATAAATATCTACATATGTAAGTGCTACAATGGAAGTTAAAGAACTGTCAAGATCATAAGGGGTCATCAGTAGGGGACCATGAATGTCTGTGAAATCTTTCAGGAAACTCAACCAATATTCAAAAGATGTTTCAGTCTGAACTCAACAATTCAACCAGAAGACAGTTCTCACTGTATGGCTAATGGAATCATCCTCCAGCGACCATAAATGTCTTAACATTTTTTAGCGCTTCATACATATCGATCAATTACTTCTGTCATAGACCAACAAACGGTGTGTGTTCAGTTTTTTAAGTGAGCTGGCATCTTCATTTTCAGAGCGTAGGGGACAAACTTCTGGAAACCAAGACTGTTTGTGGAACATTTTATAGCAATTTATCATTCATCTAAAGGATATTTAAGTGTGATCCTGATGAGATAAAATATTAATCAACCATTTAGCATTTTCACAAGACTAGAATTTGGAGTTAGCCTCTGGTCATATGAGAGTCGATACATCACCCAACGGAAATTTATCCAATATTTATGAGATGCTTCAGTCAGAAACCATCTGATATTTTATATGTTGGTCTTTGGGGATCATCCTCTGGAATCCTTAAATGTTTTTTAATAATTGCATGGAAATTAATCCAGTTTTAATTTAGTACTTTATTCATTTATTCTCCATCCTAAATGTTGCCCTAATTTAAACCATTTAGCATCATACATGGATATATATGACACACAGTTGGCATTATAATATATCAAGTAAATTCTGTAGCAGTACATCTTATATCTATTATAATAAACAGAGGAAATGAACCTTTAATTTGACTAACTGGAATTTGGTGCGCAAACACAAGGGATAATCCTCTGGGGAAGATGATTGTCTGTGAGACAGTTCATCCAAGATTTATCTGATATTTTATTCTTAACCCAAAAAGTCGACCCATTATCCAACCAACAAACATTCTTAAGTAAAAAGCATAAGGGATCATCCTCTGGAGACCATGACTAGCCATGGAAATTTCATGGTACTTCACTGAATATTTAAGAGGATTTTTCCAGCTTAAGTCAGTAAGTGAACCCAGCATATAAGCAAGTGATATCTTCAATGTAAAGCACAAGGGATCATCCTACTGGGACCATGAATTTTAATAGATAATCTCATCTTTTAAGGGACAATTCAATAAGTGTGGACCTGTTATGGTACCAACTGGAGCATCAAAGATCATCCTCTGGAGACCATGAATATTCAAAGATATTCAATAGCAGTTTATCCAGTATTATTTTGTACTTTTCAGTATGAGTGGACCTTATATCGAAAGAAATTATATTTTATTTAAGTAGAAACAATTGTTGGGATTCAGGCTTTAATGTAGATAATAAAACCGACTCTCATTTTTATGTTAGTTTTGGTCCAAGTGTTCCTGTTTTCTCCATTTTATCTGTCCTACGTGCCCAGATATCCTGTGAAAGGTATTCTGGTCATAACTTGTGGATAGTCTCGAAGTGTTTGAGGCAGATGGCAGGAGATGACCCCTTATAACATTGCTGGTACTCTGCCACAGCTGGATAAACCTGGATTGACAGATTACAGAACACACGATCAATAGAGAGTACCATTAGTTCTGTCCACAAAGCAGTGTGTACAACACTGATGCCAGTCCGCTCCTGTAAACTCTCAGCGGTCCACACAATGAAAAATGGCCTTATATTTCACCTTATAAGGCTGTCTTTCCTGGCTCAGGTTATTGATTGAGTGCCTGGCACGAATTCACTCAGCACTTGAAAAACTGCATCCTGCCAAAAAAGCAGCTCTTTAGCTCATAATTATTAGATAACACATTTTAGTGCCAGGGTCTGTTGTTGAGGTGCTATTCAGAGGCTTTCAGGATGTGATTATAATGCGCTATTCCAATGCTTTAATGGTCATTATACACCGAGGCATAAGAGCCTTTGGACAGTGTGATAAAAACTCAACATTGTGAAAATTACAGAGAGCGAGAAAAGTAAGCAATGTTGGCCCCTAATCAGAAAAATACATATTTTTTATTCAAGTAGGATTGCTGGCTCTCTTTTTTTTAAAGAGTCTGGTAAAAATTAAAGTCCAAAAACAATTTTTTTAAAAACTCGAGTGAAAGAAAAGGCTTTTACAGGAGAGTTAGAAAGGTAACCAAACATACCAACGTATCGGACCTTATAGAAACTGATAGACATAGAAAGAAAGGTGATGTAAAAAGCAATCAAGAGCTGATGAAAGGCACCAAAAGCTAAAGAGAGTTGACAAAAAGTTTCAAAAATTAAACAAAGAAAAAAGGGAAAAAAAAAAAGTTAACCAAGGCTTACTCAACTTTAAAGCTAATGCTCAAATATACCAGAGCAAAAAAAAATGGCTGATGAAAGTAAATAAGAGCTAAATAAAGCTACAAAAAGCTAGCAGGAAGTATCATAACATAAAGATGGTCTTTTGAAGCTAACTAAAGTGTCATGATATGTTTTGTTAACTTAGTTTTCACCTCGTGTTGTTTATTTGAGTGCTTTTTATTTGTATTTTCCCTCATGTTTCTGTTCTAGTGATAGGCACGGCAGTAACTAGAATCAGTTCACTGAAAAGAGTCGTTCAAAAGATACGACTGGCAATACTTTTTCTGACTTCAGCTCAACTGAAATGAGAATTGAACGACTCACTCGAAGTGATTTGGTTCAGTACGTTCACTTAAGTTCTTTTGAATGAATCATTTGCAAATGACACAACACTATTCCATTCCCTTGTAGTCTTGTCTTGTGAGTGTTTAGTTCATGTCTGACCCCGTTTCCCTCGTGTTTTCAATGTTTCATTCTGTTGATCAGTTTTCGGTTTTTATTTTGTAGTAGTCAATCCCTGTGTTTCTCGTCTTGTTTTACTTTTCCCTCCTTATTAATTGTCTGCACCTGTGGCTCAGTGTCTCACCTGCCTCTCGTTGCTCGTTTCCCTGTGAGTATATATAGTCCCTGTCTTCCTCTGTTTCTTGGTTGGGTTATTGTATGTCTGTTTGTTGGTGTGCTTACGCCTGTGTCCCCAGTTGCTCCCTGTGATTTTGCCTTTTGTATTTTTCTCTTTTTGTTGCTTTTTTAATTTGTTCTTTTCACATAAACCCCTTTTCTCTTGTTCTGCATTTTGGGTCCTTTCCCTTTTTGTTTAACTCCTGACTGTGACATAAACTTAACTAGGAGCTGAGAAAGCCAATAATTGTTAATAAGCCTCAAAAGTTAAGAAATCTACATTGTTGCAGGTCTGTTTTGAGATTATAAGTGACTTTTTGTCCAAAACATGGAGTTAGTGGACTATTTGTATTCCACATCTTTTTTTGTGTGTGTGGAAATCTTCATTTGCAAGTGGAGCATTGAGATCTTCTAACAGGAGCTGTTTTGAAATCAAATTGAATTCAGCCTCGGCTTCTGTCCAACAAATTGTTTTCTATTAAAATGATGTTGGATTTGAATATTTTTCCTTCGAAGCTGGATTAAAGTTGAGAAATCACAAGTGGCTCTTCTAAAGCTTTTACACAAATCACATTATTAAGTCAGATAGGGATCGCCCATCTGTCACGAGGAGACCTGATGAAAATGCAATCTTGTACAGCTCTGCAAATCTCGATGAGGGTCTGGTTGACAGAAGTGGAAACAAAACTCTAGCACCCACAGAGAGAAGTACTCTTATTTATCTTTCATTTATTCATATAATACACAAGATTTCTGCTTTATTTTGATATGTGGGGGTTTCTCTTTGTACGAGGGGCTCTTAAGCCGCTCTTCAAACTTCCTTTCTCATGCAGTACACAAAATAATACAAGTGCGATGGGCAAACCAGTGACGTCACCTGATCATGAGATGGGGATTGCTGGATTCAAAAGTTTATTCGAGAAA